GATATATTGTTCCTATTTAAATCACACCATGAAATTATAAACTTAAGCAGTGACATACTACCTCAGCCTTCAGTTTCAAGCAGACGCACCCGTTTTTCAAATCATAACTGCCTAAAATTTCTGACTACAAAATGTAAAACATCTACTTACCAAAAATCCTTCGTAATAAGATCAAGTCGAGTCTGGAACGCTCTCTCAAGAGTCTTAAAAATTAGTTCAACGATGACTCTAAAGAAATTTAAAACGGAGTTATTAGATTATTACAAAGTAGCATTAGAGAAAAGTTATAATATTGACGATCCACGAACGTGGAAATCAATTTGCTTAAAATGCAATCAAGCACGAGACCTGACTAGACCGATAACATGTTGTTTTTAGTTTCAGTTGAGTAGTTGTTTTTTTGTACATACCGGTATATCTGTTTAAAATTAGGGAGCGCAGTAATTGGTGTAAGCTGTTGCGTTTCCCTGCCAGTTGTTTGTGTCGTTTACTTATGTTAATTTGTTTGTACCTGGCAAAGTTAATAAATAAATAAATAAATAACACACGATCGTTTTATGTATCAAACCACGTTTTAAACGATTTCAATTTGCACAGAGTCTTTATTCATTACTCTATGAAAGGCTATACAGCAACATTCAAACATGCAGTCGCCCATACAACGTGAACGAGAATAAACGCAACACAATGTTCATGTAAATAAAATAAAAAACGGCGGAAAACACATACAACAAATTCCATATAGTTTTGCTATAATCCCATATCCCAGCTTAGCACAATCACGTTGTATGAACGTTGAATTAGCGTTCGTCGAACGTTTGGATAACGTTAGTCATTAACGTTGGGTAAACGTTTTTTTGTGAACTCGTAGGAACGTGGTATCAACGTTAGGATTAACGTTACAGCGCGACGTTAATACAACGTCAGTACAACGTTCAACTCAATGTTCATATAACCGAATGTCCGACGACCGACGTTAATGCAACGTTCAGCTAACGTTTAGCGCCAACGTTCGGCAAACGTTTAAAGAACGTTCAACCAACGTTAAGATAACGTTGGATATCAAGGTTGAGACAACGTGAATTATTTCGGGGTATTTGAAAATTCCTGCAACTTCGTTTGCGAGATTGCGAATACAGATAACTTATAGTCATCTGAGCCATTGTTCGCCAGCCTGTGAATACATGTAGATTTTATGTCATTGACATTGATTAAAACATTTCTAGCAAATTGACAAGACGGCTTCGACAAGTCGCGCTGTAACGTTAATCCTAACGTTGATACCAAGTTCCTACGAATTCACAAAAAAACGTTTACCCAACGTTAATAAATAACGTTATCCAAACGTTCGACGAACGCTAATACAACGTTCATACAACGTGATTGTGCTAGCTGGGATATGGGATTATAGCAAAACTATATGGAATTTTGTTATGTGCTTTCCGCCGTTTTTTATTTTATTTACATGAACATTGTGTTGCGTTTATTCTCGTTCACGTTGTATGGGCGACTGCATGTTTGAATGTTGCTGTATAGCCTTTCATAGAGTAATGAATAAAGACTCTGTGCAAATTGAAATCGTTTAAAACGTGGTTTGATACATAAAACGATCGTGTGTTATCTCGAAGAAGTCCCAATAAACCGCTCCCTCATTATATATTATTATTATTATTATTATTTATAGCATTTATTTCAACACGATATGTATTGCGTAACAGTTTGCACTGCCGAGAAAGCAAGCCTATAAAAGCGCACAAAAAACATAAAATTCCTAGCCTGCGTGACATAGTCACTACGCGTAACGAGGATCCTAGTTATTGCTAACTTCATTAATTTTCACAAAATAGCGCCATGTTATCAAATTGTCTGGTGACCTATGCTGAAATTTTGCTAAAATCTTTTATTTACCTAAAGCCTGAAAAAATATGTGAAAAATGCCAAAATGTTTTATTGAGTGAAGGCAGCATCTGCGCATTTTTTTAAAGATTGTGTCCATACTCCGTAATCCGTAGTCCGTAATCCGTAGTCCGTAGTCCGTAATCCGTAGTCCGTAATCCGTAGTCTGTAATCCGTAGTCCGCTACCCGCGTTTTCTACCATGCCATAATAATGTGGCCGAATAAAATGTTCCATCTCATTAGCATTCAACGCGATTAAGACTTTAATTGAAAACACTCGAATCGACAATTCTGAAATTCATTGTAAATATAATTTGAAGAATAATTTTATCATAATTTCCTTGCTGCTATTATTATTCCAGCATTAATTGTGTTGAACATATAATTTTATTAAAACGACATGTACATAAATGCAAAGATTATATTCGAAAGTGCAAATTACGGGAACTCTTTGTTGAATAAAACAATGAAACAAGAGTATTCATTGTTAGTTTGTTTAAGTACGTCATTCGAATCATTCTTGCTTGAAAAAAGGTACGAGAGAGCGGAGTTAACGGGAAAAAAGTTCAATTTTGAAACGTTTCGCGGCACACTTAATGTTTTTCAAATTTTCTGAAATTTTGATGCATTGCACAAAAGAGTCCAAACTTTCACCTCTTTAAATGAACTTGGATTTTCACCATCTCATTTGAGTCTTTTACAAACCGCTCTCCCGCTTATCGAGGTTAATTTTTCTGCTAGTTTTTACTGTTAGATAAGCCAGAAGATGCTAAAATACTTGGACGTAGATATATTTTCAAGATATTTTGATAAAATGATCGTTTTCTGGACATTTTAAATTCTTCTAGTTTTTTTTGACAGACTCTGTATAATACTTAATGATTATAGTAAAACATTTTATATTTTATAGCCAATTAAGTCCTATAGAGGGTGTATCAAAAAAATGTCCCAAATGTAAAAATTCCGTTTTTCAGGATATTTTGCAGAATTTGGCAAATTTTTGTGTTCCTAGAGATAGTTAAGACTTATCTGGTATACCTAGGCCATGTTTGGTTTTTCATTAACAAAATTATGTTACCGGGGGGGGGTGTCCCTTTCCACTGATATTGATAGGGCTTGCGCGCGAAAATGTGAAGCTGAAATTGACATATTATTTAGCTGTCTAAAATTGGGAAAGCTTTTTAAAAAATTGTCAAAGTTTCAGGAAAAATAATGCATACTCGAGCATTATAGGAGCAACGCGCGACCCCTAAAGGTGACAAATATTTCATTGCGCGCAGTGGATTAAATGCATCGTTGATTTTAGCGTGTCCGATCTCATACAAGGTGGGCAAATGAATAGATTAAAGCGAGAAACTGAACACAAAAACAAAGCGATTTATTCGTGATGTTAATCTTCAGCATGTCCACCATTTCATTCTAAGCAAACTGCGGCTTGTCTGAGCATACTAAACACTGAACAGCGAACCTTTTGTCTGTCCATTCGCCTAGATTTGCCGGTGGTAGCGTAGGCGATTTGCAAGAAAGAATTTCGAACGAAATGGATAATTTGAGGCAGGACAGACAAATGTGGTTCGCCGTTCAGTGTTTACCATGCTCAGACGAGCCGCAGTTTGCTTAGAAAGAAATGGTGGAAATGTTGAGGATTAACATCAAGAATAAAAATCTTGTTATTAAATCGCTTCGTCTTTTTGTTCAGTTTCTCGCTTTAATTTATTCATTTGCCCAGCCTTGCATGAGATCGGTTACGCTAAAATCAACCATGCATTTAATCCACTGCGCGCAATGAAATATTTGTCACTTTTAGGGGTCGCGCGTTGCTCCCAGTTTGCATTATTTTTCCTGAAACTTTGACAGTTTATTAAAAAGCTTTCCTACTTTTAGACAGCTAAATAATATCTCAATTTCAGCTTCACATTTTCGCGCGCAAGCCCTCTCAATATCAATGGAAAGGAACCACTCCCCGGTAACATAATTTTGTTAATGAAAAACCAAACTTGGCCTATTTATCTAGCTTCGCCTGTAATTACACAATCAACAACACATACACACAACCATTTCTGTCCTGCCCCAAAAACGTGTAAACGTTAGACATTCGTCGATGTCTAAGGTATACCAGATAAGTCTTAACTATCTCTAGGAACACAAAAAATTGCCAAATTCTGCAAAATATCCTGAAAAACGGAAATTTTACATTTGGGACATTTTTTTTGATACACCCTGTATATGTATGTGAGTGTATATATTATTTGTAAATAGATTAGATTTCTCGGTATGTATTTGCTAGAGGCCTAAAAGCTTCAGTGACCAGAGAAGAAATAATGTTGTTTTAAAAACGGCTTTAGACTAAATGAAACGATAAATATAACGTATTTATTTTTCACGGAAGGCAGCGTTCGGTCGTATTAAAATTGTTTTCCATTTTTATGTAACTTTTCGCTGGTAGTATTTTTAGCAACACTCTTCATGGCCTTATACTTGGTAACTGCAAAATGTCATGACCGTGCAAATAGAGACGATTTAAACAACTTTTGTACCAACCTGGTGAGCTTTTCGGTCGACGAAGTCAAATATTTGCAGTTGTGTGTTTTCACCTTTAGAGGACAACCTTGATTGAATTAGCTGTAGTCAGACTTAACAACAGCGGCAAAATATACAACCAAACATCATTCGTTTAATTAGCTCTTCGCTATAAAATGCACTTCAATTTATCGTCATAACTGCTATATTTTAAAATAAAGAAGTTAAAATTTGGCGAGCAATTAATCTTTAGTAAATAAAGTTATCTATATTTTCCCCCCAAAATTATCTTTAATATCACTTTTGCGTGGGGATTAGTGGCCAGGGATTTCAGCTAGCCATAAAATCAAGAAATATATAGAGAATAATACATAAATGCGCGTATCCAAGTGTTTTTGTTTTTATTATATAATAAAAAACTGTTTTTTCGAATAGTTTTAACCCCATGATAAAAAATCACTATAATTATTGAGTGAATAGCGCTATCCTGCTTTCATACAACCGGTCAACTATCACATTGGAACACTGATCTAAAAACTAAATCATAACTAATCTGCATACACCTTTCATGGGGATTTGGACAAGTGTGTGAGAATAGTTTCATTGGGATGGTTGTTTAAATAGAATTATGTCTTTTAAGTGTTCAACAGACAGGGTACTTTTGCTCTGATAGATAAATATTCTAATGCTCCTAAAACAACTCATCTTCAATTAAAATATTTATTTGCTTGACCATCCAAATTCATTATCGATTGAAAACTACCAGTTCGATTATCGATTATACTATTATATGTTAATACGCTATGTCTTTGTCTATAAAACAAATGTTTAAAAAAATCCAGATCCTTGTATGAAAATTACGCCGTCCGTGAGAAAAATTCCTTGCCATTATGGTTAATAAGCATAAATCAGTTGTCTTTTTCAATGATGTATTCTAACGAATCAATAGGTATCCCATTGCTTTGGCGTTCTTTTCTCCATTGTCTGGTAAACAAATAGCGTAATTTCCTGCGGTGTTAAGAGTAGCAATACGGGTACTACAAAGTTGTTTAATACCCCCACCTCCCACACCTATAAAAGAGTCAGGGGAGCCACAGTGACTTTGCTGGTTTGCTATCAGGCCCAACCGAACGCGTACATTCCTATCTGTAGAGTACACGTTAAATCCCTCTCTGTTGCAGTTGCGCTGTAAGGATGAGCGGTAGATTAGGCGCCTCCAATTTGATCGGCCGATGTGGGTTTGTCGATACCTGCCGTCTGCAAACAGACTAAACAAGGACGATGCTCGATGCGAGAAAGATAAACCTCTGAGTTGACCACCATATTTCATAACAACACAAATTTCATTGAATGAAGTTTTCCAAAATGTTTGTCCCTTGAATTCTATGTTGTCAAAACCTCCTTTTTTCCCACGGTCATTATCATTGTAAACGTACTTGTTCGTCCAATAACTGGAGCTGTATCGGAACGTATCCTGTAAAAAAGACTAAAATTATCGTCCACTCCGACTCTTGTTGATATAACTAATGAGAAAACAAGTTTATGCGCCGCAAGATCATGAGACATTGTGATTGAGTTATCACCTTTCTTCCATCAATTTTCATCACCATCGTCCACCCACCACCAGAACAACCTGGGATAGACGACATCTGGCAGTACACGTCCGTCTTTTGATTTTGCCCAACACTGATTTGGTAAAGACCATTTGCAGACGAACTGCAAAAGAACCATGCAGGTCAACTATTATTATGCGTGCAATTTATTGGTTACAATTAGTGAGGAACATCTTAAAATCTAAAATGTTGAGTTGAGTAAAAACAAAAAAACGAAGACGCTTTTCCACTCTACAGGATGTATAAAAATTGTTCACACAATTTCACTTGCGTCGCTCACGCGTCTTTGGAATTTTTTCCCTATGAGCAGGTAAATGGGGTGTTTCGCATGGACGCCTTTTGTAAAAGTAAAAAATCTAAAGTAAAAAACGCGCTAAAACGGCTTGCGTAGGTTATATAACCTGAGAAACGTAAACTATGAAACAAGTCATTCAAGTTATTAAAATTTACTTACGCCTGCAGACAATAAAATTATGGCGCAGACAATATGGTGCAGAAAATATGGTGCAGACAATATGGTGCAGACGTAAGCAAACGCGCGAGAAAGATTGCATGAGTATTTTCGCGTTTTAATATTAAATCGTAGATGACTTTCGTTTTTAATGTTTTCTGGTGACTTCAAGCTAGCATTGAAGAAAGCTCTGCTCTTTAAAGCAAATGACAAACACACTAAACAAGCGTCCATGCAGTATCCTTGTCCTTTAATGTCGTGTAATGTACCGTTATTTGGCAACAAAGAGGAACTTCGTTTTAGAATGCTGAATGGGTAAATTTCGACTACTGTTAAGTTTTACATTTTTTATTTTCCGATTAGTTTAAAACAGAAGTTTAAATAGGGAGGCACTATTTCACTTTTGCATCGCCGGAAAGGAAATTTGGAAATACCTCGACTCAAGTCGTCATAAATCGTACCTTTGACTCTGCTTTATTTCTTTGCATGAATTGAACACTGCAACGAACACATTTGAAAGAGTGAACTATTGTTATTAGTGTGAGCTATTGCAATTAGTTATTATTGTTATAAGTTATATTACCTATAATTAGTTGAATATAGATAACCGTCCGATAGCGAGAACAATTCAGGATTTATAGTGCGAGTGATTTATCATTCTAAAATCCTTCCGTTACTTTGTTTATTTTCATGAAATTGAAAATTGTTAGGCAGCATAACTAGTGAAATGAAACTGAATCCTCTCAACAAATCAGCGCCCAATAAATAGTAAACAAACTGATAGAAAAAGCGTTAATATAAAAAAAAGGAACTGAATTTTCATCTACAGTGAAACCTTTCTCAATTCGTAGCGTTGTTTATAAAGAAATTTACGTATAACTGAAAATTAAACTTTAAACTTTACCTCTGGGTTTGCTTTTCACTTGCAAATTCTTCCTCGGTGTCTCAGAAAATGACGGCCTTCGTGCTGTGCCATGTAGAATTAGAGTAAATCCAAACAGCCGGCCTAAAAATAGAATTAATGTAACAAACACTTATCTTCACTAATCAGCCCCATTTTCTATTTTATGAAACTCTTGGTTATAGAAAAAATTAAATAAGCTAACGTATTTGGGAATTCTCCAATTCCCCCTAAATTAAATCCAATTAAAGCGTAAAAGAATAGCTCAGCGTGAAAGAGCATCTTGAAAATAGTAAGAAAAGTTCGGTTGTATAATTTTGAAAATTGGGTAAAATATAACACTGCGATTTAAGTCAGAAAATTTTGTATAAAAAAGCCCTAACACAGTATAAAAAGCATTACCAGCAGACAAATGAATATAATGCAAGAGAAAAAAATTCCAAAAATAAATTCTTGTAAACTCATGACATAAACTCATGACATAAGCTCAAGACAACAAGACCTGATGACAACAAGACCAAAATATCATCGTAAAATTCTAGTTTTGTTGCCAATAGCTCGTATCTAAGTTTACATAATGTTAAGTATGTTTTTTCTTGTTCATACGTGGAATAGTGCTATTTTTGACTATAATTGAAACAAATTTTCATCATTACCAGAAATTTGCGACATGATAATTTGCATGTATACTAATTTGCATTTAACTTTCAGCGTAATGGCCTTCAACTTTTACTATAAAATACATATAGTAATTATACAAAACTTAAAAATGCCGTTGCCCTAGACCTTGCCCACTGTTTGCCGACCTCTAGATCGGTAGAACAGCCGTTTAGAAACGTTTTGGTGACAGAATTTTTTAGCTTGGGCATTTCTGCATTCTGCCAAATTTAAAGACATGTTGCTCAAATTTTTGTCCGTGTTCTGTCCACGAACTTTTAAAATCGCTCACATTGATTCGAATATTTTGATTCAGATAGTTGATAAATTGACGTATAATGTACCAAAAAAAATTGTTGAAGATATTGTCTTTCGTATTTGTGTATAAACTTTCTTGTACGGCTCGGATTTTTACTGCAATCACTTTAAAAAATATTATCAGTCTTATCTGTAACTTGAATAATACGAAGGCTATATACCCATTTGTTCACAATCATTTGGCCGAACGTAGAAATACCTAAGGTAAGTAATTCGATCATTAAAACGTTGGGAAACGGCTGTTTTATTAATCCTGAGGTCGGCAAACAGTGGGCAAGATCTAGGTCAACGGCATTTTTAGATTTTGTGTATTTACTATATGTATTTAATAGTAAAAGTTGAAGGCCATTATGCTGAAAGTTAAATGCAAATTAGTATATATGCAAATTATCATGTCGCAAATTTCTGGTAATGGCAAACAAGGCGCCTGTTCTGGCGTTAACTACGGGGTGCCGCGCACCTGCCAGTCTTCAATGTAAAGCTTCTGAACATAAACAATACAGCTCATGCTCATTTAGATGTCTTGCGAACCTAAATGTTGTTCGATCGGGAAATTCAGAAGCACATTGTACTTTAAAAAGTATAGAAGTTCAATTGTTCAAAAATGTAAATAAACCGTATATGATATAGAGAAGTGAAGATGCATGCATGTACTATCGACGATCACGAAGTATCGTTTTATGTAAACGAAACCTGGCCGAAGACGGAAGGAGCGTTGCGGTGTCCGCTTTACGAAAACTTCATAAAACACACATGCATGAAATAGGATTTAATGGGTCCTAAGTTGGGGTGGAATTATACACACTTCAAATTCGAGCCGAGATCAGTTGAAGGGAATATGGATCAACTATAGGTCTCCAGCAGGAATCGAACCTACGTTTTTGCGGTGCTGGTGCAATGCTTTAGCGACTGAGCTACATAGGAAGCTGACAAGCGTGGTTAATGTGTATGTAATGGTAATGCCGGGAATACGTGAGGGTAAATCAAATATGATTTTTGGCACTTCACAGTTCACTCGACGCAAGAGCATTGCACCGGCATCGCAAAAGCGTAGGTTCGATTCCTGCCGGAGGACCTATAGCTGACTCATTTTTCCTTCAACTGTTCCTGGTTTGAATTTGAAGTTAACTCCACTCGAACTTAAGACCCTTTAAATCATAGAAATTACGTGCATCGAGTGAAGTGCCAAAAATCACAAATGATTTTCCTATACATGGAATAGTGCTATTTTCAACGATGATTGGAACAATTTTCATGCGAATTACCATCATTTATGAAATATACCTTTATATCGGTTTGATTCTGGGAAGGATGGAAGATCATTCCTAAGAGTTACAGTCCATGTTCCTTCTGACGATTCACCCCAAAAGTGCACACTAACTGTTCTCAAATTTTTGTAGCGCCTTTTACCAACGTAGGCGTCAAGCGAACGAGGAAATATTACTTGGGACTCGGTTCCCCCTGGTGAAGTAATGTAAGCACCAATCACACCACGTCTGAAATACCTAAAATCAAATCTTGCCTCGACATGTTCCAAATAATTGATCACTCCACCGCGGCATTGATCTCTACCAACTTCAATATCAAATGAATTGTCCCTCCTTAAAAACAAAGACAAAATTACATTTACTCCCTCTTGTATAATATAACCTTTTAAGGCCTATAGACTACACGATAAGTTGTACGCAATGGACTTTTGCATAACAGACCAACTTACGATCTAGGCAACAAGAAGGAAATAAATCACCACAGCTAAAAAGAGCATACCGTAATTAGTATTATTGCCACGTTTGGCCGCAAATATCAAGTATTACGGAAAATATATCCAGGCAAAGTAGCCAATTTTGTATACCTTTTTACCACAACCGGAAGCGTTTATAACTAATTTAGTTACACACATTAGCGGCCGTAGTAAAAAGTATACAAAATTGCCAACTTCGCATGCCTATATTTTTCGTACGTTACAATATTTTGCAGCCAAACTTGGTAACTGTACTAAATTTAGTATGCATTTCTACGGAAATTTCCTTTTTCTTGCCTAAATAAAAAGTTAGCCTGGTTCTTCACTCATACTTTTCAGGGTGAAATTTAAAGTGTCACGTTTGTACGTTTGTTAATACGTTCACATATACGCCAGAGTAATAATCGTATAGTGTAAATCAAACCACATTTAACAATTTATGCGGTTTCTTGCTTTTTTTAACAGTTTATAGATACTTTTTGTTCTGGAGTTCCACTTTCTAATAAAATTTTTTACGCATATGTCCATAGATTCTTCCGGTTGAGAAAGTTTAACGCCAAAACTATTACATAACTCCTGAATTTTGCCGATTTTAAACGTTTAGAGAAGCTTTACACAAGAATCAATTTAATAACAACAGCCAGGAGAGTGTAGCTATAAACAAGGGGGAATTTCGTTTTAGACCAATCAGCATATTTGTTTACATTTTCAGCAAGCCAATCAGAATGCATAAATCTTGACTATACTTACTTCCGGTATTAAATATTTAGGATTCTGATTGGCTCTGCCTGAAAAATGTCAACAAACATTCAGATTTGTTTAAAACAAAATTCCTCCTTGTTGTAGCTATAACCTTTTCTGTTTTCTGCCAATTTCCTCCCACGAACTCGCGACTTCCAGCGAGGAGACGAAGGCTCTAAATATTCTAAAACGGAAGCCGGAATTCTTGTCTAATACTAACTGCGCATGATTCGGACAGATTTACAACTTCTCGAAACAAACTTGCAAACATTGAAGATATTCAGTCGGTTGTGTTTTTAAAATAATAAAAAGTTCTTTATAATAGGAAAGTATAAGTCGCGATTCTCTGTACTGTGCTACAACATTTCATACGGCAGATCACTTCCCCATTTCGATTAACTCAGAGCCTTCGTTTCCTCGCTAGAGGATCGCGTTTTCGTGGAAAGAGATTGACTAAGTTCAACTTGACTGCTCCTAATTTTGAAAAAAAAACATTGCAAAGAAAAACTTTCGCATGCAAGCGAACGATTTCCGTACCAGCGGAAACCCAACCTTTCTGCGCAATCTTCTTACCCTCTCAGCAATCTCTTATATTTACTTGCACCAATTTGAAGTTCAACTTCGCATTTAATCTGTCGTGGTAATGCTGTGTATTTTTCAGCATTTTCTACCATCCGCGAAGCATCAAGAAATCCAAATCCAACCTTGTTACTCACTAAAAGGATCAGGTTTAAGTTACTACTTGTTATATTTTGTTTGGGCGGTTATCTGATGCAAAGCAAAAACCCTTACAAAATATTTGCGACGCGGCTTCCTAACCATAGCTGTTTTATTTCGGTGCAGTATATTTCTGGTCGATTTTAGGCAACACGCGCGTACATAAGAGAATGATGGAGGCAAAACTTATTATGCAGTTTAAAAATAGTTTTTCATTCGAAAGAATGAAAATTTTCATTGTAGTACACAAGGAGGAAACAGGGATATTAAGCACCTAAATATTTCACTATAAGGCTAAAAGTTAATACACATTGCAGGAGACATATCTAGAGCGAAAATATTCTCAGAACTTTGGCCTTGCACCCGTTACCATGGCAACAGAGACGTTTCAAAATGGCCGCCAAACAGGGTTTAATCGTGTTTATATCACAAACGAGTTCGGTGACCCCCAATTTTTTTTTCATTAAACGTTTACGCCATAAATGCTTTATCTATAAAAAAGTTTTGAAAAAATTCTAACATGGAGAATTTTTTCTATTTACAAAAACGTTATTTTTGCTTATTAAAAAATTCCCCCATGTTAGAATTTTTTTAAAACTTTTTCATAGATAAATAATCTATAGCATAAACGTTTAATGAAAAAAAAATTGGGGGTCACCGAACTCGTTTGTGATATAAACACGATAAAAACTTGTTTGGCGGCCATTTTGAAACGTCTCTGTTTCCATGGTAACGGGTGCCCGGCAAAGGTTCTGAGAATTTTTCCGCTCTATATATGTTTCCTGCAAAGTATATTAACTTTTAGTCTTATAGTGAAATATTTAGGTGCTTAATATCCCTGTTTAAAATGAGCCCAAAAAAAATTTGAGAAACTGTATCGAGCCACCTTAAACGAATCGACTTTTAATTGGAATTTCGCTTTAAACAAATCAGATTTTTCAGGATATAAGTTATTCAGAATGCCAAAATTTGTTATACCTCGTGTAAAACGGTAAATAATGTACCTTTTCACCGGAAGCAGTCAATATTTGTCAACTCTGGTTGGGTAACTGAAAATTTAAACAAATTTCCTGATTGGTCTAAAACGAAATTCCTCCTAGATATATATGTTAGGCTCGGTCCATACAAGCGAAAAAAGAACGAGACCAGTATCCTCCTGTACGGAACGAACAAGCTCAGTCAATAAACTATTTATTATATGACTAAAAACGATTAAGAGAAACCTGGCCGGTCCGTACTGTTGGTTACCGACCGCTCAGGAACCAATCAGAATGCTTGATTTTAGTTGATGGACCGATGAACTATTCTAGTCATATAATAATTACTATTATTGATCAGGTAAACGGTCAATGAAAATCCTGAAATGTACCTCGAAATCCTGCTTTGTTTACGGTCCATTTTACACTTCTGTCGATTACGTCACTCCTACTGGATTTTACTATTAAGTGCTGTAGTTGACGCCATGTTAAAGTTTTCCTAAAAAGATACAAATTGCACGCTTGATCAGAGCTCACAAGTTTACTAAGGCGTGCTTGTCGATGTGAATTTGATTTATATTGCATGGGGCGTAATTCCACAAAAAATTAGCTGTATTTCGCTTGAGAGTGTTAAAATGAGTGTTCGTATTTTGCTAACACATCAGATCGCGACTCGCACCTAAAAAACAACCAGCTATAAAGAATGTCTCAAAAAACAAACACGTTCTTAGGAGACTTTTTTACAGGATTATATTGGTTTAAATGACTTAGAAAAAAAATTTAGAAAATAAATTTGCACACGAGAATGTAGAAAAAGTCATCGTAAGGTAATGGGAACGGAGAGAATATTGTAAGGTCATTTGTGTCAATTAACCTCTTTTTAGTATAAGAGCGTTTGAAAAGAAGAAAAAAACAGCCACAGTACACAATTACAGGCAGTTGTGACTGTCAGATAAAAGAAACATATACCCATTGAGAATCTAATGGATGTAAAAAACTAGTGTACATGCATGGGAAACTGTCACAAAAGCAACCCAGGCGGTGCATAGCACTATATTAGCATGACCGCAAGTACACTTAAAGAGGAAACAAGAATCATAAAAAAATTGTTCAATCACAGAAAGTACTCACACGAGACTGAACTTTATAATAATTTGGCGATGAAAAAACGATGACGAATGAGAATCTCAACATTATAATATAATATTCTTGTAATTTTGCATGCATGGTGGTCTAATCATGAACTATCAAGCATTGGCACCTCAGAAATACAAGAGATCGGTAATCTCAGGCTTAGTTCACAGAATACATTGGGCGAGTAGTACATGGAAAAATTTCCATCAGAGTCTAGTAAAGGCAAAGAGAGTACTAGAGAACAACCCCCTTCTTTTTATGAGCCTGCCCCCCTTCCTTTTATGAGCCAATTATTGAGAGAACGTTAGCTAAAATTATGAGCAGCAACAACTTAGTATTTGTGCAATACGGAGGTCGAATTACGGAAAAATTTGAACAATCTTTAAAAAGATGTGTAGCACCGTGTGAGGTTGTGTCCACCCTGCGCAAGGTTAATTAAGTCAGTATTACCGTCGTTGAATACGCCTGGGGAGAAAGCTCTTAAAAACGGAGTTGTGTATAAAATAGAGTTCAAATATAAAAAGTTCAATGAATGTTAAGCCACAATGTTCCTACCATACAGGTTATATTATTTTGTATGTGAAAAATTTTGTATTTGAAAATAAAGAATACAACAATTCTTTCCAATTCAGGATATAAAATATCGTCTTGCATAAAATGAAATTTCATGCCAAAAGCGTAACCAGAAAATTTCATAAATGCGTGCATAGTTCTCAACAACCACCCCCCCCAGACATTTTTCTCACCAATTCATTATTTGTTTGACGACCACCCGCCCATCATTTCCAATATTGTTATAGATGCAGTATATCTTACTTTGCCTCCAATGCTAGAGCAATAACTCCTGATACCAAAGCGCTGGCGGCGGATGTTTCACCAAATCTTGAGTCACAAGATTGATCGTTGGTACTTGAAGCCGTTTCCTAAATATTATAAAATTAATGTTAATATTTATTCAGATTCATTAGTTCACAATGTATGAAAGGGTAGAAGCTATGGATATCAACAATTGCTCGCATTTGATGATTATGCTTGACTTGAAGAAATTCAAAAGATGCGCAGGGAAAATTTTGCACGTTATTGAAGACGCTAATCGATAAAATTAACTCCGCAATGCAAGATGGCAGGTCTGCAGCCGGATTTATATCACTTTTGTCACAGTTAATAGAATATACATGGTTCGGGGACCACATAAAACTACAATACAACTCATTAACTACGTTAAGGTAGGTTTATGCAAAAAATTGTTCCTTTCTCATCACATGTCTATTGTATTTTGCACAGATAAACCAATGGCAATCTTTAACGTATTTTCAAGTCAAGATTGATGATCGAGCTTAGCAAGACGAATGCCATCGTTAAATTTGGCTAAAATACAATAGATACGTGACGAGGAAGGAACCATTTTTTTCATAAACCTGGATAATGACATAGTTAATGAGTTGTATTGTACTTTTGTTTACTCTCCAAACCTTGTATATTCTATTAACTGTGCTTTTATCCATTCGTATCTTTATTGTTTTTTTAGTCCTTGGCATTCTGTTTGTGGTATTTTCTGAGAAGAACGTTTTCAGTCGGAAATTATTTTTAATAATCTTTTTAACTCACCAAATTAACAGAATAAGCAGAAGTCATAACAGCGCTGCATGCCTCAGAACTGGTTAAAGGTCTTCCATTTCGATTCACTGCGCCAACAGGGATGCTGTAGATGCTATTAACAAAACCATTAAAAGCGCAACTATCTCCAAAAAATCCACCATTTCCAGCAGAAAAAACATAAATTGAACCAAGACCTCCTCGTCCCTTGGGCGATGAAACAAATAAATATAACAATTTATAGCGTGTTCATTAATATGCACAATTCTCCCCAAGCTGGCCGGTCCAAAGTGCAGTGTGGGCTCGGGTACTAATTCTGCCTGGAGATTTGAATCACACCCAGGTGTTGTGACGGAACGGTGTGAAATCTAAAGTCATCCAAATTCAAATTATATTGTTTTAAGTTGGTCATGCACATGAAAATTGTCTGAAAACTGTAGAAAAATATGCCGATTAGTTTAAAACGAAAATATTCCTTATTCCTTTTGAATACGTCAGAAGTATATGGATTAGATATTTATTAGTCTTTGAAGTTATCGGATATGACGTCAAATCGGGAATTGCAAATCAATTTTTTCTTGAGGTCGCTTCCTGCAGTTCTATGGTTGTATCGCGGTAATTTTGTCGCGCGCGAAATAGTACACGCAACACGCGTGGCTGATGTTGCACGCTGGGCGGATTTTTTAAAATTTGTCATTGTGAACTTTTGATAAACACGCGCGGGCCTTCGCGGGATGTCGACTGGTTGCGCGAGGAAATTGAAATCCTGATTTTTTTGACGTCATATAGACATAAAAATAAATGTATTTTTCTCGTTTTTCCTTCGGTAAATTCTTTTCGAACTTTACACAGTTTTCTGTAATCTTGAAATGCGTAAAATGTGCAAGCTTTAAGAAAATCGTACGAGCCGAATTTTTTTAAATTAAAAAACAGGATTTTTTGAGGATTTGAAAAAAAGTGCTCGTACGATTTTTTTAAATGCTAACATTAGAAAGAATTATGGATCAGATTACTGTGTGGAAAAAATTAGAAAGTTTTACCGAAGAAAATTTCAAAAAATTATCTCAGAATCTGCAAATTGGCCCTTTCTAAAATCGTTATGTTACCATGGCAACGAGGATATTTTACGAAATTTTATATATTTCGTAATTTGCGATATCATAGCAGTTATGTGGCCAAATTTCGTGATCATACTTTGTAAGATGATAAAATAATGGCCTTTCGAACTCGATTGTGCATTACACAATCAAAACTGTAAGGAGCCACCTTAATGTAATATACATAACTGCTATTTATAGATAATTAAGCTTGGACAATAGAATTAGAACTGATTGACAGTTAGAGACAGACAATAATATAGAAAGTGTATGAGAGCGAGAAAAGTAAGAGCACATGAAAAGTAATATATATAATATAGAGAAACAAAATATACAGTTATACAAATCGGAGCAAGGAGTGAGATCATTATATTGGCGACGAGATTGGCTCAAGGACAAGCCGAGCCACAAGAAAATATCACAGTAAATACGCAATCGGTTTCGCTACAACCATTGCCATAGTTTAACCCAGACGCTGATGTTTGCGAAAGCTTAGGCACGCGCTGGAACATTTGGATCCAAGATTTCGAGATGTTCATCCTCGCTAGTGGGATTACGGATGAGAAAAGAAAACGCGCATTGCTATTATATCAAGCTGGCAAACGGGTTCGAGAGATATTTAGACAAATACCTGATACGGGAGACGCAACTGATTACGAAGCCGCGAAAACAAAGCTTCACGAATACTTCCAACCGCAAGAAAATCGCCGATACGCAGTTTACCGCTTTAGACAAGCGAAACAAGAACCGAACGAAACCCTTGATCAATTCCATACACGATTACGGACGTTAGCACAGACTTGCTCTTTCCACAACGCAGATTTTGAAATCGAACAACAAATTATTACGGCTGGGTCATCTTCACGGATTCGGAAAAAGGCATTAAGAGACCCAACATACGATCTGAAGTCTATACTCATCGATGGTCGCCGTGCCGAGATGAGTACATTTCAAGCGCGAGACATCGAATCAAAAGACACAAATACAGATCGTGTTAACAAAGTATCATCGAAAACAACATCGAAAACGTGTCACAATTGCGGTGGTACGTATCCTCATGAAGGACAATGCCCAGCTAAAGGTAAAGAATGTCGGAAATGTCAAAAGCTCAACCATTTTGCTCGAGTGTGTCGAGGAAAGATGCAACGTCAGACAAAAGCTTTTCAACATGAAATGAAACCGAAACAGAAATACAAACGACCACTAAATCCACTAAATGAAGTTCAGAGCGAGACGGACAGTTCTGACAACGAATATTTATACACAGTTTCTAATGACAAGACCCCCAAAGTCAATGTTAAAGTATGCGGACGATCGTTAAAAGCTACCGTAGACACAGGCGCAACGATCAATGTCATCGACCGAGGTACATATGAGAAAATACCAGGAATAGAATTAAAGAAAAAACATAAAAGCGTTTGCGTATACTGCTAGCAAGCCAGTAAAGTTCATTGGCAAGTTTGAGGAAGCTATTGAGACTCGCCGTCGAGTTGCAGTGGCAACTTTTTACGTCGCAGAAACGACAGACAGCGGAAATCTAATATCAGCAACAACGGCAGAGGAACTTGGCCTGGTAAGTTTTCATCTTAACAAAGTAACTGAAACAAAAGATCGTGAACTCCAAAATATTCTAAACAAACATTCAAAAGTTTTCCACGGGTTGGGTAAACTCAAGCAAGAGAAAATCAAATTAAACGTTGATAAAACAACAACACCCCGAGCACAGCCACAACGCCGAATTCCCTATCACATACGTCAGAAGGTCCAGAACGCGATAGAACAACTAGAGAAAGACGATATTATTGAACGGGTACCAGAAAACCAACCTACACCTTGGGTATCGCCAATTGTAGCAGTACCGAAAAAGAACGGGGACGTTCGTATATGCGTCGATATGCGCGCTACCAACGAAGCTATAAAACGGGTACGACACCCTATTCCAACAGTTGAGGACATCAGTTTTGAGTTAAATGGAGCAACGTGTTTTTCCAAATTAGACCTTACACAGGCCTATCATCAGCTAGAACTACACGAGGACAGTCGTTACATTACTACGTTCAGTACACACATCGGTCTTTTCAGATACAAAAGGCTGAACTATGGCACCAATGCAGCTGCTGAGATTTTCCAGTACACTTTACAAACCCAATTGCAAGGATTAGTCGGAGTAAAGAATATAGCTGATGACATTTTAGTATATGGCAAAACACAGAAAGAACATAACACAAACTTGAATAAATGTCTAAAACGAATCTCCGACAAAGGACTACGCTTGAATCAAGCTAAGTGTAGCTTCTTGAATGACAAACTGGAATTTTTCGGACAAGTATTTTCCAAAGACGGCAGCAACCCCAAACGTGTAGAAGCTTTAAAGAACGCACCAGTACCCAAAACCATTTCTGAAGTAAGAAGTCTCATCGGCATGGCAAACTACAGTGCCAAGTATATTCCTGAATTTGCAACCATTACAGCTCCATTGCGCCAATTAACGAAGAAAAATACACCTTTCGTGTGGACCGACATTCATCAGAACGCATACAACACGTTAACTTCCACTTTAGCGTCAGCATCGTGCATGGCATATTTTGACAAAAATAAAGAGACACTGGTAACGGTTGATGCAAGTCCAGTCGGCATATCAGCAATCCTTTCGCAGAGAAACAAAGGAAAAGACGACGAGAAAGTAGTGGCATATGCGAGCAGAGCATTAACAGAAGTCGAACAAAGATACTCCCAAACCGAGAGAGAGGCGCTGGCTATTATTTGGGGAGTGTAACATTTTCATCTATACCTGTACGGAAACGAATTCGTTCTAATCACAGACCATAAACCACTAGAAATAATCTATGGCAACAGAAACTCCAAAACATCAGCAAGAATAGAACGTTGGGTGTTACGCTTACAACCTTATGCTTTTCAAGTAAGATACAAGCCAGGAGCTAACAATCCGGCTGATTATCTATCGCGCCACCCAACAGGAAAAAGCTACTAACAGCAGAAAATGACAGAAGAGCACATAAACTTTATTGCTCGCTCCAGTGTTCCGAAAGCACTGACGATAGGGGAAATCGAAGAAGCAACGAACAAGGACAAAACCTTACGAGGAGTTCGGGCAGCTATAAAGCTCAACAAGTGGCACTACGAGGTAGTCAAGCCTTATAAACAAGTAAAAGACGAACTTACTGAAAACAAACTTACTGACAACAAAGGGCGTGGTTCTTCGTGGTTCTCGTATAGTGATACCAGAATCGCTACAGCAACGTGCGATTGACATTGCGCACGAAACCCATCTTGGCATTACCAAAACGAAATCATTAATCCGAGAAAAGATTTGGTTTCCGAATATTGATAAAATGGTACAAGCAACAATCGAGAAGTGCATTCCTTGTCAGGAAGTGGGTAAAGCACCACCACAAGAGCCAATATCAACGACAACAATGCCAAAGGGACCATGGGAAACGATACATTTGGATTTCTACGGACCACTTCCGTCGGGAGAATACCTTCTGGTCGCAATTGATCGCTATTCCAGAAGCGGAAAGATTCATGCAGCCCCTTGGAAAAACGCTACGAACCGCTCACATTGAAAGAAGACCCTGGCAGCAAGAACTACATCGTTTCTTGTTACAGTACAGGACAACACCACACTCTTCCACGAAAGTTCCACCAGCGGAATTACTATTTAACCGTACAGTGAAAGGAAAGCTTCCAGAATTGAAAAAGCGGAACATTGTTAACAAACACAATATTGCTAAAAAGAATGAAATGGAGAGACAGCGATACAACAAAGAATATGCGAATGAAAAAAGAAACGTAAAAGAGAGTGAAATTAAGATAGGAGACTATGTCTTAGTTCGTCAGGACAAGCAGAACAAATTGACTGCGAATTACAACAACGTTCCATACGTAGTCACACATAGATCGCATTCACAGGTTAAAGCAAGAAGCAAGAACGGACACGTTATCACACGAAATGTGTCGCATTTTAAACGCATACCAAAGCCAAGGGATGATACGGACAGTGATGACGATAATGAGAAAGAACGTCATCAAAAGAGGAACAATACCATCACACTACCAGCAGCAACAAATGTTGGACATCAAGATCAAATACCGACACGACGATCGAGCCGAATCAGAGGAAAACCTGATAGATTTGGACATTCAGTATATGATTGAATTATGTTTTGTTAAATGTTAATATTGTTTAAAAAAAAAAGGGTGATGTAATATACATAACTGCTATTTATAGATAATTAAGCTTGGACAATAGAATTAGAACTGATTGACAGTTAGAGACAGACAATAATATAGAAAGTGTATGAGAGCGAGAAAAGTAAGAGCACATGAAAAGTAATATATATAATATAGAGAAACAAAATATACAGTTATACAAATCGGAGCAAGGAGTGAGATCATTATACTTAAGTTGCACGAAATTCCCAATATGACGTCAGATCCGTTAGCTTTGAAGGCTAATCACTCATGGTATAGGCATTTAAGGGATTTTGCATGAAAAGAGACACCGGTGCGGTTTGACAGTAACAGTGTAGTAGCTATGACATAAACTGCATTATTAGATTCTGCTTAATGGACATTGGCAAAAAAAATTAAATTTTTCTTATTTAAAAGAACTCCGAAAACTCTATATTAAGTTTTACCATCAATTTTTCATATCTTGCTTAGGTCTTGAAATATCTAGGTTGTAATTAACGAGCTGTCCGCCATCTTGTCTTATGATTAGATCTAATTAAATGACGTTCCGACCACGGAAAAAAATCATAAACGCGCGAAAATCGTCTTAATACGAATGGAATGCTCTAGCATAGCAAGTGTATATGAGTAAATTAAAAAAATTTGTATGAATTAGTATTTAACAAGATACACAAGGTGCGAGAAACGCTCAATAGCATAAAAAATTCACCCTGGTTGTGACGCCATGCAAACCTATGATGTATATGCATATCCAAGATGGCGGAATGTGCCATTATTATTGCTAGAAATAAGCGGAATATTCTATCGAAAAAAAAAACGATCGAGCAAATCTGTAAATCTGATTTTGTGAGATACTGAATGTCTCTTTGTGAAAAGACGAAGTAAATTTTTATTGCCAATGTCCGTCAACCTTGCTTCGCATTTCTTTTATTATGCACACCATATTTTCTCTCTAAACCTTCTACCTACCTCATTTGCACCCTTTCTCAATGCCGCCAAAGACAGTGGTCCAGGACCGGCGATAACAAAACCATTATCGGGTGGACCCCAGCTGTTGGAGAATATATCAATTTTATGGCCATCAAATGGGTAGAATGCCTTTGCCACATCAGTGTCATTAGGCAAACCTCTGTCTATTAGTCGAATACCTGAAATAGGTCGAAGTATTGAGTTTCGATCCATATGCTTTTTCCCATAATACATCCAGGAAATTAATTATAACATTGCGGTTACTTTTCTGCTAATTTTCGGTTTATTCATACCCCATACTTTCTCTTTGATTTTGCAATTATATTCATCGATTAGTGAAACGTTTAGTCCCAACAGGGTAACAGGGTAACAGGGCACGACATTTTTCTAATATTTTCTTGTAATTTTCCACATACTTGCCCTTATTTCGTCTAAGGTTTTATTTAGTAATATTCACTTCGCCTTCAGCGAATATACTGTTGATTTGTTTATCGTTGCACCACATACTGTATTTATCAAACGTACGTAATGTTCTGTACTGCAACGCTTCCTCTATTTTTTCAAATTGTCGGCTGGTCATGCATGGTTTTAAAGCTTCCTCTCTCCAGAAAGCTTTTCAGGAATTACTATATATTATATATAGACGTGGTGTATGCGACCTCAACACACCACGCAAGCTCACTTACTTGCACCACATGTGCAACCTGCAGTGAAGTAGCTGTATAAGTAACAAACTCGATGGAATGAATCGAATGAATACCTGCAATATTGGCTTCGTATGCCACACCAACACCACATATTCCATTGTTTGCTGCACCAGCAATAACACCAGCACACTTTGTACCACGACTTATATAAAAAAAATTAACTGAAAGTTAATGACATATATATCATTAGTTCAGAATGCGAATCATGCATATATCGTTGCTTATTACTCACGTCATTGAGCCCCTCTGAATTTGAAATACAATTATAGATCAATAAAAGCACACGTTGAGTTCAATATTAGGCAGTCGAAACAATCTCAAAAAAACTTTCTCATCGTTTAACGTGGTTCGATAAAGCTAATACAAAAACCAAAATGGACAGGGGTGACCATATTTAATCGTCTTATTAAATACTTATATTCTTACTGAGTTAAGTGCAATTAAGGAGCCGATAAATACTACTAGGGTCTATATTTCTGATACATCGATCAAAGAAAACAGATAATCACCGTTTTAATTCATAGACTTTGCTTGACAAGCATTCCAAAATTCTGTAAATCATTTGGATGTCATCAATTACTTACCTGTCAGATGGCGTAGGGTCTGAATCCTGGTCAACATAATCGTAGCTTAATCGTGGGAGCTGAGAATGAATAAAATATTATTATTTGATTTTAATTCAATATGTTTAATTCCGCGGTAAACTTGTGCTACCTGTTGATATAGTTATATTTGTTGTCACTTGCTATGAAAAGTAGAGCTAATTCAGCTTGTAGGTACACCACGTAAATATTTAATACTGGAAAGCTTTCGGTCCGTCAACCCGGAATTTGCTAGAAACGTCTCAAATTGCATTGAAAAACTTTGTAGAGTAATCGGTAGAGTAATGTTTATGGTTTGTCTTCTTTGAGAATAGCGTGTTACCGTTAATTGCAGATTTGACGAATAAAATCTAGTTTCAAATATTAAACTCACTTACATAACGACCTTCGAATTCCTTGTGCGTATACTTAATTCCATTGTCAACAACCGCCACGGTTATATTTTTTCCAGCATATCCCTTTTTCCAAACATCATCAATTCTGTGGGCTGCACGGATTCGGCTGCTACCCTGAAAAAAGAGGAGATGTTTATGAACTCAAAGGAAATAAATAATACCTATTGGCGACATAATATTCCAGTAAAGTACGATTGTTGACTAATTTAAAGCTGCACCCATATCGGAAAAGAGTGATTAAAAAGAACGAAAAAGTATATATTACCAAATATTGCTGATATTTCCAATTTGGGTCATTAAAGCTCGCCCGATTTGTCTAGAAAAATAAATGAAATAAAATTGTTTATATTTCCCATTTATGTCTTTGCAGTGTTTCTAACACACACACAAACAGATACATACATCATTGACTAATTTAAAATTGCTCCCCTACCGAAACATTGGGGAAACGTCAAATTTTAAATGTACAACTTCAACAAACACAAAAGAAAAAACTTTCTGTTATCTGAAAGGTTGGTATCCGAAATCTTCTAATCGAGATTAATCTATATTATTTGCGTATACAAATGAACCAATATGGAAACGCAAGTTTACGAAAACTTCAGGAAGATATATTGATAAAAAAATGAAACTAAGGCAACTAATTTAAAATTGCAATCTGGTTTTGAAGAGTATATATTAACTATTATCTAGTTAGCTCAAAGAATTTCTTGCTTGATTTGAAATAGCGAAGGGTTACTGCATACTAATGAGATATTAAACCACAAACGTTGTGCGAGATTAGACTGACCATCGCGTGACCATCGCGACAGGATTATTACTCCGGCGTCAGCCACAGAGTTGAAAATTCGCCTAGGTTTTGTCGCAAGTGTGTTTTGTTGCGAGATATACTAGTATTTGACAACTTAAATGCTCATTTGTACCCAGGACTTGACTGGATGCGACGCTCATTGAAGAGCGTATGTGCATGACCGTATTTATCTACGTCAAAGTTTTGTCTCGCAAGAGTTGTGGTGCACTACTCTAAATCTTTGGCACGATACGGAAATTCTTTGAATAAACCGTTCTTTTGATGCTGTTCGATTAAGTTTAGGTTTAATTGGGTTAAGAATTGGGGTAAGAATATATTTAATACATGTAGATTCTGGTTCTATTTTAATGATATCGCTGAACTTCTATACTTTTTAAAGCACGATATATGTGCTTCTGAAAGTCGAAAAAACATTTAGCGGGCTCACAACATTTCTATACTTTTAAAACACGTTGTGTTATCTGAAGTATGTAGAGTTAAAGCAAGAGCAGGCGTCTGTTATGCATAAAATCGATTTAATTGAAAAAAAACTGGAAATTTAGGCTGCTACCGGTTTAAAACATAAATTACTTACGTGCCGATTGGTGAACACAACGAAATATTCTCCATCTTTTTCTACAATTGTGTACCCCCTTGCTTCATTCTGCAACATTAAATAAAGGTTATAAATACGGAAATGAAACATGACTGGACCAAAAACGGATTTAAGTGACTGCAAAGGACAAAAATTTATACCATGCGCATATATTTCTTAAAAATAGGACAGAAGAAAACAACGCAAAGGTTCTGTTTGTCCACGAGAACCAGCAGCTAGACCAACATAAAAATCTGCTACCACTAAGAAGATGTATGAGATAGAAATCACAGAGTTGGACAAAAAACAACTACTGTTCTACCACGCCTAACCACTTTTTTGCTTTTCCGTTCTGTCACGTCTAACTTCACCTTTCGCCTTTCATAAAAATGTATAATTACTCAAATTTCGAATTTGAAAAAAAAGGCCAACGACCAGTGACTAGTGAATCTTGACCAATCAGAACGCAGGAAATCAATAGTCAGCAAGAAATTTATACTAAACTGCATGATGATATAATAGATGCGCGATTCTCGGCATTTTATGGCGAAATTATAAGATGATATAGATGAAAGATGATATAATTTTGCACAAATCTAGAAATGACAGAAATGGAAATCGGTACTTTACTCTTTAGTACCTTGGCTCGTCCTACAAACCACTAGAGAGAACACTATAAGAAGCATAGCCAACCTGTGAGCGGCGATTTCTATTATACTGCGATCCTTCATTTTCTTTTGATATACTTAAAAGTAGTATCATCCATAAGGCGAGATAACCAACGTTAGTAAAAGCTTCCATACCAGATACAGAAAGTAAAATAATATTGCAGATCAGAATATTACAAATAAATGTCTTATAATGCACTAACTCTTCCCGATATAACCTGAGTTTCATGCAGCATTGAGCAGTGTATAGCAAAGAATGACCAAACTTGTGTTCACAACAGTCTTATGTCGCGCTGGCTTCCCGATGTAATATTTCCGTTTCAGCAGTCTTCGGCAAACAATGACCTACGTTGAGCTGACGCCAGTCTGATGTCGGACTGGGCCGCTGGCTTCCCGATGTAATATGTCCGTTTCAGCTGTTTTCCGTATACAATGACCTAAGTTGAACTGACGCTAAGTACGTTAGTCTGATGTCGCACTGGGCCACTGGCTTCCCGATGTAAGTAAGGCATGTATATCCGTTTCAGCAGTCTCTGGCAAGAAAAGTACCGCCAGTCTGATGTCCCACTGAGCTACTGGCCTCTCGATTTAGCACTGTGTCGAAATAAATGAACTAACTTGCATTAACGGACGTCTTAGATCGCGTTGGCTTGTCACGCATCCATTTCAGCAGTCTATGGTTATTAGTTGAACTTCATAGTTGACTCATAAGGCTGGTTTTCATGTAACACTGTCATAATTCGTCGTAATTCACATGCCTTAATTCCTTATCAACAAAAAATTAATACAAGATACGACATGTGAATTATGTTGGATGAAGCCAGTCTATAGTACCAGTTGGGGGTCTAGTGAAAGATGATTAATGGGGTCAAAAAAGTCAACTATTGCAGGTTTTTCCAAATGAAATTCCTCGAAATTTAGCGATTGAATGTTTCTATCAGACGTTTCCGCGTTCAATTAAGTCTTTGCAGTAATGCCTGCAATATCAGTATCATTTTTATTTTGTAATATGATTACTGTATGCCAAAATTAAATTTCTTCGTAGAGCCACACATTGTTAAAAACAATCTCAAAATTCAATTTATTCCCCACTATATATGTTTGTAAATAATAAATATTAACATTAAACAACACTGCACGGAAAACATATAATAATCTTGGGCGTCTAATATTTAACAATTACTCCCCGATAATCGCTGAGCCTAGGCTAAGGCGAATATTTGTTTTAATATTTTTGCACAAGAACTGCATTTGTTCGCTTATCTCTATTTAGGAAACGCCCACAAAACGTCTATAGCCGCCATTTTGCAATTTCGGTGTCATATTCATCTGAAGGTGAATATAACAGCATATTGAGCATAATACGTCAAATTCGACCAATCAATATGTAGGATTTGTTATATTCACTTGTGCAAAAATTCTAAAAGTTTGATATCAGTTTAGGAGTGTAAGTCATTCACGCGTACACATGTAGCACAAGTTATGTTACGCGAGATATACTACAAGAATTTTAAAACCCGGTAGATTGAGCAACCTGCAGACAATTAGGTAAATACTAGTAATTCGAGAAGTTGCGATATTACAACATCGCCAGATGTCATAACCTCACGAAAAACAATTCTATTTTGCATCCATAAAACGAAGGTTCAATGCCGAAATTGCTCTTCTAATCCTCTGTCGTTCGGAGTTCGGCAACGAAGTAACGGTGCTTGCCTGATGCTTGTTTTCATTTAAGAAAAAGAAACCTCTTTTTATTAATGGAAGACGCAGAAAAAAAAATCTTAAAATGAGCTTTTGAAATACTGATATATTCGCTTACATAAGATATCATATTTTTGTTTATTATATATAGCCGTAAAAATGAGGGTCGAAAAGAGAAAGGTAAATTTGATCATTTTTTGAATTTATACTAAACAATATAGAGTTGAAATACTATGTACGAACTGCAAAATTTGTATTATAGTGCTTTATATCTTTTTGGAACAAAGTTCAGCCTGTTTTTTCTTGTCCGGTATTTTCCTTGTACTGGCCAACGTATATATATTAACAACATGGTTGTTGTTTCTTGCCATCATTAACCACAGGATGTTCAGTATACTCCATTACCGGACGTCTGAAACATGGCGGGAAAGTTTAGAGCAATATCAGGACCAGAGGAAGATCACTAACCAATTAAAGTGAGTCATAATGCTGATTGTGACTATAACTACTTCCGGACCGCGATTATAACGTATGCCGGCTTTTAGAAAAACTCTTGTCTTTATTTAATAGAGGGTCATGCAGTATAGTTATTTGTAGCTCTCCTAGAGTTAGCATGCAATTTTTTGAACATCAAACAAAAGCTGTGTTATGCAATATGCAGGTGATTCATTACTGCTATAAAACCGTCTTTGCTATTTCAATATATTGTTATAACACGTAATAGAGATTATAATAATTATACCGCGTATTGTATGTCAACATGGATATATGTGAATATGTATATGGCTTTTAAATATATGCGTTATCAGTGTCGCCCTCGGCTAGGCAAATAACATTCACCTCGACTTGACAATTTCTGAAGATATACAATAGTACACAAGTATACATGCGATAATGTTTTTGTTGTACTGCGAAATATGACGCAACTTTTGACCTCATCTTGGCAAGGAGGTGAAATAAATCCAGTGCTTTGGTTGCGAAATATTTTGTGGAAAATGCCGCCTTACAAAGTTTTCAACTTGTGTCACAGTTTCAGTGCCTTTTTTATTGCGGGTAAAATCACAATTGTCGCCATTTTACCGACGAAATTTCAACGTGGAGGTCTCGATCATACCTGGAAGAAAGGCTTCATATTCCGCCATCTTGGCTTCAAATTTTTCGCAGAGCTAGCGTTCCAGTCTTATTTCAGTTCACTGGAGAGCGTTCAGATATGTCTATACAAGGATTTTTTACCAAAGTTATCTTTTCGTGTGGATGAGTAGGGGTCTACCCCAAACTATTGGATTACACATCATATATGAACACTAGTCTAAATAATTCTGCACATGCCTTCATAGGAGGAATTGCACAAGTGTGTGGGAACAGTGGCGTAGCCAGAACGATAATTTGGGGGGCCCATATTCATATATTCGTGATACGCAGGTTTAATTTCTTTTCAAATCAATTTTTCTTTACAGTCTGTTAACATGAATATATGAATATGCCCCCCCCCCCGGTTATCAATGCTGGCTACACCACTGTGTGGGAATCATTTCATTAGGATGGTTGTCAGTTAACTAAAATTAACGTTTGTATTTTAAAAGTTCAACAGACGCGGTACTTTTGCGTTCATAAAGATAATTAAATGCTCCTGAAATAAGGATATGGAATAATAAAACAACCATTTTCAATTAAAACATTTATTTGCTTCACCATCATGATCAACTCTATTATAGCGATTAAAAACTACCAGTTTGACTATCACTATTATTTTTTAATATGTTATAAACGCGATGTCTATGTCTATAAAACAAATGTTTACGCCCTTGAGATAATTCCTTGTTATTATGGTTAATTAGCGTAAATCAGTTGTCTTTTTTAATGATGTGTTTTAACGAATCAATAGGTATCCCATTGCTTTGGCGTTCTTTTCTCCGTTGTCTGGTTGACAAATTGCATAATTTCCTGCGGTGTTAAGAGTAGCAATACGGGTACTACAATGTTGTTGAATACCCCCACCTCCCAGACCTATAAAGGAGTCAGGGGAGCCACAGTGCCTTTGCTGGTTTGCTATCAGGCCCAACCGAACGCGTACATTCTTATAGTTCGAGTACACGTTAAATCCCTCTCTGTTGCAGTGACGTTGTAAGGATGAGCGGTAGATGAGGTGCCTCCAATTTGAACGGCCGATGTGGGTTTGTTGATACCTGCCGTCTGCAAACAGATTATACAAGGACGATGCTCGATGTGTAAAAGATAAACCTCTGAGTTGACGACCATATTTCATGACAACACAAATTTCGTTGAATGAAGTTTTCCAAAATGTTTGTCCCTTGAATTCTGTGTTGTCAAAACCTCCTTTTTTCCCACGGTCATTATCATTGTAAGCGTTCTTGTTCGTCCAATAACTGGAGCTGTATCGGAACGTTTCCTAAAAAAAACCCAAAAATTATCGTCCACCCCGACTCTTGTAGATATAACTAATGAGAAAACAAGTTTATGCGCCGCAAGATCATGAGACATCGTGATTGAGTTATCACCTTCCTTCCATCAATTTTCATCACCATCGTCCACCCACCACCAGAACAACCTGGGATAGACGACATCTGGCAGTACACGCCCGTCTTTTGATTTTGCCCAACACTGATTTGGTAAAGACCACTTGTAGAAGAACTACAAAAAACCGACATCAATTATTATATTCAGAGCCGTAGCTGGACAGCTTAATTGGAGGGTGTATATTCATATATTATATACACAAGCGCAGGATATGAGCTAATGTGCAATCTGATTGGCTCTCTACTAGTCAGATATTCGCTCATATCCGTCTAGTAGAGAAACAAAAAAAAATGGCGGCAAGATTTGGGGAGTTAAGCGACGATGAAATTCAAGTTTTTCTTGATAAAAGTACACCAAAGTGCACAGAAAGGGCAACAAACTTTGAAACAAAAGTATTCAACAGTATGTTAAAAATGTAGGTTTACAAAATATACGGTTTCGTTTCTGTTTTTCGATATTAAAACGTTCGAAAAAACGCGATACATGATTTAAATATTCAATTTTTAAAAAAGTGTGCTCACTATATTGTTCACTCTCGGCATATATGACTAACAGCTAACTTGGCGCCTATCACTTCGTCGGCTATCAGTGCATATACGACTCTGGTTTGCAGAATAACTGTTAAATATTCACATGTTTACATATTATATACTGGAACAATAGCGCACAAAAGAAATGAATCTGACATAAGTCGTTTTAGAACAACCAGCAAATTTGTTTACATTTCGAGTAACCCAATTAAAAAGAATGGGTAAATTTCGACTACAGGTAAAAGGTACATTATTTACCCAAATGGTAAGTTCTAAAAATTTAGGCACTCTGGTTGGCTTTGCATGAAAATTTAAACACATTTGCCGATTAGTCTTAGACGGAATTCCTCCCTCCTTCGGCAGTTTGCATCGCCGGGAAGCAAATTTGGAAATTCCTCAACACCAGTGGTCATAAATCGTACCTCTGACTCTCCTTTATTTCTTTGCAGGAATTGAACACTGTAACGAAGACATTTAAAAGAGTGAACTATATTGTACTTAATTTGTGTGAGCTGTTGTAATTAGTATATACATGTATTCAGAGTGTCCCCCAAACCCAAAAACTATTGAAAGCACCTATTGTTATAACATTTGAATGACCTGCTTTTTTCAATTTACGGGTTGTTTATATAAGGAAATGTACGTATAATTGAAACTAACTATACCTCTGGGTTTTCTTTTCTCGTGCAAATTTCCCCTCGGTATTTCAGGAAACGACGGCCTTCGTGCTGTGCCATGTAGAATTAGAGTAAAACCAAACAGCCAGCCTAAAAAATATAATTAATATTAACGTGCACTTATCGCCTCGTACTGTGTGTCTCATGATCAAGAGTCAATTATTGCGCAATAGTAAGCTTTGTTTTAGTTATAAATGAATCTATTTCAAGTCAGAAACTAGTGATAATGCTCCAATTCCTTCCTAAATTTAATTTAATTTAAAACCTAAAAAGAAATTCCCAAAGTGATTTGGTTGCAAAATTTTGAAAAATTTAAAAAATATTATAGCACAATCGCGAAGCTTGCAAATTTTGTATAAAAATGTCTTTACCGCAAAATGATTTTCTTGTTGCCGATAGCTCATATCTTAAGGTCTGTTCACACAATAAAATTTTGTTGAATCCAATTTACTTCTGACGTATGAGATATATCGGCTATTTGGTGATGCCGTAGTGTACAATGACTTCAGTGAATTTGCTACTGATATACATGACATATCAACAGACTACAAAACATCCATCAGAAGTGAATTGTATCCAACAAAATTGGATCATGTGAACAGACCTTTAAATAATTTTTTTCTTCAGAGTAGTGTTATTTTTCATGTACATTTTCTATAAAGTTTCTGAATTCGTGTGATTTCATGCTGTTTGGCGTACAAAGATTCACATCCACAAAGATTAAAAAATTTAGATTCACAAAAATGTCATCAAATATACCTCCTTCTAATTCCGGGAACCTTCGAAGATCATTCCTAAAAGTTACAGTCCATGTTCCTTCTGATGATTCACCCCAGAAGTGCACACTAACTGTTTTCAAATTATTGTAGCGCCTTTGACCAGCATAGGCGTCAAGTGAACGAGGAAATATTACTTGGGACTCGGTTCCCCCTGGTGAAGTAATGTAAGCGCCAATCACACCACGTCTGAAATACTGAAGATCAAATCTTGCCTCGACATGTTCCAAATAATTGATCACTCCACCGCGACATTGATCTCTACCAACTTCAATATCAAATGAATTGTCTCTCCTTGAAAACAAAAAGAAAATCATAATTATACTCTCTCTTAGATAATATTGCCTTTTCAGGCCTATTTAGACTGCACGATAACTTGTATGCAATTATCATTCTGACGAATGCAAAAGAGTGGCAATGCCACAATCTCCATTTATATTGTTAAGGGTGAAATTCGTATGTGTCACGTTTGTACGTGTCTTCATACGTTCACATATACGTCAGTGTAAGACAAATCGCATATTGTAAATGGGCCTTTTAACAATTTAAACTGTTTCTAGGCAAAACCTCGGCCCCTGAAAAGATATTTTCTTTGTTCTGGAGTTGCACTTCCTAATACAATGTTTTATGCATATGTCCCTAGATTTTTCTGGTTGAGAAAGTTTAACGCCATAACATAGCGCCATATCTAAGTTTTGGCCAATTTTAAACTTTTAGGGAATTTTTACGCAAGAATCAATTTAATATAACAGCAACCAGGAGAGTGTATAATTTTTTTTGTTTTCGGCCAATCTCTTCAGAGTTGCAAAAAGAGTTCAACCTTCCTTCGGTAGGATTTCAAGTTTTGAAAACCTTTCTCAAAATTACGTTACAACACTGATTCAAGTGGCAACCAGCATGACAAAATATTTGTTTTTTTGGTACATGCATTTGATCAATTAGACTGTTCAACTTTGAACCTTCCTCACAAACCTCATTCAAAGCAAACCTTCCTCCGGGTGGCACCCGCGCACCGCAGCTTTTTTGCAAATCTGAATCTCCTTTCCCGAACTCGCGACCTCAAGCGAGGAAACGAAGGTCCTGGGGTATTCTAAACCGGAAGCCGGAAATCTTGCCTAATACTAACTGCGCATGTTTTGTAAACATTTGAAACTTCTCAAAACAAACTTGCAAACATTGAAGTTATTCAACAATATATATAAAACAATAAAAATTTTTTTGGAAAATATTAGTCGCGATTTTCTGTATTATGATTGACTAAGTTCAACTTGATTGCTCCTAATTTAAAAAAAATGTAATAAAAACTTTCGCAATGCGAACCATTTCCGTAGCAGCAGAAACCCAACCTTTTTACGCAATTTTCTTACCTTCCCAGCAATCTCTTATATCCACTTGCACCAATTTGAAGTTCAACTTCGCATTTAATCTGTCGTGGTAATGCACTGAATTTTCTAGCATTTTCTACCATCTGCGAAGCATTAAGAAATCCAAATCCAACCTTGTCACTCACTAAAAGGATTAGGCTTAATGTTATACTAATTATATTTTAGGCGGTTATCTGATGCAAAGCAAAGACCCTTTGAAAATATTTTCAAGTTTGTTTGACGCGGCTTCCTAATCATAGCTGTTAAAAAATAGAAAGCAAGTCTATCATTTTATTCAGCAAGCAAACAGAATGTTTTAACCTTAATACAAAGATAATGTTAACAACTACATACTCAGTGCATAATATTCAAGTTGACTCATTCCAGAGAGATGTTATTCAATTTTGACTTATCCGCCGTTTGAACTAAACGGGACTGATACAACCGGCCAAACAAATTAACGTAGCATAAATTTTGCAAAAACGTGAATTTTGAGCATATTTTTAGTGAACCAAGGAAACATCTGGAGGACAATTTTTAATGATCATGACGTCAGAGCAATGGATCTATTGATCAGGTAAACGGTGGCGATCGAAAAACTAGGCGGAAAGCGTCACTGGAAAATGAAAATTCAGCAAATGGCTTTGTTTATTATGGCAAATTTATTGGCTAACGTTTCGTTGTATTGTTCACAGCGTCTTGGAACAATTAAACTCAGTACCTCGAAATCCTGCTTTGTTTACGGTCCATTTTACACTTTTGTCGATAACATCACTCATACTGGATGCTACTATTAAGTGCTGTACTTGACGCCATGTTAAAGTTTTTCTAAAAACATGCAAATAACACGCTTGATCAGAGCTCACAAAAACTTTTTAATGCGTGGTGGTCGGGTGTGTTTTTCGATATAGAATTATAATATATATTGTAGAGTGAAATTATAATTATAGGCTTTAAATTCTCAATGCCAAAAGAAAAAGATACAGCAAATTTTTCAGCAAAAGATCAGAATTAGTAACGACTTGCATGCAATCATAAAATGAAATTCTACGCCAAAGCTGGTCGGGTGTGTTATTCGATATAAAATTATGATGTATATTTCATAGAGTGAAATTATAATTATAAGTTTTAAATTCTCAATGTCAAAAGAAAAAAGATACGGCAAATTTTTCAGCAAAAGATCAGAATTAGTAACAACTTGCAATCATAAAATGAAATTTCACGGTGGAATTTCATGGTGGAATTTCATGAAAATTTCATGAATGCGTGCATTGTTCTCAACAACCACCCCCACACATAATTCACACCAATTCATTATTTGTTTGACGACCACCTGCCCATCATTTCCAATATTGTTATACATGCAGTATATCTTACTTTGCTTCCAATGTTAGAGCAATAACGCCTGATACCAAAGCAGTGGCGCCTGATGTTGCACCAAATCTTGAGTCACAAGAATAATCATTGTAACTTGAAGCCGTTTCCTAAATATAATAAATGCAAGAATATTCACGCTTTCCCGGGAGTACGTTAGGGAAGCTTTCCACTGTCGTTAAAAATCATTTGAATGCTACTGATAAAATCCATGATTGAATGCATAGGGTTGTATTCTGTTCAAGGTTTGGTATGTTTATTCTGCAATAAAAATAATTATATAAAACTTGGAAGGTTTTAAGCTTTTACGTGCGTGTCCGTGCATACGCAAAACGTGAGAATGGAAAGCAGCCCTTAGGGAAACAATTCGCACGTTGTTTAAGGTATTGATCGATAAAATTTGTTCTGGAATGCAAGATAGCATGCTGGGACCAGTTCTTCAAAGCTAGGTTAGCGCTAACCCTGGGTTTAATTCATTGCTTAGTGCTCTTGTCGGTCCACAAAATATTCATAGAAAAATAAATGCAACTATGTAATGATGTACAACTATGGAAAGATTTTCTTTAACCCAGGGTTAAGCTAACTAGCTTTTGAACAACCGCCCCCAGGTCTGGTTTTGCCGGATTTAATATTGCGGTTTCTCCTTTGCATCATTATGGCTTTTTAGCCCTTGGAATTCTGTTTCAGAAACGTTTTGAGAAGAAAGTTTTCTGTTGGGAATTCTTTTTAAGATAAAAAACCTAAAAATCCTTTCAACTCACCAAATTAACACCATAAGCAGAAGTCATAACAGAACCGCATGCCTCAGAACTGGATAAAGGTTTTCCATATCGATCCACAGCGCCAACAGCGATGGTGTAGATGTTATTAACAAATCCATTAAATGCGCAACTGTCGCCAAAAAACCCACCATTTCCAGCAGAAAAAACATAAATTGAACCAAGGCCTCCTCGTCCCTTGGGCGATGAAAATATAGACAACAATAAGCAAATGATGTACAGGTTATCATGATACTACAACTAACAATATATTAATCTGAAAATTTATAGTGTGCATAATGGTATACACAATTTTCTCTGAGCCGTTGTAAAGCAGTGCGCGAGATAGGGAACTAATTCCGCGTGCAGATTTAATTACACCTGGGCGTCGACGGAACAATGCCGAACCTAAATTCGAGCAAATTCTTTGACATATAGATGTCGACATGTCGTATTGTTTTGTTGGTTATGCACATGCGCAAAAGTTGAGGGATTCAACACTGGTAATTATTAACAGCTTTCTGATTAGCTAAGATGAAAAGTTTGTACTTCATTGAGGACATCATCAACTAACTGTCACCTCGCTAACTATTTTGTGAAAACGTTTTATTAACTTTAAACAAAAATTGCCAAAAAGGGTTGGTTATTTCGAGAGGGTTATTTCGAGAAAAACGCCAATGCAATTACAGACTGAGCGGTAAAAGAAGAGCAATTTGTCATCTGTATACTTTGAAGTGTTTTCAATAGGTCAGTTTTTGTTTATTTGTTGTTTGAACTGTTATGTATGAACTGTTGAGAACGAAAACACAATAATCAAATCGAAAAAATCTTAAGAAATGTATGTCAGAGTCAGTGAGACTGAGTTTGAACGGACGTTCATGCAAGATCGGTCTCACCGCGGTTCGATATCCGTCAGACCTCGGTTCAACCGAGGTTTGACCTAGGTTAATCGCGGTTTTTGCTAACGGTTATTTCTAGACAGTACTTCATGTATGCACTGTTGTCTATTGGTGTAATGAGCTCGGAGCTTTGCTTGGTTTTGCAAAGACATAAGCGACTATGAAAGGCTATTGGGCCATTATATTGTTTTAACTTCAAGGAAAGTTTTCTGCCGAGTGAATGATGGTAAGTGGAAACTACCATAACCATCGACTTATTTAATAATACAATGTAGTTGATGCATAGCTTGGGGCCTTTTTGGCTTGGTTTGAATACATGCGAAGGGATTCTGTATGAATGTATTTCTAATATAAACTGCTTAACCGAACTTTCGCATTTGTATTATTATGCACTCTTTTTTTCTCTCTAAACCTGCTACCTACCTTACTTTCGCATTTCTTTTGCTATGCACTCCATTTTTCCTCTTTAAAACTTCCACCTACCTCATTTGCACCCTTTCTCAATGCCGCCAAAGACAGTGGTCCAGGACCGGCGATAACCAAACCACTATCGGGTGGACCCCAGCTGTTGGAGAATATATCAATTTTATGGCCATCAAATGGGTAGAATGCCTTTGCTGTATTACGGTCATTAGGCAAACCTCTGTCTATTAATCGAATACCTGAAATAGGTCGGAAATATTCAGATTCGATCCATATCTTTTTCCATTATACTTGCAAGAAATTAGTAAAACATGTGTGTCCTGACTTTTCTGCTAATGTTCGCTTTATTCATTATTTTTCTATGTTTCCACAGGGCAACCTGACGATTATACTAATAACTATAATATAGTTGTAATTACAGTAATTATCATATACATGTTCATTGCATGCTTTAAAATTTCCTCTGCCTGATTACTATAGACATGGTACGTTTTCAAACCTCACAAAAATTCGATGGAATGAATTAATACCTGCAACATTAGCTTCGTATGCCACACCAACACCACATATTCGATTGTTTGCAGCACCAGCAATTACACCAGCACACTTTGTACCATGACTTTATAAAAAAATGATTAACAGAAAGTTCAGGAGACGTACCATTAGTTGAAAATGCGAATCATGAATCTTTGAAGCATTGCTTATTATTTGAGTTAGCCCGTACTAATCGAAAGGCCATGTCCGATTGGTTGTCGCTAAAACAGCTAAATGATCAATAAACTAATACTTTGTAATACATGTATAACAATGCCTAGTTAATGATTACCAGCCAATTAGAAACCGATACACGGTTATTGTATTATCCACGTCATTGAAGAATTTGTATTGCATCAACAACGAAAGCTACAAGCTTTAACATTAAATTTAAACTAAAAGGGTTGTATTTGAGCAAAAAACACACTTTCAGTTTCGCCGTTAATATTAGGGAGCCAAAACATTTGCAAAACATATGCTGACCTTGCACAGAAAACGGAGTTAAACAGTCTGATAAATGCCGTCAGGCAGAATTTGGGTGTCAGTTTTTAGCCAAGGAAGCGACTGATAAATATTACTATATTTCTAAAACATGCAGATAATCATTTATTTATTTTAATACCACATGAATTTTGCTTGACAGGCATCAAATTCAAGAGAAATATTCTGTAAATAATTTGGATGCCAAACAATTACTTACCTGTCGGATGGCGTAGGGTCTGAATCCTGGTCAACATAATCGTAGCTTAATCGTGGGAGCTGAGAATAAATAAAATATTTATTGAATAATTTATAAATAAAAATAAAATAAAATGTTTAATTGCTTACTCAAGTTTTAGCCCTCAACAACAAGCGGGAATTTCGTTTTAGACCAATCAGCAAGTAAAACAATATTTCAGTAAGCTAATCAGAATGCATAAATTTTTATAAAAAGTACAATATATACCATTTTACATGAAGTATTTAAAATTTAGGCATTCTGATTGGCGATTAGTTTAAAACGAAATTCCTTCTTGTTGCCCGGAGCCAGAAAGAGAAGGGTAAAAATCTCTCTGGATAAGTTAATAATAAAACAATCATTGAACTTGGCTCTCACCCTAGGGGGAGGGCAAGGTGATCATTTGACCCCTTCATAGTTTGTTTCATACGATGTTCGCTTCACTCACTATAAGATATTCCTCTCGCCCCAAACCCTTTCTTTGACCCCCACGCAATTCTCCACCCCATTCATTTTAACCTTGCCCCGCTACTGGTTCTCGCAGTCACTGCTTGACGCGCTCGTTAAAAAATTAAATTACTATAAATAAATGAATTCCGAGAAAAGTTTCAAGATTTGCCAGAAAAGTGTCAAATTGCATTGAGACAAATTTGAAATCAGGTTTATCTTGAGAATAACGGGAGTTACCATGGCAGTTTTGACCAATATTTTTTTTTTCAAATATTAAACTCACTTACATAGCGACCTTCGAATTCCTTGTGCGTATACTTAATTCCATCGTCAACAACCGCTACGGTTATATTTTTTCCGGTATATCCATTCCTCCAAACATCATCAATTCGGTGGGCTGCACGGATTCGGCTGCTACCCTGCAAAAAAGAGATGTTTATGAGCTGAAAGGAAATATAAATATTACTTATTGGGGACTTAATTTAAAATAGCCCGCTTTATACTGGAGACAGATCATCCGTCTAGACGACTTGAGCAAGCCAGATTTGTCTGTGTGTAAACACGGGCAAACAGACGGATCATCCGTCAAAACGAATTATCGGCGTAGTTCGTCTGTTTAGACGAATTTGAAAGGGTAGTTTCTCTAGACGCATCATTCGTTTGTCGGTATAAACACCGGGTGGGGACGAACTACGGATAATATTTTCAAAAAACCGCGCTTGTGCACTCTTTACAAAATGAATGATATTTCCTCAATTAATTTTCTTTTACAAGATAAATGCTTCACTAATTACATTTTTGCCGTGATTTGAAATTTAGAGTTTCTTTCCATGAATATTCGTTCCCATATCCCGTGCACTTTCTTGACACGCGATTCTGTTTCGTCTGACATATACCGATATTCATCTACATAGACATAGTTCGTCTTGTGTTTCTACTCAGACGAATGATCTGTCAAAGGGATCATTCGTCCAGGCGGATAATTCGTCATTTCGTCTCTAGTATAAATCGGGCCATTCTAGCAAATTACAATGGTTCACTGATTCAAAATTACGCCTATATCGGAAGAGAGTGATTAAAAAAAACGAAAAAGCATATATTACCATATATTGTTGATATCCCCAATTTGGGTCATTGAATCTCGCCCGATTTACCTAGAAAAATAAATGAAGTTAAAATGTATATTACTTATGTATGCAAAAACACACATACTAACACATGGTATATGTATACAATGACTAATGCATGTAGAATTGCTTCCCTACCGCGGAATATAATGACTACAAAGAACGAAAGAGTATATATTACCCGTAGTTGCTGATTTCTCTGATTTCCCTACAGAGGAAGAAATTATAAATAAGATTGTATATTTCCTATAGTCTCCGTAACACACGCATATCTAACAATTATAGCTACCACGACCTCGAGTCGTGTATATGAGGTGGTAGCCATGCATATAAAATTATGGCAATCAGCCATATACGACAACATTTATATACAGTCTATGAATGCATTCACACACACGAGTTCATGTGTAAGGAACGAGAAGTAGTGACAAGGCCAGACAAGTTTATTTTTATATAATAATATTCAGTTTACGAAAATGTGCAAGTAAATTTAAAACTTTTAAACAAACAAAGCAAAAAATGCTTGGCATCCAAAAGTTTCAATCCAGATAGTGGTTTATTATGGACATGTGTTACAAATAGACCAATGGAAACGCAAGTTTACGAAAGCTTCAAAGAGATATATACGTTGATCAAATAAAATGAATCTTATTAATTTCAAATTAGTTTTTTTAAAGAGTATGGACAATGAAAATTTAGTTTCTATATTATTTGAAAGAGCGAATTACGATAAAAGTTCTATTTCAGAATTTGTGATATCATGTTTTTTTGATGAAATATTTAGACGCTCTAGTGACATGTTAAACTGATTGGACTTCACAAACGTTTTGCGAGATTACACTGACCATTCCGTGACAAATTTAAATACAGTTTCACCAGTTCGGAAAGCTATTTTATTATTGAAATGGACTTATTTCATTAAAAAGCCACAAATTTTGGGTCACTAATGGTTTAAAACATAAATTAGCCTACTTACTTGATTGGTGAATACAACGAAATGTTTTCCATTTCTCTCCACAATTTTGTATCCCCTTGGTGTACTCTGCAACATTATAAGTATACAGGTTATAGCTGAATATGGAAATAAACATCACTGGGCAAATATTAGGCCAAATACGGTGACCACAAAGAACGAAAGAGTATATATATTACCCGTTGTTGCTCATTTCTCTGACTTCCCTATAATTTATATAGAAAGAAATCAATAAATAAGAATGTAGCTACAAATATATTTCCTATTTATACTCTCTGCAGTTTATTTTTATAATAATATTTAGTTTACGAAAATGTACAAGTAACTTTTTCCCAAAGTTTTGAATTTAAAACTTTTAAACAAACAAAGCAAAAAAAAGCTTGCATGGCATCCGAAATTTTCCAATCGACATTAATCCTATCAGCACGACGGCAGCTAGGGTAGTAGTTTATTATGGTTATGTGTTACCAATAAACCAATGGAAACGCAAGTTTACCAATTAAAGCTTCAAAGAGATATGTTGATCAAATAGAAATGAAACTTACTAATTTCAAATTAGTTGTTTTAAAGAGTATGGACAGTGAAAATTTAGTTTCTATATTATTTGAAAGAGCTTCTAAAATTACGATAAAAGTTCTATTTCAGAATTTGTGATATCATGTTTTTTTGATGAAATATTTTGACGCTCTAGTGACATGTTAAACTGATTGGACTACACAAACGTTTTGCGAGATTACATTGACCATTGCGTGACAAATACAGTTTCACCAGTTCGGAAAGCTATCTTATTATTGAAATGGACTTATTTCATTAAAAAGCCACAAATTTTGGGTCAATAATGGTTTAAAACACAAATTACTTACTTGATTGGTGAATACAACGAAATGTTTTCCATTTCTCTCCACAATTTTGTATCCCCTTGGTGTACTCTGCAACATTAAGTACAGGTTATAAATGTGGAAATAAACATCACTGGGCAAATATTCGGCCGAATACGGTGACCACAAAGAACGAAAGAGTATATATATTACCCGTTGTTGCTGATTTCTCTGACTTCCCTATATAGAAAGAAATTAATAAATAAGAATGTAGCTACAAATATATTTCCTATTTATCGTCTCTGCAGTGTTTAACACACACACACACATGTTTAACAATTATAGCTACCACTAGAAATACATGCAGGCAGCACCCCTCACCAAGAGAATAATCTCCTCACGCCTAGATTAGCTATAACTTATGGAATGACTCAATGGCAAAGCGTTGATAGCCAATATTTTTATCATTTGTTACAAATTATATTCATAACATTGAAGGTGATGTCAGCCGTTTTGAGTCCATTTTTTACTGGCGTTTATAGACCCTATCAGCTTAGACAACTGTATAGAAAGAAATTATAAACAAGATTCTATATATTTCCTATTTATAGCCTCTGCAGTGTTTCTAACACATGGAGACACACACATACAAACACATGGTATATATGTACATTGACTTGCTTCCCTAAATAACGTGATTGAAAAGAACGAAAGAGTATATATTACCCGTAGTTGCTGATTTTTCTGATTTCCCTAAAGAGAAAGAAATTATAAATAAGATTGTATATTTCCTATTTATAGTCTCTACAACGTTTAACACACACACACGCATATTTATAACAATTATATCTACCACGAGTTCGAGTCGTGTATGAGATCGTAGCCAGATATGGCTATCAGCCATATATACGACAACATTTATATACACTCTATGAATGCATTCACACACACGAGTTCATGCATGTATAAGGAATGAGAAGTAGTGACAAGGCCAGACAAGTCTATTTTTATAATAATATTTAGTTTACGAAAATGTACAAGTAACTTTTTCCCAAAGTTTTGAATTGAGGTAAAACTTTTCATCCGAAATTTTCTAATCGAGATTAATCCTATCAGCACGACGGCAGCTAGGGTAGTAGTTTATTATGGTTATGTGTTACCAATAAACCAATGGAAACGCAAGTTTACCAATTAAAGCTTCAAAGAGATATGTTGATCAAATAGAAATGAATCTTATTAATTTTAAATTAGTTGTTTTAAAGAGTATGGACAATGAAAATTTAGTTTCTATATTATTTGAAAGAGCTTTTAAAATTACGATAAAAGTTCTATTTCAGAATTTGTGATACCATGTTTTTTTGATGAAATATTTTGACTCTCTAATGATATATTAAACTGATAGGACTACACAAAAGTTTTGCGAGATTACACTGACCATTGCGTGACAAATTCAGTTTCACCAGTTTCGAAAAGCTATCTTATTATTGAAATTGAATTATTTCATTAAAAAAGCCACAAATTTTGGATCACTAATGGTTTAAAACACAAATTACTTACTTGATTGGTGAATACAACGAAATGTTTTCCATTTCTCTCCACAATTTTGTATCCCCTAGGTGTACTCTGCAACATTAAGTACAGGTTAAAAAAATGGAAATTAACATCACTGGGCAAACATTAGGCCGAACACGGTTTAAAGAAACGACAACAATTACACCATGCACATAATTTCTGGGAAATAAGAGAAGAAATCAAGGCAAAGGTTCCGTTTGTCGACGCGAGATTGAGTATTTTATTAATTCCGTTGCAGAACGCCCATATATAACTACTACCTTCTTAATTCCGTTCCTGACTCGGCCCCAGCCGCTTCTATCCGTTTTATAGTAATTATTTACTGAGATTACTCTCCTTAAAACTTTCCTCGCCTTCCCAACATCCCTTGCAGCACCTTATAATCGCGCTCGCCCACTGCATCTAACTTCACGGAAGAGCCTGAGGAGGAAGCAGGTTCCGCTCTTCCATGCACGTCTAAGGGCTGCTTTCCATCGTCGCGTTTTTTTACGCGCGAAAAATTCTAAATGCTTCCAAATTGTTATTATTTCACAAATGGGTTAACAAATGCATACTAAATACGCGGAAAACCAAATTCTTCGATTTATTCGCCTGGAATTTTCAAATATGACATAAATTATAAGGTTTTGTACTTTTATACGTGCGTGTACGTGAATGCGTATGGAAAACGCGACAGTGGAAAGCCGCCCTTAGGGGGGGTAATAAATGGAAGAGACTTACGCCTGTATTCAAAAAGCTCACTCACACTCATACTCATCGAGTGTGACAAATAAATTTCGTTAATGCTGATCAATGAGAAAGTTTTTTCTGAATAAATGGAAAGATATAAGGTAAATCACTGAAAATCAAGCCCCTGTTCAGCTGGAAATACCGCCATTGAAACGTTATGAGAAGATTAAGATCTCCCACTCAATGAGTTTGAGTGTAAGTGAGCTTTTAGAATACAGGCGTTAGTTTCCCGCCTGTTTTAGAACGTGTTTGTTGACCTAGATGTTTAATATTAAAGTTTTAAAAGCATTTAAACTTTTATAAGTGCAACGTTTTAGACGTCCAAAAAACGCGATAGTGGAAAGCAGCCCTGACTACCAGTTTCTTAAATCCGTTCTACAACTCATGACTGATACAAACACGTTGTATGAACGTTCTATTAACGTTCGTCGAACGTTTGGATAACGCTATTTTTTAACGTTGGTTAAACGTTTTTTTGTGAACTCGTAGTAACGTAGTATTAACGTTACAGCCCGACGTTAATACAACGTCCGTATACAACGTGTTACGAAATGCGAATATTTAATGTAATTTAGCATTGTTAAGAATCAGAAGGTCAATATCGACAAGGAACTTACTTGGGGAACATGTCACTTATAATGAAGTGTAAAGTAAATATTATTATGACCCTTCGGAATCACAAAATGACTTTTCCTGTCATGAGGTGACCCATGAGCCCATGGGATTTCCTCTGAAACAATAGTATGTCGTACAAAGTACAAGTGTCACGACTCAAGAACATTATAAGTTCTAGGCGGATACTAGTTTATGTCAATCATTTCTTTGTTATATTTTGCTTGGTTAAGCACTTGAAGCCTTACGTCACTAAAAGCTTAATTCGATGAAATTATTTGTAAAATAGTTTATAAGTTGAGATACGGTTCACAGAGTCATAAGTTGATGATTGTACTTTAAGTTGATGATAAATATTTTAAGTTGTGAACAAGTTTTAACAGTAATCGATTAGGTAAAAGACCAACTTAATTGACTAGTGCGTCACCAGTCTTAAGTAAACAAAGTATGAGAGCTGGACCGAGCTTCTAACGCCAAACCACACTTACAACCTACAACGCTGAATGGATTGTGTGAATCACACCACCTTGCAAAGGGCGTCTTCAAGATCCCCTCAAATTTTATTATAAAAGGAGGCGCAAGCAACAGAACATTCAGTGGACTAGCGGAGTAAAAATCATATGAAACGTTGGAGAAGCTCAACCTGACAGAACAGACAGCCAAGACAAGAACAGAAAACAACGAGGTTCGAAAGGACGAAGAATCCGAAGAGAAGAGAAGAACGGAGAAAGAAGAGCACATTATTGAACTTTAGTAAAACCTTGTAAATATCTCTTACCTCGCGTAAATAGAAAATAAAAGCTACATATCAAACTTTCAACTCAATGTTCATATAACCTATTTTATATATATGCCATATCGGCCATCTCGCCGCATGGGTTTCATGGAAAAGAACATGTCATATTTTGTGAATAATGAAAAATCGAGAATCTCTTCTTAATCTTGTGACAGGTAAATGAGTACTTGGAAATTAAATTACCCTTTTCTTTATACAATCGACGCAGATAAGCTGTAAAAATGTGAATGTAAAATGCTTCAGTCGAAGACACATTTTACTTTGGTGCCCTTTGACCTTATTGGCTTATACCAACAAATTCATTGTTTGCGCAAATTTTCATTCCTATTACAAACTATATAAAACAATATTTAGTTACGTTGATGACCTTGGTACTTCAGTTTTTCCAACAGAAAAAAAATTTCAAACAAAACTAAGGTAGATTATGTTTAAAATAAAAGGAGATTTGTTTCTCGCAAGCTTCCAACGGAAACGAACTCGCGGTGTATGTGTGATCGCAATTTGAGCCTACGAATTTTATCGACTGGTCCCCAGCACTGACCATATGTGGTATTGACATATCACAGCATCGATTTGGATTTCGTGCGGTTGTTGAAATGTTTCTGTCGTCTTACTCGTCTATCAATCGTATATGTTAATATATTTATAATAAAACATAGCATTTCGGCCATCATCGCAGTATCGAATAATTGGTATCGTAACTATGGTTTACCATTCATGAACCTGTATGTTCGCAACTGTCTCACTATGACTCACAGATTTTCGCTAACTGAACATTTTTGGGTGATGAACGCACATCGCACATCGCACAGCGATTTCATAATAAATTGAACTTTAAATTCAAAAAACCGCAATGCGAAATGTTTGAACTGAATGTTAATCGCATTCCCATGATCAAGATTCAAGCATATATAGTCACACTCAACAAAAATGTAACCATGATCGAACGTTAATATCGGCTTCCAAACAACGTTGTCACAACGTGGCAATGCAACGTTAATACGACGATAATGTCACCCTGTGCGAACGTTAATCTCAACTTTCAACCAACGTTGTCACAACGTTGAAATGTAACGTTGATACAACGAACAATATCACCTGTACGTCAAACGTTAAACACAACGTTAAACCAACGTTACTGCAACGTCAGAACATAAGGATAACATAAACGTGATTGCCAGGTTGAGTCCAACTTTCAACCAACGTTGTCACAACGTTGAAATGTAACGTTGATACAACGAACAATATCACCTGTACGTCAAACGTTAAACACAACGTTAAACCAACTTTACTGCAACGTCAGAATATTACAATAAGATAAACGTGATTGCCAGGTTGAGTCCAACGTTCAACCAACGTTGATACAACGTGGTCGAAAGTGAATTAGAACAAACAACGTTGTGAGAACGTTGTATTAAGGTTTAGTCACGACAGTTAGCCAAAATACAACCTTTGGCCAACGTTGGGATAATGTTGTGAACAAGCTGGATACTCTCGCTTTTCCGTTCTACTACGTCCAATGACAACTAGAACTTTTGTTTTTTTCCGTTCTACAACTAACTACTACTTTCTTAATTCGTCTCTACAACGCGTAACTATTACATTCATTATTCCGTTCCAGTACACCTAACCATACTACTTTCCTTATTGTGTTCTAAATTCCTCTTTCGTCTTCCATGCCTGCGTTTCCTTATTTTCCTGGCTTCGGCGCGCGATTCTCGGTATTTCATTGAAAATCGGCACTATTATTGTTAATTTAAAGCATAGCCAACCTGTGAGCCGCGATTTCTATTATACTGCGATCCTTCATTCTCTCTTGATATACTTAAAAGTAGTATCATCCATACGGCGAGATAACCAACGTTAGTAAAAGCTTCCATACCACACACAGATGGTAAAATAATATCGTAGATCGCACAGATTTGTCTTATAATGCACTCTCTTTCCGGTATAATCTATGCCGACAATGCGTTTCAGCAGTGTATGGCAAAGAATGACCAAACTTGGGTTGACAACAGCTTTATGTTGCGAAGCTTCCCGATGTAATATGTCCGTTTCAGCAGTTCTCGGTATACAATGACCTAGGTTGAGCTGACGCCAGTCTGATGTTGGTCTGGGCCGCTGCCTTCTCGATGTAATATGTCCGTTTCAGCAGTTTTTAGGTAAACAATTACCTAAGTTGAGCTGATGCGAGTCTGATGTCGCACTGGGCCGCTGGCTTCCCCGTGTAGTGCATCGGTATCCGTTTAAGAAGTGTGTCGAAATAAAATTAATTGACTTGCATTTAACAGATGTTTTAAATCGCCCTGGTTTTCCAGTGAAATATAACCGTTTCAGCAGTGTAGTTATCACTTGAATATCAAGTTCAAGTTCAATTCATCTCTCACGAGTCACTCACTCACTCACTCAATATTTAACGTAGGCCTAACACGTATCAAGAGTATCTTTAAAAACGGAGGTTATTTCTTCGTTTTTAAAAAAATTCTCGTCCACACGAAGCGTATTCGAATCGTTTTTGCCCGTCTACACGTAAACGCTAAAACAAAGGGAATTTGATAGCGCCAAGCGTAGGCCATTATGCGCATTTCCAAATAATATGAGCGCGTCCAAACGATCGCAGGGTTCGAATGCCAATAATTTATGCGCGCCTTGATAACAACTATGTTAATTTGGCGGAATTTAAAAACAATTCCGCGTAGTATATTGCTTTGGGTTGGCTTTATGCTCGCTCTTTCTTGAATTAAAATGACTAGAAAATCAAAGAAACAACCAAATCTTCGCGGTCTACCTGGTGAGACGGCAGGCATCTTCAGTCACATTCACTCGCTTTTTTAAATACTCCCCGTGGAGGTTGAGCTAGTAACATGAAGCTGAATGCATGCTATATGAGACTTGAAATAGGCCAAAGTAAAACGTTGTAAGTCGTTGTTATGCATGCGAAATCCGAATTACAATCAGTAATTACAACAAAATATGTCATGGGAATTACGACCAAATACAACGAATTATGTTATTGGAAAACCAGTCTATAGAAGAGTACTAGCTGGGTGTCCAATGTGAGGTTAGTTTGAAGCGGATACCGCTGTCGTTTGTTTATTATGCAATGACGTCATACAAAACTGGCCTATTATTTCTTCGCTAACTTACCACGCTGCCACGAGTGTTCCCTGGTTACATTGGAGCGTATTATTCTCGTTAACTTGAATTAAAAATTATAAGTGAAATGCTGCGAGCGAATACACGTAGTGCCTTCCCCCAGCCATCACTTGTGTATATAGTTTACTGGATAGTAATGACAATATTGCGTGTCAAAAAACTTGATCTTGCTTATATTATGATATTAAATAAGATATTACTATATATGATACGTGTTCTCAAAAAATCATCCTGACAGACAAAAATCGCTTAAATCAAGACGCACGTCAAGAATGTAGGGTTCATGTTTTATTAGGTTCCACTGAACTTCCCTACTGGTATTTTTGCATAAGAAATTCCGAGATATTGTGCGTCTTCTTACTTCCCTTTAAGTCCTTTTACACTGAAACCGTAGCACGTTTTTTAGGACAGTATCCATGCAACGATGATAGACGCTCAGCAAGCTGCATCATTGTCAAGTGGAGAGCTAAAATATTTAATACAGAAACAAATGCCAAACCTGGTTTCGTCTACGCGTAACGTGTTCCTTTGGAAGAATAGAATATATTATATACATAGCATCATGGAACAACGAGTGAAGCTAGGATGGTTTTGCCCAACCAAGTCTCTGTAATGCAATACCATTCAGTATCATTTTTAGTTTGTAATCTGATTGCTATGCATATACACATTAAATTTCTTACACAAATTGTAATATAGAAAAATATAAGTATTAATTTTAGGGTATATTAAATTAATGTATAGACCTGTATCATAAATGCACCTTTTGTATTATAGACCAACTTTTTATTTAGGCAACAAAAAGGAAATTTCTGAAAAGTGTATACTAAATTTTGTAAAATTACCAAGTTTGGCTTAAAAATATTGTAAAGTGCGGAATATACAGCCATGCAAATTTGGGCAATTTTGTATACTTTTTTACTATGGCCTGAAGTGTGTAACTAAAGTAATTAAACGGTTTCAGCCGTAGTAAAAAGTATACAAAATGGGCTACTTCGTATGGCTATATTTTCCGCAATACTTGACATTTTGAGGCCAAACTTGGCAATTACATTAATTTCGGTATGCTCTTTTTAGCTGTGATGATTTATTTCCTTCTTGTTGCCTAGATCGTAAGTTGGTCTATTATGCAAAAGGTCCATTACATGTAAATAACATATGTTAGCATTCTGTTACACGTTGGAAAACATATTGATCCTGGGCGTGCAATGTAAGATACCACGCATGCATGCAGCATAGTTATATCACGCGAGATAATATATCTACAAGGGTTTCGAATTTTTTCATAGCTGGCAGATAAATTGAGCAAGCACGTTACTTAATTAGGTTAGTATTAGTAATTCGAGAAGTTGCAAAATCACAACATGGCCAGATATCATAACCTCCAGAAAAACAATTTTATTCCAGCTAAATTGGACTAGTAAAGTAGCTTACTGAAGTAGCTAGCCGACTAAATCGCCGCTTCCATAATACGAAGGTTCAAACTTAAAAGCCGAAACTACGCTTACATAAGATATCATTCACTGAATTTATATAATGTAGAAATATTATATACGAACTGCAAAATTTGTCATTATATTTAGCGGTAAATTCCTTGGTTGTTATTTCTGGCCATCATTAATTAGGATGTTATTTTCGATTGCCGGACGTCTGAAACATGGTGCGGAGATAACATTCACGTCGACTCGACAATTCCTGATAGTAATAAACAAATATAGCTACAAGAGTTGTATCGCAAATTATGACGCAACTTTTAATCTGATCTTTGACAGGAGGTCAAATAACCACTGTGATGTTAGCCGCGGATTCGGCCTCAGATTCGGCCTCAGATTGGGCCTCAGATTGGGCCTCACATTCAACTGTGTTCAATCATTCAAAAGTAGAATTTGGTCATTTAATAATAACAGGTTTTTTAGCCATTTTTTCGTTTAAACTTTAAAATTACGAAGATGTATAGCTTATTTATGCATTGCTAGACTGTAATTAGAACAAAGCAGTCGATTTTATACAGATTTACAGAGTAAATTGATTATTATTTTTGGGCACTGTGTGAGAAGTGATTGACCCGCATAGATATGGCATACACTATAATGTTTTATTTCAATTCCTGTGTATACGTCTATATTTTACAGAAAAATACGGCCTTACAAATGGCGTGCATCGTTGGGCTGCACAGTCACAACATACTCGGGATTATTTGCTTCCTTTCTCAAATTAAAAATGTCCTTATGATATAAATACAAAAGACTTAACTAGTATATGATCCTCTCACCGACGCTATCAATGTTACAATTTGCCAAAGTCATTTGCTACAACAAGAATTAGCGTAGATGTGCATACAAATCAAACGTACTATTGCCATATGACAAACAATGGTCCAACGAGGTTAGGATTACAAGTTAAACTCGGCGCAACTTTCACACGCATATATAAGGCGCTATTATACGAATCAAGATCAGGTTACAATTGAGAAAAGTACTTAATATTTAGAGGTTGGTTTCTTATTAACTGTGCATACAAATGTTCTCAAATTTTAGCATTCAGTACATTACTGTACGATCTTTCTAATGACACCTACGTTTTTGCGGTAAAAAGAAAAAAAACGAGCGTTTTTGCGATACATTCGGCTTCCATTTTTGACGTATTATTGCGTAATAATAAGAGCGCAGAAAAACTAAACTATTGTAATTCTGAAACATAAGTTGTAATATTAAATATACTTTCCAATGGGTAAATGAATGTCAAGACAGAATGAAGCGAAAAAATCCATGTAAGACATATATAAGACGGTATTATACGAATCAAGATCAGGTTACAATTGAGAAAAGTACTTAATACTTAGAGGATGATTTCTTATTAACTGTCCATACAAATGTTCTCAAATTTTAGCATTCAGTACATTACTGTACGATCTTTCTAATGACACCTACGTTTTTGCGGTAAAAAGAAAAAAAACGAGCGTTTTTGCGATACATTCCACTTCGATTTATGACGCATTATTGCGTAATAATAAGAGCGCAGAAAAACTAAACTATTGTAATTCTGAAACATAAGTTGTAAAATGAAATATAATATCCAATGGATAAATGAATGTCAAGACAGAATGAAGCAAAAAAATCTATGTAAGAGACTTAAAAGGGGCTATTATACGAATCAAGATCCTCTAAATATTAAGTACTTTTCTCAATTGTAACCTGATCTTGATTCGTATAATATCACCTTATATATGTCTTACATGGATTTTTTCGCTTCATTCTGTCTTGAAATTCATTTATCCATCGGAAATTATATTTCATTTTACAACTTATGTTTCAGAATTACAATAGTTTACTTTTCTGCGCTCTTATTATTACGCAATATTACGTCAAAAATGGAAGCCGAATGTATCGCAAAAACGCTCGTTTTTTTTCTTTTTACCGCAAAAACGTTGGTGTCATTAGAAAGATCGTACAGTAATGTACTGAATGCTAAAATTTGAGAACATTTGTATGCACAGTTAATAAGAAATCATCCTCTAAATATTAAGCACTTTTCTCAATTGTAACCTGATCTTGATTTTCGTATAATAGCGCCTTATATATGTCTTACATGGATTTTTTCGCTTCATTCTGTCTTGACATTCATTTACCCATTGGAAAGTATATTTAATTTTACAACTTATGTTTCAGAATTACAATAGTTTAGTTTTTCTGTGCTCTCATTATTACGCAATAATACGTCAAAAATGGAAGTGGAATGTATCGCAAAAACGCCCGTTTTTTTCTTGTTACCGCAAAAACGTTGGTGTTATTAGAAAGATCGTACAGTAATGTACTGAATGCTAAAATTTGAGAACATTTGTATGCACAGTTAATAAGAAATCATCCTCTAAATATTAAGTACTTTCTCAATTGTAACCTGATCTTGATTCGTATAATATCACCTTATATATGTCTTACATGGATTTTTTCGCTTCATTCTGTCTTGAAATTCATTTATCCATCGGAAATTATATTTCATTTTACAACTTATGTTTCAGAATTACAATAGTTTACTTTTCTGCGCTCTTATTATTACGCAATATTACGTCAAAAATGGAAGCCGAATGTATCGCAAAAACGCTCGTTTTTTTCTTTTTACCGCAAAAACGTTGGTGTCATTAGAAAGATCGTACAGTAATGTACTGAATGCTAAAATTTGAGAACATTTGTATGCACAGTTAATAGGAAATCATCCTCTAAATATTAAGTACTTTTCTCAATTGTAACCTGATCTTGATTCGTATAATATCACCTTATATATGTCTTACATGGATTTTTCCGCTTCATTCTGTCTTGAAATTCATTTATCCATCGGAAATTATATTTCATTTTACAACTTATGTTTCAGAATTACAATAGTTTACTTTTCTGCGCTCTTATTATTACGCAATAATACGTCAAAAATGGAAGCCGAATGTATCGCAAAAACGCTCGTTTTTTTCTTTTTACCGCAAAAACGTTGGTGTCGTTAGAAAGATCGTACAGTAATGTACTGAATGCTAAAATTTGAGAACATTTGTATGCACAGTTAATAAGAAATCATCCTCTAAATATTAAGCACTTTTCTCAATTGTAACCTGATCTTGATTTTCGTATAATAGCGCCTTATATATGTCTTACATGGATTTTTTCGCTTCATTCTGTCTTGACATTCATTTACCATTGGAAAGTATATTTAATTTTACAACTTATGTTTCAGAATTACAATAGTTTAGTTTTTCTGTGCTCTCATTATTACGCAATAATACGTCAAAAATGGAAGTGGAATGTATCGCAAAAACGCCCGTTTTTTTCTTGTTACCGCAAAAACGTTGGTGTTATTAGAAAGATCGTACAGTAATGTACTGAATGCTAAAATTTGAGAACATTTGTATGGACAGTTAATAAGAAATCATCCTCTAAATATTAAGTACTTTTCTCAATTGTAACCTGATCTTGATTCGTATAATATCACCTTATATATGTCTTACATGGATTTTTTCGCTTCATTCTGTCTTGACATTCATGTACCCATTGGAAAGTATATTTAATTTTACAACTTATGTTTCAGAATTACAATTGTTTAGTTTTTCTGCGCTCTTATTATTACGCAATAATACTTCAAAAATGGAAGTCGAATGTATCGCAAAAACGCCCGTTTTTTTCTTGTTACCGCAAAAACGTTGGTGTCATTAGAGAGATCGTACAGTAATGTACTGAATACTGAAATTTGAGAACATTTGTATGGACAGTTAATAAGAAACCATCCTCTAAATATTAAGTACTTTTCTCAATTGTAACCTGATCTTGATTTTCGTATAATAGCCCCTTATATATCTCTTACATAGATTTTTTGCTTCATTCTGTCTTGACATTCATTTATCCATCGGAAATTATATTTCATTTTACAACTTATGTTTCAGAATTACAATAATTGAGTTTTTCTGTCATCTGGTTATTACGCAATAATACGTCAGAAATCGAAGTGGAATGTATCGCAAAAACGCCCGTTTTTTTTCTTTTTACCGCAAAAACGTTGGTGTCATGAGAAAGATCATACAGTAATGTACTGAATACTAAAATTTGAGAACATTTGTATGGACAGTTAATAAGAAACCATCCTCTATGATTGTAACTTGTTCTTGATTAGCATAATGGCATCTTATATATCTTTTACGTAGATTTTTTGCTTCATTAAACCTTTCAGTTAAATTTTGAGCATCTTTGGCTATATATTCAGTTTGATACCATAACTAATATTATAATTGTCTAATCTCTAATGTGTCTAATCCTTTGAATAAATGTGTCTTTTAATTAAGCAGGCATAATGAGATCATCTTTTTTCGCATTTTGTTCGCTTAAGTGCGTCTATTTTACATGTCATCACTGTTTTAATTGCTTTATTTTAATAGCACGTCAACCTTCTGTCTTCTGAGTAATCCCTTAATGCCTAAGCGCAGGTTCCATCGTCTGCGCTACAAACTGCATCAAAACACGGCACAGCACATTGTATTATTTTGTAGAACAATGAAATCATACCTTCATATAAACAGAAGTTTTAACTTCAATGCAGTGGATGGAATAGGCATGCATTTTGTATGAAATGCATAAATTTAAATTGCACAATTAGGATGATAACGTGGGTATATATGTCAACACCATGTAATATTGTAAGATGTTTTTGCAATGAGTCGTTGCTGTTGCCCTGAAACATTCAGCGTGTAACGTCTGCGTCTTCAACTGATGTGTACTTTTGGATAGATGGGAAAATACTGTTCTAAATAACGTTTGAAACGATCTATATATGCGTGTGAAAGTTGCGCCGAGTTTAACTTGTAATCCTAACCTCGTTGGACCATTGTTTGTCATATGGCAATAGTACGTTTGATTTGTATGCACATCTACGCTAATTCTTGTTGTAGCAAATGACTTTGGCAAATTGTAACATTGATAGCGTCGGTGAGAGGATCATATACTAGTTAAGTCTTTTGTATTTATATCATAAGGACATTTTTAATTTGAGAAAGGAAGCAAATAATCCCGAGTATGTTGTGACTGTGCAGCCCAACGATGCACGCCATTTGTAAGGCCGTATTTTTCTGTAAAATATAGACGTATACACAGGAATTGAAATAAAACATTATAGTGTATGCCATATCTATGCGGGTCAATCACTTCTCACACAGTGCCCAAAAATAATAATCAATTTACTCTGTAAATCTGTATAAAATCGACTGCTTTGTTCTAATTACAGTCTAGCAATGCATAAATAAGCTATACATCTTCGTAATTTTAAAGTTTAAACGAAAAAATGGCTAAAAAACCTGTTATTATTAAATGACCAAATTCTACTTTTGAATGATTGAACACAGTTGAATGTGAGGCCCAATCTGAGGCCCAATCTGAGGCCGAATCTGAGGCCGAATCCGCGGCTAACTTCACAGTGGTGGTCAAATACATTACCGGTGCTTTGGTTGCGAAATGCTGTGAAGTGCGGAAAATACAGTAACAGTCTTTAATACAAAGTGTTCGATCGTACGAAATATCTTTTTTATTGCGTGCACAAATTGTTTGTATTGCTTGCGTATTTTCGGCAAGAGGCTGTTAACAACAGCTAGTACTTTTTTGTGGACATCCTGTAATTTAACAAACAAATGTTTTTAAATTTAAGCAAGAATTCCAAAGTGATGTCCGCATGTGAACAAACGCTTCCTTTACACTTGATTTTAGAGCTTCTACACTTTAAAAATACGATGTGTTGTCTGAATATTCAACAACTTATTCCTGATTTCTTGGAACCGGGACAATGGCAACGGTATCCGTTTCAAACTCATTTTGTGAGCAGCTTTAAAGTGCATTAGATATTTTATCAATAGAAACCAATGCTTTACTACAACTGATATGCGACTGTTTATTACTCAATAAATTGGGCTAATGAACGAGAACTAAAAACGTGCAAGACTTTATATAGCTACAATTTTAAGATATCTTTAAGTCCACAATACTTGTGACTATATACTTGAAACCTATATGTATATACAGGTACTTCAAGTCTTCAGATGACAGGACGCGAAAATATCATCTGCCAAATGTATTGCCAAATATTTATAGAAAAGTCGTGTTCTTTCCCCAATCTCGAATAGTCGTCCGTTGATTGTGGTCGAGTCAAGGAAGCTAAATCAATATTCTTACAAAGGTGATTATTGAAAATTCTCGCGAAAAATCTCGCACATGCAAGCGATTGTTTGCCATTGTTTAATACATTATCCTCATAGACTCCTGCAGAAACCTAGGAGTTGACGTTTCGTGAGTGGAACAAAAGTATGAATTGGTATAATATTTACCACAATTAACAAACTGTATAAAATTTGAAATGTATGAAATTTGAAATCATGTAAACATTATAAAGTGAACACTTATTTCAGATGCAAATGTTAACATCGGAAATACCTGCATATTAGCACAATGAGGATGGTCTAACTTTGATTGATTAGCGAGCTCCTGGAGTCCTTTTGTCAACAAACGCCTTATACCTCCCTGCCGTGCTTCAGACGTCCGGCAATGAATAATAAGATCCTGCTGCCAAGGAATGGGTATATATACAGGTCAAGCTTGGTACGAGGAATAGTCTTCACATTCTAGTCTACTCGGAATATCTGGATTTTTATAAAGTGCCTGAAGAAAAAGCTGATTACGAAGGAAGAAATGAATAAGACTGCAAAATTCTTCGTTTTTACTCTGTTGGTAATCCTTGAGTTGTATTCTGTCATTTGTACCGAGGTTTGGAAATACTTAAATTGTGTACCGTTTATTATTTAAAATAGTATCGAATTCTACTATTATATCACTGTAACTAAAGCCCATATTACACGATGCAATTTTTCCTGCAACTTGCATTGCAATTCTTCTTTTGAGAGATGTATATTTAGAGAGATGCACCGTGTAACATGGCCTTCAATGTATAAAAAGTGTAGTATTTAAATCTCTTAATATCATCATGCATTTTTAGACGAATGACGGAAAGTTTGAAATGCGTATAAATGAGAGAGGAACTCATTTTACTGAGAAGATCAGCGTCAGTGAAAACGAGAATACTGTTTCCTTCGAAGTACCAAAGCACAACAACGTTAATCGTTCTGAAGTGCTGAACGATTTCAATCTGGTAAACAATATATTATTTTAATGTTAACTTAATGCAACTTTTCTTTGTTAAAAAAATTGACTGTAATTATTTATCTAATACTAACGTAATACGTATTTTTCCTGTTACAGGGCTTAACAATTACCCGCGTACCTGATGTGGGCATATGTCACATTAAACCATTGGAGGGAAGTCTGTCAAACCCTAGAAAAATGAAAGCTGACATGAATTATGTGAGTTTTAAATATACTTATTGTATATATTCTTAGATTCCATTGTAAATAAATAAATTCAAAGTTACTCGTTCGTAAAAAAGCTTTTTATCACGTGTACAACAGCGTGTAACTTAAACCAAAGTTCAGAATTAGCATGTTCCAATGCTAATTGATCCCAAAGGGTGCTTAAAGGCAATTGCAAAGAATTTCATGTTTGGGATTGGCTATGCCAAAATTCATTAAATTCAATTCCCTGTGGGTTACGTAAATTGAAAATCAGGTCTGAAATCAGTCACACAAGAAATTCGAAGTCCCAGAGTTCCGTTTGGAGAAGATGTGCTAATGGGAATACGTAAACGTTTCCCCTTCATTTTGTTTAATATATTTGCTGAAATCATCGGGTACCGGTGAAAATGTTTTAGGACGTATGAACTTCTACCAATTATCCTCCCCTTAATTTTTGAAGCAAGTTCAGTTTTATCAATAGGGTCGTTTTTCCTCGTTATAGATAAAGAAAATGAATGGTTTGGGGGAAAGAAACTCAAGTGTTTTAGTTAGTTCCACTGAATGGACCATTGATAAACAATTAGTGAAAAAAAACTTAAATCCTACGGTGGCTAAGTTTTGCGGTGATTTGCCAGTTTACAGTCTGAGAGAAATCACCAAAGATGGAAATGGTATGGAATACTATCAACACTTACATACGGAAATGTACACCACGCCTTAACAGTATAAATTGAGATATTCAAGAGTCAAGCTTGAAGCTTTGCTGCAAGTTGTTTTTATTATTTTTTGAATAAACTACGATTTTCATGGTTATTGCGAATAAATTAGAATTCTCATGATTTGTCGGCAGGCAACAAGAAACCACGTGATTTTCGGCGATTTTCACCAATTGTCTGAGTAGATTTAGGCCAGTGCACGAAGATTTCTATTAAAACTTGCTATGAATAGTTTGATAATTTACTTAAATTCATTGCCAGAAATTTGGGCAAACTGGAAAATAATAGAGACTCAACGTATCAGCACAAATTCGATAATAGCGAGCGCTGATATAATTTTTTCTCTTTATAATACTCGTTCTGACTTCAGCATATATACGGGGCAACAGTTATACCAAACCATAATAAGATATTGATAAATTATGCGCATGCACAAACAACTATAAATTTGAATTTGTCGTCCATGATAGATCATGCAGACTTTGTATTAAAAAAACCTCCCAGCTAAATTAATGCCCTCCCATGGCGCTTCGCGCTGAGGGGAAAATCTTACTGCGAAGATAAAGTTCTTCTCCACCGTCCCTTTCAGCATGAGCTTTTGCTATCAAGGCGACAACTTCATGGACGACGCAAAGTGCGATGTATTCTATTTTAACGTTTTAGATATCGACAGTAAAAGAAACCGCAGACAATCCCAATTTCAGCTTTGCCCGGAGGTGGTCGGGGGAACTACTGTGACACCGAAGCTATGTAGCCCTAACCAATGGATATTGAATTGCAAGTTTGTGTTGTCAGGAACATGCGTCTATTGGGCTAAATGTTCCCTTCCAATCGCGAGGCTCGTCAACTTGAAGGATTGCAAATTTGATCACGAGTGGAGTTCTGTTATGTGTTGTATTCCTCTCTGTCCGCCAACAAAGTAATGATAAAAGAAATGATGAACCATCACGACTTAGTATCAACTAAGTGCATATTTAGCGATATATACACAATGAGTAAACATTATACATATAGGGATAGATTGCAAATCATAGCCATTGTTATTTCATAGATTAAATTTCCACAAAACGAGGAATAAATCTTTCAATAAAAGTATTATTATTTTCTTTAAGAGTAAGACTAAAGGGGAATAGACACAGGCATGCTGAATACCTAGGAAACGGAGAACAATATTGTGAAAGCCATGCACCGGGTTGCAAGATTGGTCAGCCGGTCTCCATTGGCTGCTGCTATTTCTAGCGTGGGGCTATCTTTCCTTTAAGGGTCCTCCCCTCCCTCACTGCTCTAAATCCGCTTGACTTCAGAATTTGCAGAAATCAAAAAGAAAAACGAACGTAAATTCGTACGTATTAGTTAACATTCACCGAAGGCGTTTAAGGAACGCAAAGTCTCATTACCGAACGAAACAATCGTTTAAAATACAGTTTCCCATTGGCTAACAGCGCTGAATCCGTACAATAGCAAGCTCTTATTGGACAAACGTTTAAAAACGTTCGGCTTAATTTATTCGCACAAAAGTTTCCAGCTTGAAGAACTGAATTAACGCTTGCTTGTGTACGTACGGAACGCGAACATAGAATTTGCTTGCATGAGGTGTTATAACTCTGGGCTGGACCTGTGGCATGTCACAAATTTTATATTTCACAACTCGGGGAAACGGAATATGGATTGCTCACTAACTTTCTAAGATCGTCGTGCATGTATCTCTGTGCGAATGTATCCCAGTTTTAAATCATAGTACTTGCTTGAATATATTACGAAAATATTTCTATTCCCGCAAGTACTGAATATTTTGGAATTTTTAAATAATCTGATCGTGAATCAAATGATAATGCTACACTGTGCATGTAGCGATAACAAATCGATATTTCACAGGAGGTTAAGGTATAAAACGAGTTTTAATGAGGTTACGCAGTAACCAAGGTTAATATCGTAGGAACCGCGCGCGGACTGGACACAAGGGCAGCGAGGGGCCTCGGACGGGGCTCATAACTCGGGAAAGGCGCGGATATAGCGAGGGATGAGCACGCAAGGAAGCCATTAGCGTATGTATCACCAGCAAGAGAAGTAGTCCGCTAGTAAGAAAAATGTTTCGTTTTGTGATTAGGTTACTTCCACTGAACGTCCTAGCTGGTGTGCCCTCCGTAAAGAAGCCACTTCCGACGACATATGCTAGTGTCGTAGCCTCGAAAGCTCCTCTTAGTAGGATCAATAAAAATTTTGCAGAAACCAAAAGAACCCCGGATAAGCTATCCCGTGACGTCGGTGAGTCCCCTCACGGTTTATCGGAGTAAAACGTAAACGTTATAGTTCAAAGAAATTCTTTCTCAGTGGGATTGCCGAGAATGTTAGCAAAACCCAAATAGTTTCTTATCTCGAACAAAGAAATCTAATTCCCACTTACATTTCAGTTTTCCCCAGCCACCGTAGAGGAACACTATCGTGTAAAATTCATATACCCTTAGCCTCTTGCCCCTGGTTGATCAAGAAAATTTTTGGCCCAAATATGTCAAATGTAAACCGTGGCGACCAAGCGAGCACAGTAAGCAAACGCCTGAGCGGAGAGTTAGCGTGACCCACTATGGGAAACCTTTCAACGTACGTATAAATGGCTTACCCAATTCCAGTTCGAAATCGTTCCCGTTATCGTAATTACATACCGTGGCAGAAGCGGCATAATTATAATAATTTAATAACGGTATAGGGCCTACGGGAGCATCAAAGATTTCAAAACCTGAACCTGCTATGTTTTGTGCCGGGTCTCGTCTTATCTAATTTCATGTCGTTAACACCTAAAATAGATGAAATCCGTCCATTTGTTGCAAACTCCCGAGCGGAAGTTGCTGTCTTTACTGATCCATGGCTCAAAAGTTCTATCAGATTGTATTGTGGATATTCCGGGATATAGAATATTTCAAAAAGATAGACAAGAAAGAATGCATGGAGGAGTCTGTGTATATGTTAAAAATGAAATCAAAGTCTCTGTTTTGCATGAATTGGAAAATCCACAATTCGAAGTGCTTTGGGTACAGCTAATACCTCGGAGATTACCACGTGGTTTATCCGGGGGTCCTCTACCAAAAATTTTTTTAACCTTGCTATTCATAGTACCAAACTGATACTTTAATATGTTGTTAGGCTATGGTCACTGACAAAAAGTACATACAATTGCAAAGTTGTGTTGCCTCGGTTACCAGAAAATGCCACGCCTAATAGCAAAATGGATGCCATTTTGCAAACATGATAACTACACAACCATTAGCCATAAAATGATGAAATAACTTTTATTTACTAAAAAATAACATGGTCTAGGAGTTGAACTAAAACTTTTTAGGTTGGTGGGGTTTTAGCAGTTTTACAGGCAAAACAATTGAAAAGGTTACAATACATTCCATTTAATTAGATACCACTTGATATCTATGCATCAGAATTTAATTTCTTTAGTTCATCTCCTAGAGCTACTCATACTGAGGCTATCCTGAAAATTTCAGCAAGATAGCTCCAAAACTTCTTGAGATATCTTGCATACAATCTCGGAAATTGCTGAATTTCGGCATTTTGAGAAAAATGCATTTAAAGTGTAATATTGAGTTCATAACACAAACAGGTCTAAATAACAAGGCTCTATTGCTATTTTATTGCTACTGTACATTTGTTACCACATTAGAAAGCTCCTGCTTCATAAGTGGTGCCCTCTCTTCCTTTATTTTTATCTTCTTTCTTCTTTTTCTGCCAGCGGAGGATTTTTCGTCGTTTCCTTACTTCAGGAGTGTTCCTATGTTCAGCCTTCCTTACTCGCAAACGATCACCTTTTTCTATTCCTTCTTCAAAGAAATGTCCTGGAACTAAGTCCATCTCTTCAAAATGTTCACAGCTGCTTTATTGCTAAGATTCAAATGAGCTACAGCATCATATGTTCCAAAATTCAGGACATCCGCTCCAACAAAAATGGTTTTCGGCAACTGGTTCCTAATCATGCCATTAAGTGACTCATTCTGGTTTTGGGTTTTTCCATCTAAGCACTTGCTCAATAGTTCATCATTGCTAAGCCTGGTATAAATAGATTTGAGCAATGCAATAATATCATCAGGAAGACCTTCACCGGGTTTGTACAGCTTTGTATTGTTTGCTTTATCTTGTGCAGAATTACTGGCACTGTAGGCATTTGAATGGAATGGAGGTGGCATGTTCATCAAGCCACAGAAACGTTTCAGTGATGAGTGTCCTTGTCCCATACTTCGCATAGCATACACAAATCGCTTGTTGATATAAAACGAGTGCTGAACTTTATTTCATGTATAAAAGGTATACACCCAACCACATGTTTGGCAAAGAACACGAAGATGAGATGCACTGCCTTTTCGTTCACGTGGGTCTTCTTCCAAACAAACAGACGAGAACCACATTCACTGCAAATCATTTGCTTAAAAACTAGTTCAGGATCTCCATATCAATAAATCGATACCCTGTCACGGTAGCTGAAACTGGGGGAGCATTTCGTGGACATGGATTGCCAATCTTACGAGCGGAAGCAGAAATATTTTGAGACGAATTGCCTTCGATCATTAATTGAAGTTGACGGCACAACAGAATCATTCTCAAGACGCGCTTTCCTTACAGAGTCCGTGAATCTATTGCCATGAAATTTCCATTTCCTTACTCTTGAACCTTTCCTTAGCATCGTGAATATATGAATATATAATATCGGAATATGCAAATAATGTAAATTACGCTTGACGAACGCTTGAGAGTTGAGAACAGGAGAACAACACAATGAGTTTATTTAGCTCAAAAGACGCCTTCAGATCGTTAAAAGAGCTTTCAGCGGGTGTGTTAAGAAAGCAGAAGGACTACTTCATATAATATACAGAAAATCGTTCTCATTGGATAAAAAGAAGGGCTTTCAGGCGGGATTTTCAAACAAAAACAGCTGTTGCTAAGGGCGTTGCTAAGGCAGAAAATAGCCAAAGGTTCAGGAATTTGCTTTTTTTTAGTGTGTTGTAGTATTCTATGCGCACTGAAAATTTCTGAGGCCATAGAGGAAGGTTGAAAGTACATATAATGACTGTCTTTAAAAATTCAAAAATTTCGAAGTCAAAGTGAAAATTTTAGTAGAGGACCCCCTTATTAAAACAACTGGTAAAGTTTCCATCTAGAGGACCAAGAACCCTAGATATGATACTAACATATCGCATTTCGACAATGCTAAGAAACATCCATCTTTTGGCTTATCTGATCACGGATCACCTCACAAATTCTGTTGCTCCAAAAATCAGAGAATCCTCCGGCAATAAATCGAAAGTGATTAAAATACGTGACACCAGGCGTAGTAACAAGAGAGCCTTGAAATGTTCTCTCACAAGTGGACTGGTCGTGTCTCGATCGAATTGATTCGTGTGAAGAGAATTTTATGTTCTTTAATACAATGGTATCCAACACCCTAGAACACACCTCAAAGAGAAAAATATTTACAACCACAATGCTCCCTGGATGTCTAGTAAACTCAAACAAGCAATCAAGAACCGTCAACGAGCCCTTAAAAACGGAGATACAAGGTTGTTTAAATATTATCGCAATTTAGTAAATTCTGTACGGAAAAAATGCAGATCCTCGTATTATAACAATAAGATCAAGAATCTTAAACATTGCAGACCTAAAGATTGGTAGAATGCGATTAAGAAAATCAGTGGCCTTGATTACATTCCTTCTTGGTTGCTCAGGAAGTATGCGGTTCTTTTGGCATTACCTGTCACAAAATACTGAACTGCTCATTTAGAGAGAACAAACTTCCAATGATTTGGAAACTAGCTAACGTAGTACCAATTCCAAAATCGACACTAGTTGAACTCATAAACCAACAACCCCGCCCCATTTCCCTTACGCCAATCCTCTCAAAAGTAGCAGAAGAATTTGTCCTGAGCAAGCAGTTGAAACCAGCTATCCTTAAAATTATAGATTCTAACCAATTCGGCGTGATTATTGGCTCTTCAACAAGCCAAGCTTTAATAAAAATGATCCGCCGCTGGATGGAAGCAACAGATAGATCAGAAGCCTCGATTAGAGTCGTACTGTTTGATTATCAAAAGGCATTTGACCTTGTTGATCATACCATCATCCTGGAAAAATTGAAATCCCTAGATATCATGAACTCTGCAATTAATCGGATAGCAGATTTCCTGACCAACAGACAACAACTTGGAGAAGACTGCAGGGAACAAAACTTGGTCCCTGGCTTTTTGTTCTGATTATCGATGACCTAAATACCACCAGCGTTGACGATCAATTCAAATTTCGCACCAAGTAATATCCAGAACGCTGTCACGGATATTCAGGAATGGTCTGAGGCAAATCACTTCCGACTTCACCAGAAAAAGTGTAAAGAACTGCGTATTGATTTTAAAAAAATCAGGAGTTCATTCCCTCCAATTGAAGTCAATGGGGAACCCCTAGAAGTTGTAGAAGAGGCGAAACTACTCGGTCTTACCATCACACCGACCTTGAAATGGAATAAACACGTCAACAACATTATTTCAAAATCCTCGAAACGGATATATTTTTTAGTTCAATTGAAACGTGCAAAAGTACCTGATAAGGACATCCTACAATTCTACTCCACTTGTATTCGACCTATTTTGGAATACACTTCAACAGTGTTTCATTATGCACTGCCAAAATACCTCAGTGATGAAATGAACGCGTCCAGAAACGAGCTCTCCGAATTGTTTATCCGTCTGCACATTACAAGGATGGATTGATCGAAAGTGGGTTGGAAACATTACACGCACGAAGGGAATCCGCATGTAAGAAACTTTTTAATCAAATTTTAGCCGATCAAAGCCATAAATTGAACGAGTTAGTGTGTAAATCGGAATCTCCCGTAACGTATGAGTTGCGTGCGGAGAAACATTTTTATATTCCTAAATTTTTTACCGACCGGTTCAAAAACTCTTTTATTGTTAGTAGCTGCCTAAATAAATAATTAAATTTTATAATCTATATATATACTATACTGTAAATTTTTTTATAGCTATATACTAGCTCATTTATTGTAAATATAAACATAATTTTTAGCTTACGCTCACCTGTAATCACCACGTAATTCAGTCCTATGTAACTGCAATGTGTGTGAATTATTAAACTATCTATAACATCTATAACAACTATCTATCTATATAACATATTATATATGACTTAGCTAAAATATACAATATTTTACTAACATTAAGTACTAAATACATACTAATCATAAATTATTAACATTAAATTCCTAATATTGTCCCTCAACTTAAACAAGTTCAGAATATACAAACGTGTTAACTTATGTAACGCCTTAAATATTTAAAACGGTGCCCCCGTTACTACCAGCCAAATGTTGATAATTCCTGCTAAAGTTCTTACATGTAGACATATTTCCAATTTTTCGCTGTTCGCCTTTAAACAATTTTGCGATGTGTAAGAACAATAACTAAAGTGCGGAAAGACGAATGCTTTGATACAGGCACAAATTCGTTAAAATTGGAAAGATATCCTTGAATGGACTTAAAAGCTAGGCTAGATTTTTACCTTCTAATTTAGCAGTGGTTGATATACGGTTTGAGAAATATAATGATTTCTCAAACGCAGACTGTCATAATTCCCGATTGTCAATAGGCATTGGTTTCTCCATCTATTATAAGCTTGTAGAGTTTTAGGGCAGTATTCAGAAAGCTCACTCACAGTCTCACACTACACTCATTGAGTGTGGCATAGAAATTTCGTTATTACTGATCATGCAGTGAAAAAAGTTCTTGCTTAATCAGTGGAAAGAGCTATAGCGAAACACTGTCAGAAATATCGTCATGCAGGTCCTCTCACTCAAAGTCTTTGAGTGCGAGGGAGCTTTTAGAATATACAGGCGTTAAGGTTAGTTTTTTGTCCAATTGACTTTTTTTGTTTTTTACAACTGAATGCATGCAGTCTCAAATGTTTATTTCCAAATAAATATATTCGTTTGCTGCCCAATAAGAAAATAAAACCGCTTTGTCTCGTCAAAATCATTTCAAAAATTTACAAATTTCAAGGGAAACAACTGTTAAAAACCTTGGTCAGTGTTAAAATGTAGTGGTCCCAGGTTAAAAGGATTAACCATGCATGCAACGAGGACTAGTTGAATAGAGACACATTATATGTTTGTTGTAGCTAAGTCCTTCCCATAGCCTCAATTGATTCTCCATGGCCGTAGGTATCGCCCGGAATCGCGTCGTTATTTCAAACGGTCACTTTATTTAACGGAACGTTGCATTCGGCGCTTCTGCTAACTTGGTCACGTGTACGTCTTTCATACATCTTTTTCGCACCAAGGATGATTAAAACCAGCAAAATGATAAACACGACACTACACACAACGATAACAACAATCATTACTGCCGTAACTAGAAAAAGAAAATTTCCGTGAATTGATATAATTTCAGAAACAAACTATGGGCAGATAAACCCTAATTTGCTACACCGATCATGTAACAAACGTAAGCTTTGGAATTACACCCGAGAAAGCAAATTAATGCGAATTTGAAGTTGTCCGCCACTATTCCATGGACGTTAGGATTTATGTCCGTTATGCGAATGCGCGGGTCTTAAGACAAGTTGAAGCTTTTAAATAATCTGGTTTGCGTCAGCATAACCGCTATTCCCTAAACTTTCTACAAAAGTATACAAATTTTGCAAACTTTGCAAGGCTACATTTTCCTCATTTCACAACATTTCGCAAATTTTGCCCCCGAGCCGGTGCGGAGCGCCGTGCCAGTTTCGCTTGCCATCATGCAATGGACCTCACGCCATGGACGGTCTCATACGTTACGCGTATGCGCCAGTGTGAACTACTAAGCTCTTGATTGGTCAAGGCGAAAATTTGCATTTTCAAACGTCAATGAATAACTGTCATTTCATAAAATTTTTAATGAAATTTATAAATTTATAATTTGATAAATATGAAATATATATTTTTTAAATTAAATTAGAATGAAACTTTCCATACTTTTCTCAATTTTCTCAATTTCGTTCTGACATTGGACTCCTGTAAACCCAGTTTTACACCTGCATTCATACGAATTTTCTTTATTAACACACGTTCCACCATTACGACATGGGTTCGTTTTACAATTATTAATCCCTGGGAAATAAAAGAATTTGGGGAGTTTAAAAATCGTATTTCACCAAAGGTTGTAACTAACTTGCCAGAAATGCTAGAAAACTACTGTAACGTGAATGATTGACGTCAATGAACAATGACGTCAAAATATTCGGAGAGGCGTTCGAAAACTTATCATATTTATCTAACTATATCACGAGCTCAAGAAACAATGCATGGGATCGTCTTGTTTTAACGCTGCGCCTATATAAGATGTTTTTGAGAAATAGCGAAATCAAAATACGACTTAAAATGACTTTTTTCCAGCAATACTGTAGGATTTATATTTGAGTAAATATTTTAAAAGTGGAACCAAGAAGGACACCTGAAAATGCATGACCTCGAGAGTTTAACATCCCAAAACATAATCTAGTTCCTTAAATATTGTCTGACGTTCATCTGGCGTACCGGAAGACCAGAATCCTCAAAAAATTATTTAGTTCAGACGTTTTTACCATCGGCTTCCCAGTAAAATACCAACATTAAATTATTGTCTTAATAAAATATTTATTTCTTACGTTTTTCACAGTTTACTCCTGTAAATCCAGTTTTACAGCTGCATTCATATGAATTTATTTTATTAAAACAGGTTGCGCCATTACGACATGTGTTCTTCGCACAATAATTAATATCTAAAGATAGTTTGGTTCATGTAGATCAGCTTTGTTAGGAAGTGATGGAAGAAAATGTCCCAGTTTCAAAAGTTAGGGTAAAAAGTCGGTCAAGGCAGCATGCTAGACAAAAGAGCTTAGAAAAGTCAATGTCGAAAACTAGAATACGCATGCAATGCATGAGGATTGAAATAGCGGTTTTTGTTACCACGAGAATTGAACATGCAAAAACATAAACTAGTTCCTTATTTATTGTCTGACGTTATCTGAGGTTAAACAACTATGGTTGCTGCCGTTGTGAAACTTGCATTCTGAGAGCGTCAGCAAAGATCAGAATCAGCAATACTTTTTGCATTTTTGGTTCCTTAGCATTATATAGAGGAAGGTCCTTCACAAATTAATTAGCTCAGACGTTTCTACCTTCGGCTTCCCATAAGACTATCAAAATATGGTCTTAAAATGTAGATTTCTTACGTTTTTCACAGTTCACTCCTGTGAAACCAGTTTTACAGCTGCATTCATATGAATTTACTTTATTAACACAGGTGGCGCCATTACGACATAAGCTTATGTTCGTCGCACAATAATTAATATCTAAAAAATAGTTTGGTTCATGTAGATCAGCTTTTGTGAGGGAGCGATGGTAGTCAATGCTCAGTTTCAAAAGTCAGGGTAAAACGTCGGTCAAAAAGGGCCCAGAAACGTCTCACAAATAAAATATTGTCTCACGTTCATTTAACTATGTTTGCGGCCGTTGTAGAACTTGTATTCTGGCGTCCGGAAGACCAGAATCCTTAAGAAATTACTTAGTCCAGATGTTTCTACCTTCGGCTTCAATTAAACTATCAACATTTAATTCTTGACTTAATAAAATATTTATTTCTTACGTTTTTCACAGTTTACTCCTGTAAATCCAGTTTTACAGCTGCATTCATATGAATTTGTTTTATTAAAACAGGTTGCGCCATTACGACATGTGTTCGTCGCACAATAATTAATATCTAAAGATAGTTGGGTTCATGTAGATCAGCTTTGTTAGGAAGTGATGGAAGAAAATGTCCCAGTTTCAAAAGTTAGGGTAAAAAGTCGGTCAAGGCTGCATGCTAGACAAAAGGGCTTAGAAAAGGCAATGTCGAATAATAGAATACGCATGCAATGCATGAGGATTGATATAGCGGTTTTTGTTACCTCGAGAATTGAACATGCAAAAACATAAACTAGTTCCTTATTTATTGTCTGACGTTATCTGAGGTTAAACAACTATGGTTGCTGCCGCAAGAATCCGCAATACTTTTTGCATTTTTTATTCCTTAGCATTAGAGAAGGTCCTTCACAAATTATTTAGCTCAGATTTTTTTACCTTTGGCTTCCTATAAGACTATCAACATTTGGTCTTAAAATGTAGATTTCTAACGTTTTTCACCACAGTTCGCTTCTGTAAATCCAGTTTTACAGCTGCATTCATATGAATTTACTTTATTAACACAGGTTACGCCATTACGACATAATTTTATGTTAGTCGCACAATAATTAATAACTAAAAATAGTTTGGTTAATGTGGATAAGCTTTTGTGAGGGAGCGATGGAAGTCATGCATGCAATGTTCAGTTTCAAAAGTCAGGGTAAAACGTCGGTGAAAAAGGGCCCAGAAAAAGTCAATGTCGAATAGTAAAATATTTGTGTATGTCAATCTGTGATATAGTTAGGTTTACAGGGTGTATAAAAAAGTACCACCTATTGAAATGAATCTTCTTTTAGAATTTCAATGACTATGCTAAACACACGAATGCGTCTTTTACGGAAGTAAGACGCCTAATTTGAAGAATGTCTTAATTTCCAACAAAAGCTTCATTTCAATACCTTACTAACTCTCCTGACGAAGGCCCTCAGGTCGAAACGTCGAGAAGTGTTTTGTCTGTTTAGACAGTTGTTATACCACATTTGACGCTCAATAGCGGGTACGTTTTATATACCCTGTAGTTGTTATAATGAAGAACAGTGGTGAGAGTATGGAGTTTCAACTTGCATTTATGAATGAGCTATTATGACCATAGACAGTCCGGTAAACGCCGCAATCGAACGTTAATTGATGGGGACTGTATTCATGTTTTCTGCCAATGCCAGTCAGGCATTGAAAACAATTTCTTTCACTTTGACTAGAAATCAGCTTGGCATAACAGAATATATGAGTATGATTGCCCTCAATTAACGTTGAATTGACGTCCATGATCTCATATATATATTTATCATAAATCTGGAAATACATATTGTGCTCGTATTTTGTGTTCCTTTATTTTGAGAACGGAGGAATACATATTGTGCTGGTATTTTGTGTTCTCTTATTTTGAGAACGAAGGAATACATATTGTGCTGGTATTTTGTGTTCTCTTATTTTGAGAACGGAGGAATACATATTGTGCTGGTATTTGTGTTCTCATATTTTGTGTTCTCTTATTTTGAGAACGGAGGAATACATATTGTGCTGGTATTTTGTGTTCTCTTATTTTGAGAACGAAGGAATACATATTGTGCTGGTATTTTGTGTGTCCTCATTTTCAGAACGGAGCAATACATAATTATATTGTGCCCAGTGATATTTTGTGTGTCCTCATTTTGAGAATGGAGCATATAATATTGTGCTCAGTGGTATTTTGTGTGTCCTCATTTTGAGAATGGGGCAATACATATTGTGCTAGTATTTTGTGTGCCATTTGGTCCACCCAAACAAAGTTTGGCTTTAATTAATTTGAGCAATTCGAACGAAATTCGGTTTTCGCAGCGAGGGAGTGCGCATGCATGCAGTTGGAATCATTTGACAAGATTTCGCGGTTCGACTAAATGTATGTTTCAACCAGTGAACTCTATATTATATGGAAGGCTCGCTCTAGTACATTGCGTAATCTAAAAGTGAAGCCAAACATGGCGGACCATGAAGGCTGCTTGGGTACCGAACCAGACCTCCGCGCACGAACGGTTAAAATTCAATATGGCGGCAACGTGTATGAGTGGAACTCGGTCAGTTTTGTAAACACAACAAATATACGGCATAAGTTACCTCTCTAGAAAGAATAACATTGCCAGGTATAAGGTTGTAACAAATTGTATGTATTCAATTTTAAAAACTTTGTATAAAAAAATGCAATAAAAAACATATTGCATGGCTATATTTATAAATACATTATTTGAAGATCGATTAGTTATTAATTAAACTAAATCATTCGTTTCGAAACAAAGTATACTTGTTCAGTTGGTGCCTTTTACTTGGTTTTCCTGCTCTCACAACATTTTCATTGTACCTTTTTGCATAGGTGAACAATCTCAATCTGAAAAATTGATCTGCAATGCATTTAACAAGCCACACACTGTGGTTGTCAAACAGTGTTTCATTCAAGCAATATCCATGGCTTTCCTGTTTTATACCGTTTTCAGCAAACTTGTGGCTGACTTCTTGTAACATTTTTTCTTTCAGCTTCTTCGTATTGGAGATTTTGTTATGGTTACCTGATGACACATAACACTTGAATACTTGCTCTGCACTTGCCACAACTTTAAGAGTAAACGGTGAAGGAATGTAAAGACCACCTTTGTTGATAAAGGAAGTGAATGAAGAGGCTTTGTCATACATGTCATCACATGGTTTGTAGGTTTGCACTTGATTGTGACTGGCTGAGGCTGTAATGTCACCAATACACTGTGGACAGTGTATTTTCTTGAGCAATTTTGAAACTATGAAACCAGAGATGTAGTGTAAGACATACATGGTGAACTCTGATAGAGGCTGTTGTAAGTGCGTAATCAATGACTCCATCTCCATGTTTTGATCTTCTTCAACAACATTGGTTGTAGGTTTCTCTTTCAGAGGAGATGCATGCTTCCTGCTATGTAGGACTGGGATGACTGAATGCTGATCTAGGATTTGGCAGTTGGCATTTGTTGAAGCTGTGATTGAATTCTTCAGTAGCATATGTCGAAGAGTGTACTTCCGCTGAAGGCAGTTTGGATTGTTGTTCCATCCTCCTCTGGAACGAATACAACTGAATAAAAGCTCAATATGATCTTGGGAATACTTGTAGGTCAGAAGATATTTGAATGGATTAGTTGGCTGAGTTAGCATCATTGTCGCCATTTCAATTGTGGATTTGATGGTTATAACGAACCCCAGAATAAAGGTTTTCCTTTTATGTTTCACTAGCAACTTGCCATCAGCTGACTTCAATGAAAGCAGATAGTTTGCAATCATCAAAAGTTCTGCTTCCCAGTGATTCCTACTGATTAGCTTCAAAGGTTGCTTAGTGCCTTTCCCGAATGGACTTCTGCTATTAAGAATATCAAAGACTTTGTCCACATTGCGAATGAATGTCACCGTTGCTTCACCCCTTGAAATCTTGCATCTTTTGTTACGATGTTGAGGAAGTTGATGGCATCAGCAACAGATGAACTCAAGGTCTGTGCAGCAAGGTCTACTTTCATCTTGTGGGTCTCATATTTGATGTGGTTTTTTGTCAGCTTATTTCCCAGCTTCAAGCCATGATCTTGCTGTATTTCATTCAAATTCTCCAAGAACTTCCAGTGAATGCTTTCTTTTTCCACAAATATTGATCCAAGGCATGCCAAAGAATTTCTTGCTAGCTTGAGCATATGACATGGATCCAGAATTACAAATACATCATAGCCAAGTGAAGGGTGTTTAAATTTAGTTACCATGGACATGTATGTAACTCCAAAAATGCAGCCAAGGTGTTTAAAGGTAGCAATGTTGGGTGATGTTCCATCAGATGTGATGCACCAAACTCGAAGACCAATATCTGCTGAATGGATTAAGGCTTTCTTGATAAGTTACGCTTGAGTAATCAAGTTAAGTTTGTCCGTTAGAAAATATGCAATTGGACACTTCCAGTGGCTGCGTAACCCAACCAGAATGAAGACCAAGGCTTCAGATGCAATAACATTGGAAGAAGTTTTTATGTCAGTTGGGCCATAATTTACAAAACCAACATATTCGTCATTCTTGGGATCCCATATGGTTTGTTTTCGAATTGACATTGCGTCAAAGACTAAACAACAGTCCCTCTTTTCTGGATGTTTTTTTGTTTCGTTTCTTAGAATGCTGAATGTCTCCTTGATGAAGCCAGGTTCACATTCCACAGAGCTTGCCCAAATCTTGATACGGGATGGAGAAGGGAGTGGTAAGATTGTTCTTAAATACTGGTAAGCTTTAGGGGAATAAAAATTTACAGTGACAGCAAATTCTTTCACTTGCTCATTGTATCTTCTTCCATTAAGGCTTTGGCCTTTCCATTCTTTAGCACATTGTTGAACAGAGATAACTTGAGGCCATCAAAACTATTGTGCAGCAGTGCAGCTTCATCTTCTTTCACCAATGATTTCGTTTTCAGGGAGTTTATCAGCTGTTTCATATTATTAGCCTTTCTCTTCTGTCTTCTGAGCTTCTGCTGTAATACTTTGGTTCTTCTTCTTTGAACTTTCTTTAGGTACTTTATATGCATGAGAGTTTTCTTTTCTTTTGGAGGCTCAACACATTGTACATATGGGACTTGTTTCTGATGAGACATTGGTGATTTGGCATAGTTATGGTCAAGCATTACTTTTTGGATCAGAGACTTTTCTGGTTTTATGCACTTTCTCTTTAATTGCGGCCTATCTTCTTGGAATTCTGATATTTGGACCTGAGGTGCCAGATACTGTGTTGGAAAACCATCTCTTTTCAATTGGGTTAAGCCATTTTTTGTTGTTATGTAGTCTGACTCTAGGAAATGATGACTGCAGATGCGGCTGCAAGATTTTGCATTCCATACATTCTCTCCAGTTTTATCATTTGTAACTGCTTTTTCCCACTTTGTCAGTAAAGCTTTATTTTTGAGTGGAAATCTATTCAATAACCAACTGATAATTTTAATAGATGCAAGATATTGAAAAGAATCATATTCTCATTTATATTGCGAACGATTCAACTAAATAAAGTCATAAAACTGAGAGTATGTGAGAACAAAAAAAGTTATAATTAGTTAGGCTTTTTATGCAAAAGTTGTATTTTTTGAACCCATGAGACTATACTTGCAATGAATTTGAATTAGGACTTATCCCTTTTTTTAATTTGTATTTTATTTGTAAACATATAGTTGTTTATTAATAGTGCACTAAATACCTAAATTTTTACCTAATACTGTAGGTAAAAAAGTATTGGAAAATCAAAAGCTTGCAACAAAAATATTCCTACACATGTACTGTATGCCAAAATTTCTTAGATTTTGTTAACTTTTTCACTGATGTATTCGGAGTTTTGTAGATTATTTTCTGAAGCAATTTCTGAGTTAAAAACATAATGTCAATGAAATAATACTTTGTTTGGGCGGTTAAACTAAATTTTTTGCTCTATTATTTACAAAACAAGGTATCAGCCGCCATTTTGCTTTCTTCCCGGTAAAATTTGGCGGTATTTTCAAATGATTTAATTAAAATTTAAAACCCATTTTTTTCAAAAATGTAAACAAATGCACGTGGTCACATAACTTATATAAATTGCATTTGATATTGTAGTATTTGTAGTAAATTGTATTTAATTTGAGAAAGCTGATTTTGTCTTCACATACGTGAGCTATGTGCGTACAGCTTTTTATGGTTAACATTTTTTTGTGCTTTATAGAGTCGGTTTTAATAATTATTACCTGTGGAAAAAAGTGGGCCGGTTTTCCTTTTGTCCTTCTACATTCTTACAACCTCGAACCGCGCAACAACGCGGCATCCTTTTCCTTTATCTACATTTTTTTTTGATATATCAGCCAAACTTGCAAACGTCCGAAATGTTAGTTTTTTTATTTTTCGTCATAGTTTTATAATTCGCGCCTTTAATTTCCACGCGCGCTTCGCGCGTTTTACGCTTTGTGGAGGTCTGGTTCGGTACCCAAGCAGCCTTCATGATCCGCCATGTTTGGCTTCACACTTTGAACTGGAGCGAGCCTTCCATATATATAGAGTTCACTGGTTTCAACTCGATCAATTTGGTCGATCAAAATAAGTTTTTTTTCAATTTCAGCAAAATGATCAATATTGGACATATATGATCATATATGACTTTTCAACACACACGAGTAGTGTGTAATTCAGCATAACACTTCATCGGTGTTATTGCACAGGCCATTTTGGTGTTGAAGAAATAACATACACTAGCCAAAGTTTTTCTTACCTGGCTTCGCAATTCCAGCAAATGGTTCAGATTCAGTGCCATATAAAATTAGAGAAAATCCGTGCAGCGTACCTATAAAATAGATCTAGAGTTTTGGTGAATTGTAGTGATGACGCATAACCGGGGACTATCTACTTCAATGCCAGTGCAATAATCATATTTTCGGGATTGCTTCCTCTCAAACTCCGACATCAATAAAAAAAGAGGTTTTTTTGAGAGCTGCAGCTTTCCACTGTCGCGTTTTTGCACGTACGTACACGCACGTAAAAGTTAAAAATCTAGGATTAAATAGATGCATAGGGTTGGATTCTGTTGAACATTTGGTGTTTTTCCCGGCATAAAATAACAACTTAAAGGTTTTTTTAAAGCTTTTACGTCTGTGTTCGTACGTGCAAAAAATGCGACAGCGGAAATCCGCTCTTAATCCCTCAGCATAAAAGTAAAATATATATGATGAGAATATGAGATGACGAACATAGTGAAGCTAATTTCGGAAAATGGTCGCCGGCAAGTAATCATTTGTTTTAGTGCACATTGCCAATTATTTGCGCGCAATATTACACAAAGCATGTAATCATTAATGTCCAAATCCTGAAATTCCATCCATTTGTAGCTACGAATTCTTATATAAACCGAAGGTAAAGATAATATCGAAGGAAACAGAGTCGACCATATTCATGCCACAGCAATTTTTTCGTTCGGAAGCGAATTGCATACTCCTGCAATACATGCATACTACGCGCCACATAAAAAGAAAACCTTCGAACTCACCACTGCCAGTTCCATGTAAAGGGCGTTCATTTTTAAGAGAAACAGTCCATTTTCCGTACGATGGTTCACCCCAGAAGTGTACGCTAACTGTTTTTAAATTTTTGTATCGCTTTTCACCAGCATAAGCATCCAGTCCTCGAGAAAAAAGTACTTGGGACACCGTCTTTTCCGGTGAAGTAATATTAGCACCTATCACGCCACGTTTGAAATACTCCAAGTCAAATCTAGCCACAACATGTTCCAGATATTTGATATCGCATTGATCTTCGTCAATTTCAACGTCAAATGATATAATTTTCTCGCTCTCACTTGAAAATTAGTAAAAATGTCGATTTCGAATACTTGTGTTAAAGAGATATAATTTATGCACACAGCAGAATGATGAAATAAGAATCGTATTTCACTGGGTAAATTCATTTCATGCAATTCGATTCGACTACGATGATTTTTGCGTACGAAAAAATGCGATACACGGCTTTTGATTGGACGTACGATATTCTTCACACGTGAAAAATAGTAATTTTTTATATATCATTTTGGCGCAAATTAGTTTACATTTTTTACAGAAATAAGATTCAAAACATGGATAATTCTCAAATTCAAGACATTTTTACATTCAGCATACTATCTTTCATACTATCTAACTTCTATGAAACAAAATTACAAAGAAACTGGACGGTAATAAATAGGTTTGATGCATGAAATTTCGATTTTTGTCGCTTGTGAGATTGATCTCTATACGCGCCTTTACTTCACGGTTGGCTCATTTGTACGACTTTGGCACCACTTAAATTCCCTTGGGTCCGCGGGAGAAAATTAAATGAAAAAATAAATATATTATTCACCGGTTTCGTTGGTCGTATAGAGAGTATAGGGAAATATTTCCCTCGCTCACAAAAACGTCCGAGGCCGAGGGCAGTTTTTGAGACCTCGGTAAATAACATCTATTTATTACGCTCTGCCATCTGACTTCTCTTTTCGAACACTCTTTACTAGTTAACATCCCTCAAAAGTCAAAATTACAATTTCATTGCAAGTTGCAAGGAAAATTGCATAGTTGGGTGTAACAGCACTGTAAAACGTGGGCTGCGTTCGTAAAACGAGACAGATTCGATTTTCTGTCTGGTGCAAGGTTTATGTTGCAGATCGTGATTCCGCTGATCTTTGCCCGAAAACTTAAAGTGCCTATATCACTTGTGGGATCTTTACGGATTTGAATAGAGCTTGAAAAATTAGTTTGTAAGTTCTACAACCCTTTTTGATATAGTTAAATAGTTTCGGAAATATTTACATCTAAACATGACGATTTGCCTAAATTTCCGTCGTACTCGGGGGCCTGGGACTTAGGAACCGAGTTCTTGTCAAACATAATATAATCAATTGTAATTTTACTTCGATCTTCCAAAGACGTAAAATATTTGAGAAAAACTCGCCCAGTTGCTACAGCCATACACAACGCACCGTTCCCGCATTTTTTTCCTAAAAAGCGCAAACTATATCGCCAGTGAAACTCTTCATGTTTACATTATAAAAGACGGTGTGTATGCAAATCATTCCTGAGTCCCAGTCCCCCAACCGATGTATTTTCGAAACTATTTAGTTATATCAAAAAAGGTTGTAGAACTTATTAACAAATTTTTCAAGCCCTATTCAAATCCGTAAAGATCCCACAAGTGATATAGGCACTTTAAATGTCTAAACAACACCTTTTATACTCTGCCATCACACTTAGCACGCCCATGCAATCTTCAATGTTTTCCTGGATCTTATGTATGTGATAACACAGACTTAATGTAGCGCAAGATTGCCATATATTTTTAGCAACTATTTACCTCAATGGTTTAGATCCAAGTACAATTTCGCATCTCTTCTGCGGTGGCAATGTCGTATTGATATTTTCAGCATTCTTAACAAGCAGTGAAGCATCCAGAAATCCAAACCCAACTTGGTTGCTTACTAGAATGGGAGATAGAAGAAACTATGGAGTCTTGCATATATTATTTTCCAATCTCCTTTTTTTAAATTGGCCAACCCTATCACGTGTATTGCCCTCGTATAAACCATGGGTAAAACTTTCGCGAACTTTGCCCACAATCGCGTTACACGCTGGTTCTTAATTCAAGAGACTGTATCTTTCGTATTTTCGTTTATTTTCATACCTTCAATTCTCTAACTGTTTACATTCAATTTTCGGTCCTAATCACCAATCTATTCATGTTCAGTTCACAATCTATTGACAATCTACTCACAATCTCCCGCTTCTACAATTTATCTCTCTATTTATAATAACTGGTGACTCCCTTTTGGCACATACAATTTCATGTTTCCGTTCTCTTTCACCCACAAGGGAGCATTTCTGCGTTATCTTGTTAGGTCGACCATCCTCCGTTCCAAAATAATGTTGGCAAAAACAATCCTTTACTTAACAAACAGATCTAACATAACATTCTACTTGTCAATAACAACTATTTTACTTTTGCTCAACTTTTATGACAAAAACACTGTGCCAAATCTTCTGCATCATCATTCAACAAAAAAAGGGAATTTTATCTGAAATCTTCTCCACATGCCGAAACCATATTTTTATTTGACGAGATCATCAAAAAAGATAAAAATATGCCAGCAATTTACCTGGAATTCCTGCTTTATTAACAGTCCATTTTACACTTTTGTCAATGATATCCCGCCTACTGGCTCTTACTATTAGGTGCTGTATATCACGCCATGTTAGGGAGTTTCTAAATAGATATAAATAACCATTTTAGCCGCAAGCGAAACCGCAAACCCACAAAGATGATTGTATTTAAAGAATTTCGCTGAAGTGAATACTATATTTGATGAAAAGGCAAAAATATCCATCTTTGATTACAGCACCAATTATCCAACCATATATACCACCATATATAACACCATGCATATAACACCATATATAACACTATGCATATGAAACCATATATAACACCATATATAACATCATATATAACACCATTTATTTAAGGCTTAGAGACTGTAGTGAGTGTTTTGTTCACAAATAAACGCATGCGCTGACCATACCCTGGACGTAGTGGAGTATGAGCTCTACGAGTGTTTTAGTTGAATAGTTCCTAGTAAAATACCTCTGACCATACCACGGTTGTGGTGTTATTGCCTACGCGGTGGTTTCATTGAAAACAGTACAGATTCTTATATAGGTTGACATTTTGTATATTGACTATTGGTTTCAACCCGTGAGTTGCCATGGAATTTGTGATGAAATATCAGGGCTACCAGATAGTGTGTTTGCCTTTTTCTATAATTATTTCTCGAGGCGCGAATGAAATAACCTCGCTGTTAATTGTAATGTATATGTCAAATTTAGTTTAGCGCCTAGTTGATCAATAGTTTCACGCGCGTGATCCCGCGGGACTCTAGGGGGAGAAAGGAGGGACTCGGCGAGGCACTTTCATTTTGGGGAATTGTTGTTTGCGATACGTTCATTTTGTATTTTTATTTCATTATTCTTCGACATTGATTGGACCATTTTAGTCTTGGAGAGGAATAGAACGTTAGTATAAATTATGTAGTTTCTCAGTATTTATGTATGTATTAGTCTATCAGTTGTAATATGTTTATGTGTTGTTATTATAGTTTCACCGCTTCGAGTTATAAATATTATACGAGTTTATATTGCTCAGTGGTTGACACTTCTCGATCTCCGGCGAGAAGCCTTACGGGTTACCTCGTCGGGAACGCGACATTAATTATCCCACCAGACTTACGCTTTGAAGTGATAAGAAAATGTGCTGAAGGCTCATGGACTCTGCATGTCCTTAAATAACAGTTGCAGTAACTAAGAACAAACTACTGGGAGATGTTTCTTGTTCATTTCAGCTATAAATTTTTACAGTATATAGGGACGCATTTTGCTGTTCATAAGTCATCTGAATGTATCATTTCGCTGTCTGACACTGTCTGTTATCATCTATTGACGAGTGCAGCGTGTACAATCCACGCAGTCCGAGTTTTCCCAAACCTTTATCAAACCTCGCAAAAAGTGAAATAAATAAAGCATGCGTACAGTTCGCGTTTCATTTTCACCAAACTGGTTAATATACTTGTTTGGGATGATGCATATTTGATAACACTTCAGCTACCTTATTTCATCAACACAGCACGAAGATAAACATATAGTTTCTAATTCATAAAAAGTTGTCTTACCTGGCCTGCAATGCTAAGGCTATCATTCCTGATACCAGTGCAGTAGCAGCTGATGTTGCACCAAATGTTGAAGCGCATGCAGAATTGCTCGCAATTGCTGCTGTTTCCTAGATGATATATAATTATATATGTATCTAGACATTCTACATTTTGCCGTTATTATAGACCAAACAATTTTCTTCTTGCACGAGTAAAAGGTCAGAGAGCTATTTCTAAGTAATAAAGCATTTCCTTTGATTCCGATGCATTAGGCATGTGAGAAGTACAAATTTCTACGAAAGAAAGTTATTCTCGCTATTTTGGTATCCTAGTCCATGACCATAGACAGCCAGGCCAATATGCGGTTACATCATAGTATATCATACTATGTATATAGATAATCTTCCGAAGGCTGACAATTCTTTGACAAAAAATACAATGCATACTTTAATACCATTGCTTGAAACAAAAAATAAGGCTATGTATAGTTTCTTGAAAAATAACTAGACATAAAACATCTTGGAAGTTATTTACTAAATTTATCTGGGGGATCAACCTTAAATTTTGTAAATAAAAAGTGCTCTGGTGTCCACAGATTTCACATTTTGCTGCCAGAATTTAATTTATATACTTCTGAAAACTCAAGACAGAATCAGAACTCACAACTAATATTTTTGCAATGATGCAGGAAGCCTCAAAATGCTAGTAACTTACCAGGTTATAAGAATAGGCGGAAGTCATAACAGCAGTGCATATCTCAGAACTTGGTTGAGGTTTTCCATTTTGATCTACCGCGGCAACCGGGATGGTGTAGATGCTGTTGACAAACCCATTATAAGAGCAACTGTCTCCAAAGAACGCACCATTTCCAGCAGAAAAAACATAAATCGAACCCAGTCCTCCTCGACCCTATTGAAATTAACAGTGTTGGCCCGTGTCATAAAATATCAAGTCTCACACATAGTTCGAACATCAATTTTCCCACCATTTTATATCCGCGACGTGTAACGCGGATATAGTAAATAGCATCTAAATCGTCTGAATAGTGGCTATGAGCGTTTCAGAATATAATAAAACAAGACGCCTGTTCTGGCGCCAACTCCGGCGTGCCGCGCACGTGCCAGTCTTCAATATGAAGCTTCTGAACATAAACAATACAGTTCATACTGATTTAGATACCTTGCGAACCTAAATGTTGTTAGATCGCGAAACTCAGAAGGAGATCGTATTTAAAAGTCATAGAAGTTCAATTGTTTAAAATTGTTTATAAACCGGATGATATAATCACTTTGTCTTACATGCACTTTGATTCTTTGAAATTCGCGCTTATGTTAAATCTTCAATCCTGTGCAAACTGCGACGTGTCAACGCGCCCATACACGACCACATCTTGTTAATTAAACGGCGAAATAGCAGCGATATTAGTAAAATAGGACCAGAATCTACATGTATTAAATATATTTTTACCCCAATTAAATCTAAACACAATCGAACAGCATAAAAAGAACGGTTTATTTGTTCCTCTTGGTAGAATTGCCGTATCATGCGAGCGAAATCAAATCGCGCATCGGTAAATTAGTCAGAGATTTCGATTTTCGAGCTTTGCACTAAAACTTTTGGGAGACAAAACTGTGACGTAGATAAATACGGTCACATACACTTTTCAAGTACTAGTATATTTCGCGCCAAAACACATTTGCGACGACGAAAAATAAAAACAAAACAAAACAAACAAAAAAAAACCCTAGGCAAAATCGTCGCTCACGCCGGAGTAATAAGTTATATAGCTATTTCGTTTACCTTGCTTGTTCCATCTTGTAATGCCCGCACAGTCAGTGGTCCAGGGCCGGCCACAACGAAACCAGTATCGGGTGGACCCCAGCTGTTGGAGAAAATATCAATTTTATGGCCGTCGAATGGATAAAACGCCTTTGCTGAATCGGTGTCATTAGGTAGAACATTGTGCGTCAATCGAATACCTGAAATAGGATTTACAGAGGGTAAGTTGAGGTGGTCAAATCCGTTCTGCACAAGTAGATCGAGTAAAATGACAAATAAAAACAATTGTACAAAACTTTCACAGAGTGCTCTTTTGACATGGGAAGTATCTGCCCCAAAGGTCGACTTCCTAATCAGATCAACTTTTTTATTTTTAGACAATTGACAGGAGTCGTTTTTCAGAAACGTGTCTAGTGGATAACGAATAAATGAAGCGCCAGTATTCCTTGCGAAGATCAGTTCTATATACCTTACATGCATACAGAAATTTATGCATTTTCTGATAATCGTAAGTAAGTAAATTAGTTCAGCTTGACCATTATCTAGGTAAATCCAGCCTAATAAAATCCAACCCAGCATTTTCATTGTATCAACTCCGAGGCTCAAGTCAATCTCCACATTGAGCATGCGTATAAAGTAGGTTGAAGTTTGTCCGTAATTATGTAGTTGGTAAAAACAATCTCAAAAGCATGAAATTAATACCTGCAATATTAGCTTCGTATGCCACACCAACACCACATATACTATTGTTTGCAGCACCAGCAATTACACCAGCACAATTTGTACCATGGCTTATAAAAATGGAGCATGAATAAGATGTAAATCTACTTAGCTACTACAACTGACCCAAATATACATAGCCAGGGAATAAATAATATAATAGCGCAAATGTGAACAAGAGCAATTAGTATATTTCTATATTGCGATTGGTCTATTCGTGGTCACAATTACGATTTTGTGACACTCCACTAGATGCCGGATGATTTTTAAAGCGTTTAAGAGTCTTAATTTCGAGTGGAAATCATACACATGTCAAATTCAAGCCAGGAACAGTTGAGAAAAGTGTGTCAACTACAAGTGTCAGTCCTCCGGCAGGAATCGAACCTTGACTTTTGTGATACCGGTGCGACGCTCTTGCCCCTGAGATACAGACGTAGCTATCTGACAAGAGCGAGCGGAGTTGGTGTGTTTTAGGTTTTTTTGTAGCACTCTACTTGATGTAGGTTAATTTCTAAAGAGTTTAGGGGCTTATATAATACAATAAATAATTTAAATATGTATTCTCTAAGGGTTTCGATTGGCCATCATCCACAACTTAAACTAGGAACAGTTGAAAAAACTCAGGTTATGCTGCATGTATGAAGGTAATTATAGTAGAGTCGATATTATCAAATATTTACCCTTCAACTGGCGTAGGAACCGTATCGTGATCAATATAGTCATGACTTAATTCAGGAAGCTAAAAATAATTAAGAACGATATCATTTCTCAAATATTTTCTTCAAATCTGTGAAAATATTTCTTAAAATACTTTAAACTGTTTGACATGGTTCAAAGGAAGTTTAAAATATCAACCTACATAAAATGTGGACCAGGAAAATGTAATAATTTAGCTTTACATATAGTGACCGGGGTCATACATTGATTAACAGTTGAATGGCAATAGATGCTCCCATGGTATGTAAAACTATAAACTACGACAGCTCATCGGCGCGCAGACGGTTAAAGCTTCACATAATTAAGGTTTGCTAATAATAACGTACAGAGTCATCAAAGTTTGGAGTTTTACTTCTTAGCAATTTGACAGACCATTCTCATAACGACGTCAAACGCGTGATCCAAAGATTAATTTATCCAATTCCTCCGCAGAACTAATGAACCTTGTGTATGCATGACATCATTATATGGGAATGGTCTATTGCGTTTACGCCGCCCGATAAACGTTGACGATAAACATTGCATAATCATAATCCAGTGAGGGGTCTGCTTTGCATGTCAGCACATACAAAATAGTTAAACCCCCGTATGAGTGAAATTCGCTATAATTTGTTTGTGGTGCAGAGCTAAAGTATATATAGGCACGCATGTTACATTGATACATTTAATTACTGCAAACTTCTTGGAAAATGTAAACAGTAGACATAGCTTCAAATAACTACACGTAACTATAGTACTAATAGTAGGTAACAAATATTTTTGTGTCATTCTACATTATGTACATAAAGAATGACAATTGTATTAGACTAGAACAAACACAGATTCACTTACATAGCGACCTTTAAACTCCTCGTGTGTAAACTTTAATCCATCATCAACAACCGCTACAGTTATACCTTTTCCATTATACTTTTTCCAAACATCGTCAACATTGTGATCAGCGATGATTCCTCCAATCTGAAACATTGAAAAGAATGTTATGAGGCAATTCACTACACTCAATTTATTAGCATGGCACCGCTAATATGGATACCCGTGCCAATTTCATTTTTGCTCGACCTTTGTTTAAGTAGCCGAATACAACACGAATAAAACTGTGCATGGTCACTCATTTTAGCAGCGGCAATAAATCGAGTGTAGTGTAAACTGGGCATTTGTGTTGACTTTTTGACAATGATAACAATACAGATATCAACGTTATTGCTGCCGTGTATGTTGTTCATGAAGCCAAATCAGTCTTATTGTATCCAATTTTTTCAACTTCAATCGTATCGTAACGTGGCGTATTTCTTTGTTTCCGAAGTATTCGACCAGAATTAATGGCTGATAACAATGAGATACGCTACGTTTCTGTTCGGTTGAAGTCGAAAACGGCCTTTACCCACATAAGAAGTTATAAATGTATTTTTATCCCAGAAAAGTAAATTATTCCCCCATATAACGGAAAAATCGCGCATCGCGTATGTCCCTTCCGCTCAACAATCAGCATAGATGTTCGACGACGACTGACTCTGAAGAAAAAGGTGTCCCTATATATAAACATGCCATGCCATTTATTCGCCATTTTCACGTCGTTTTTGACATTCACGTCATCATGCTAAATCTCATTAATTACGGTCAATAAAGTCGCACTCTCACACTGCGTGGAGACCACGCGACTTTCGGGAAAATCCGAAAGATTCCGACGTGGAGATTTTGCCGTTATATAGGGGGGGGGGGTAAAAAAACTCAGAAATATAAATAAGTAAATACTTGGAAACTACAGTAGATTTCAATCAGCAGAATTTCATAACACAAGTTATTAATCAAATTTCACTGAACAATAAAAAGTTTAAATTCATACCAAATATTTCTGATTTTTCAATCCTGGATCATTAAAAGATTCATGCGCAGATCTCCTTTTTCGTCTGACAATGTCCTTCTGTTTCTTTAAAAACAAAAAACTTCAAAATTACAAACCAACAATAACAATTACACTTCCAACAATCTTGCAATGGCATGTCCAACAATGTACCTACACACTAAAAAAAACACTATAACAAACATTGGTTGTCGTTCAACAAGTTGCTGAAACTTGATACCAATGATGTTCTTAGGGTGCAAAGAAAAATTGTTCTGTCCTCTATCATTTTGTCAACTGGGCAACATCTAGCTGTGTATATATTGATATTCATGTTATTTTGAATGTAATTTGTCTGAAATGTAGTCAGCTGTGGCACTTCACTTAGTCTAATCCTATTTGTACTCATAACCGGATAATTTAATGGAATGGTTAAACTCGAAATTATATCACAAGGCATCGTACTACCTTACAAGGTTTACATTGTAAACCTTACAAAAGCTATGATTATTAAATTTATGATGATTATATCATGACATTTTCATTTGCCAAGTTCCAAGCAAAATTAAAAGATTGATATGTTATAATCATGCAGCTTGCTAAGACTACAACAGTTCACACATTGAAATATAATTAGAAATATTAAAAAACAATACAGATATGAAGGGTCACAATATGCTCAGGAAATGTTATGCCTGAATGTTTTCAATCATATTTAAACTATTAAGACAACATTGAAAGGGAAATCTTGTGTTTTAACACAACATTAGTTTTCAAGAGTCTTCCTGGTATTAATATAAAATTCTTGGGTTTTCAAGGGTTTCCCAGGGCTAGAATAAAAATCCAACATTTTCCAGGAATTTCAGGGAGCATACAAATCCTGTCGGTAACATTCAACCTTGACAATTGTTAGCTCCATTTCCAGCATTCTTGAGAGAAAATTAAATTCCAAAATTTACCCTTTAAATGCATTGCAATACTTGAAATAAAAAGGCAAAAAGGGCAGCTTCCACAGCTCTCACCCCACTCCCATTAAGTCTGGGTCTGTGTATATCACAGTATTTTTGAAAACTTGTCATAGTATTTGCATGCTTTTAAGCCAGGCTCCTAGGGAGCGCTCACATTTCTAGTTGAGAATATCAATCTTTAGTCATTAAATAGGCATGATTTTTACAGATCATTTTCAGTCTGTTTTAAGCATATGTTTTACCCATAACAAACCAAGCAACATTCCATTAGTTGCAGCCACATCATTGCCATTGGAATTTTAATTGCATTCTGTACTTTTGAATACAGGCGTAAGCTCTTGTCTCTTTTAAGACAAAGTATTTATTAATATTGTAACCGCCATGTCACTTAGAATTTTATATAGATGAATGAGCTTGTAAATAGATGAATTCTTCATTGGAAATATCTTAACAGGATACTATGGGAAAACGATATTGATATCAGGGTCAAAATATCGTTGGAAAACATTTAGTCATTTGTTTATACCAAAGCGCTTATAGATAGCAAAAGTTTAGTTCATACGCAACTTAACGTTCAAATCTTGCTAATTTTGAGATCCCCTTTGACCAGCTATAATTTCAAAGAATGCAATAGTTTCAAAGCTGTCACAAACATACTGTAGTTGAATATCCGGTATCAGCATTCAATATACCGATTTCAATTTGATACCGATACTTTGGGTATATCTGTTTATCCTAATAGAGATAAGAAAGCTTACCTGTGTGTCAGGAAGAATTCTCGCATACTTTGAAGAACTAAACCGTGGTGTATTCACATTTGATTTCTTGTTATAATTAAAACCCTCGCGATCGAATATCTGCCGATGCTGCCCGGACGTACTTGGCAGAAGTATCATCCATACAACAAGAAATCGAACGTTACTAAATTGTTCAAAATCCATATCAACCGAAATTATATCATTGCAGATTTTTGCAGAATACAGGCAGCTTTGTTGTGTCGTGCACTACAAGAGTTTCATACATTCGTTTAAATCAGAATGCACAATATTTTATTAATGTGCACTGTGCAGCGAATATTTTTGGCAGCCATATTCACTGGCCATATTTAAATACCGCGCAAGAACCTGGAACAGAATTTGACGGTGGCGAGCATGCAGCCAGGGACCAAGGCAACATTTGCAACATGTAGTCCGATAAAGAATAGATATATGTATAAAGAGGGTTCACTCCGGCGAAAATTGGTCACATCACATAGCTTGGCCACCTTATGCATGCGTACTACCGTGGTGGGTTTTAATGAGGAACAAGGCAATTTTTGTCATAAAACAACGATTTTAACAAAACTATCCAAGTATACGATTTTAACAAAACTATCCTTACTTCAATCTTCAACGTTTATTTTAATAACCAACTCAAAGGAATGAGTATTCTAATTTCCAACGATATCTATCGTAATAAATCCGCCATGTTTACAAATGGATTGAAATTAGTTATGTTCAGTACATATATTTGGCCAAAATAAAAAAAAGACAGAGACAGAAAGGACAAGCCACTTGACCATTAAAACAGCGTGGTTATCCATGTCAAAATATTTGACATCATAACCAAAGCATGGTTATATTGTTTCATACTTTGTATATGAGCACGTAACATGCTTGCAACTTTACATAGGACAAGCATTCGACCATTAAAACAGCGTGGTTATCAATGTCAAAATATTTGACATCATAACCAAAGCATGGTTATATTGTTTAATGTTTGTAGATGAGCACGAAACATGCTTGCAACTTTACATAGGACAAGCATTCGACCATTAAAGCAGCGTGGGTATCAATGTCAAAATATTTGACATCATAACCAAAGCATGGTTATATTGTTTAATGTTTGTATATGCGCGTCAAACATGCTGGAAACTTTACAAAGTATCTACTATTTCGCAATAATGCTTAAACTGAGATGCATTTGCGGCCATTTCAGAGGCCTATGTAAATTTCAAAATTTTCCCGGACTCTCCTAGCAGGTGGGCGGTTCCGAGCCCCAGCAATACGAAAAACGCTCCGCTGCCCCTGTATCCATGCGTCAGGAGTACATTGCTGTGCTTGCATAACACCTTGAGTTCCTTGCATCATCACGTCCGGGCAATTAAAGCTGAAATTGTGTTACTCTACGCTTTTTTTGACTGTCCGTCTCTAAAACATTGGAATGAGAATACATCGCACTTTGCGTGTCGATGAAGATGTAGCCATGATGGCCAACTATTACCTCATGCTGTCGAAAAAGATAGAGAAAATACTTTATCTTCGTTATATAGCAATAACTCAGTTGGGAGATTTATTGATACAAAGTCATGCATGTCCTATCATGGACGTCAAATTCTGTCATGTTGGTTGGAGTTCAATGGTGAAAGTTGTTTTGCGCATGCATGCAGATAATTTATTATTATCTTATTATTTGGTTAACATTATTCCAGTTTTGGTATAACTGTTGCCCCTTATATGCTGCAGTCAGATCGAGTATTATAAAGGCGTGGTGTACATTTCCGTATGTAAGTGATGATAGTCATTCCACACCATTTCCAATTTTGGTGATTTCTTTCAAACTGTAAACTGGCAAATCACCGCAAAATTTAGCCACCGTAGAATTTACGTATTTCTTCACCAGTTGTTTATCAATAGTCCATTCAGTGGAACTCACTAAATCACTTGAGTCTCTTCACCCCCCCCCCCCCTACCTATAACGAAGAAAAACGATCTTTAAACAGCTGAAAACGTTCACCGTTCGCTCTCGGCGGATGGAAACAAGGGCCGGTTGTATAAAACTCTTAACTACATTTTAAGTAGTTAAATCGTAGTTAATCGGAAAATGCATTATTCTTATTGGCCAATTCTGCCACTAATTATAGTCAAAGCTGGTTTGCATGACAGACAGGCGGAAGACTTGGTTCAAAATTAGACTTTAAAGCAGGACTCTTCCTCAGCCGGAATACTTTGACATCAATTAAGTCTGAATAAATTGCAGCAACTTGATAATAACCATGTTCGTACATCGGGTGTAGTGCAACATTGTTTATAGTCCCGAGGCCGGTTGTAGAAAACTCCTTTAACTACATTTTGCATACTTAAATCCTATTTAACTCAGAAATACACCACTCTGATCGGCCAATTCCGTTAAGATCCGGTCAAAAGTTGCATCATATTTTGCAATACAACAAAAAACGGTATCGCATGTATATTTGTGTACTTAGTATTGTAAATTTCAGGGATTGTCAAGTCGAGGTGAATGTGATTTGCCGAGCCCAGGGCAACGCTGATAAGTTTTTAAAGCGACCATGTTTAATACATATTGATACACAGGGTGGGTAAAAAAACTGACACGTTTGAAAGTCACGCGACCTTTTTGGTAGAATTTGACAATTCCCATGTGCACAATCAACATGACGTGGTTATTTAATGCGAAAGTGTTTAAACCAATTGAACTAATTCAACGTGGCGCGTGTGCTAGAAAACGATTTGATAAAACTGTTTACAGAACTTGGAATTTAACTCCCAAAGGGAACAAAATTTATGTTTTAGGTTAATTAATGGGTTCACTTATTTGATATACTTCGTATACCCATGAGATATTTTAGGCAACTTCTGTCACATTATATACAGCCGCTATGCAGCTAATCTGAATTTCACCCCCCCCCCCCCAAAGAGGGCATATACGTAAAGATCGCGGAAGTTCTCGGAAGTAGTTATCAGTCACAATTAGCATGCATGGACTCACTTTAATTGGTTAGTGGTCTTCCTGTTTGCCTGATATTGCTCTAGACTTTCCCGCCATGTTTCAGACGTCCGGTAATGGATTATACTGAACATCCTGTGGTTAATGATGGCCAGAAATAACAACTATGTTGTTAATATATATACATTCGCCAGTACAGGGAATATACCGGGCAAGAAAAGTCATGTTGAACTTTGTTTCAAAAAAATATAAAGCACTAATACAAATTTTGCAGTTCGTACATACGAGCCTTCGTTTTATGGATGCGAAATAGAATTGTTTTTCGTGAGGTGATGACATCTGCAGTTGTAATATCGCAACTTCTCGAATTACTAGTATTTACCTAATTGTCTGCAGGTTGCTCAATCTGCCAGCTTTTAAAATTCTTGTAGTATATCCCGCGTAACACAACTTGTTCTGCGTGTGTACGCGTGTATGACTTACACTCCTAAACTGATATCAATCTTTTAGAATTTTTGCACAAGTGAACATAACAAATCCTACATATTGATTGGTCGAATTTGACGTATTATCCTCAATATGCTGTTTTGTTATATAAGTGCTGTGTATTTTAAATGTGATTGGTTCATTCGTAGTCACATGACTTTAAATAAATGAATGCAATGTTTCCCGCCAAGGAAACAAGTGAAAAATTTTTGCCCGCATATTGTCATAACAAAGTTTTTTGAAATGAAATTGTCGTGTAACATGTATGTTTTTGTCCCTGTACAACAAAACACTTAATGTTCGCTACACCTCGGCCCTCGGGAAATAGTAAGTTTTGCTTTCCCTCGAGTCTCAATGTTTCCCTCGACTTCGTATCGGGAAACATTCAGACTCTTGGGAAAACAAAACTCACTATCCCCCTCGGGAGCATACATTAAGTGTATAATATTCACCTGCAGATGAATATAAGACCGAAATTGAAAAATGGCGGCTAGACGTTTTGTGAACGTTTCTTAAATAGAGATAAGCGAACTAATGCAGCTCTTGCGCAAAAATATTAAAACAATTATTCACCTTAGCATATATATAATATTCCCCGATAATGACCTCGAGTTCGGCGAATAATTGTTAAATATTAGACGCTCGAGATTATTATTATACAATTACTTAATGGTTTCCGTGTTTGGATGGCCTGATCCAAACACGGGCTTCAACCAATCAGAACACGCGTTATATACATGTTATTTTATAATAAAGGAATACCAAATGATTTTCCGTGCAGGATTGCGTGATCCATGCACGCGGGATGTTGCGAGACTTTCGGAAAGCGTGAAAATACACGAGCCGTAGGCGAGTGTATTTTCACGCTTTCCGAAAGTCGAGCAACATCCCAAGTGCATGGATCACGCAATCCTGCACGGAAAATCATTTGGTAATTGTTTTATAAAATAACTGTAGTGAAACAACGGTTAACTTTATTAAAATCAAATTTCGCGTGCAGGATTGTCTAAAACGCGTGCAGGATTGTCTGATCCTGCACGGCTATTGACCAATCACATTGCGTGTTTCACTATAGTTATTATATAATATGTTTTCCAGCGTTGTTTAATGTTAATATTTATTATTTACAAACATATAGTGTGCGATAAATTGAATTTAGAAATTGTTTTTAAAAATGTGTGGCTCTACGAAGAAATTTAATGTAGGCATAGTAATCATATTACAAACTAAAATGATACTGATATTGCAGGCATTACCACAGAGACTTGATTGAACGGAAACATCTGGTAAAAACATTCAGTCGTTGTTACACGAGGCTATACTATTATTCGTTACGCGTAGACGAGAACTCCAGGAGGTGGCTTTTGTGCCTTTATCAATTTTTTAAGATCTGATTAATCTATCTTTCAAGTACATTCCTCCGGGTAACTAGCTTTATGCGGCTTCTCATGTATAATATTTTTGCAAAGGACTTAAGGGGAAATAGGAACACTCGCAATATTTCGGAATTTCATTTGGAAAAACCTGCCGCATAGTTGACTTTTTTGACCTGATTAATCATCTTTCACTGGACCCCAGCTGGTACTATATATATAGACTGGCTTCATCCAACACAATTCACATGTCGTATTTTGTATTAATTTGTTGTTATTAAGGAATCACGACATGTGAATTACGACGAATTATGACAGTGTTACATGAAAACCAGCCTTATGAGTGAACTATGAAGTTCAACTAATAACCATAGACTGCTGAAATGGATGCGTGACACCAACCGACAAGCCAACGGGATTTAAGACGTCCGTTCATGCAAGTTAGTTCATTTATTTCGACACAGTGCTAAATCGGGAAGCCGCAGCTCAGTGGGACATCAGACTGGCGGTACTTTTCTTGCCAGACACTGCTGAAACGGACATTCATGCCTTACTTACATGATTACATCGGGAAGCCAGTTGCCCAATGCGATATCAGACTAACGTACTTAGCGTCAATTCAACTTAGGTCATTGTACACTGAAAACTACTGAAACGGACATATTACATCGGGAAGCCAGCGGCCCTGTGCGACATCAGACTGGCGTCAGCTCAACTTAGGTCATTGTTTGCCGAAAACTGCTGAAACGGAAATATTACATCGGGAAGCTAGCGCGACATAAGAATGTTATCAACACAAGTTTGGTCATTCTTTGCTACACACTGCTCACTGCTGAAACTCATAGATTATATCGGGAAGAGAGCTGGTGCATTATAAGACATTTCTTTGCGATCTACAATATCATTTTACTTTCTGTGTCTGGTATGGAAGCTTTTACTAACGTTGGTTATCTCGCCTTATGGATGATACTACTTTTAAGCATATCAAGGGAGAATGAAGGATCGCAGTATAATAGAAATCGCCGCTCAGAGGTTGGCTATGCTTCTTATAGTGGTTTGTAGGACGAGCCAAAGTACTAAAGTACCGATTTCCATTTCTGTCATAGTCTAGATTTGTGCAAAATTATATCATCTTTCATTTCTTATAATTTCGCCATAAAATACCGAGAATCGCGCATCTATTATATCAGTTAAATATAAATTTCGGGGTGACTATATTGATTTTCCTGCATTCTGACTTGTCAAGATTCACTGTCTCTGAAATGATATATAGTCACTGGTCGGTGACCTTTTTTTCAAATAAGAAATTTGAGTAATTATACATTTTTATGAAAGGCGAAAGGTGAAGTTAGGCGTGATAGAACGGAAAAGCAAAAGAGTGGTTAGGCGTGGTAGAACGGTAGTTGTTTTTTGTTCAACTCTGTGATTTCTATCTCATACATCTTCTTAGTGGTAGCAGATTTTTATGTTGGTCAAGGTACTGGTTCTCGTGGAAAAACAGAACCTTTGTGTTGTTTTTTTCTCCTATTTTTGAGAAATATATGTGCATGACATGTATAAATTTTTGTCCTTTGCAGTCACTTAAATCCGTTTTTGTTCCAATGTTTGCTCAGTCATGTTTCATTTCCGTATTTATAACCTTCATTTAATGTTGCAGAATGAAGCAAGGGGGTACACGATTGAAAAAAAAAATGGAAAATATTTCGTTGTATTCACCAATCGGCAAGTAAGTAATTTATGTTTTAAACCATTAGCAGCCCAAAATTCGAGTTTTTTTCGACGCCTGCTCTGGCGTTAACTCTGCATCCTGCACGTCCCTGTCTTGAATATAATGCTTCAGAACATAAACCATACAGTTTATACTCATTGATTCAGAAGCCATGCAAACTTAAATGTTGTTCGACATTCAGAACCACATCGTACTTTAAAAAGTATAGAAGTTCAGCGATATTATTAAAATAGAAGCAGAATCTACATATATTAAACATATTCTTACCCTAATTTAATCGAACAGCATCAAAAGAACGGTTTATTTGAGGAATTTCCGTATCGTGCCAAAGATTTAGAGTAGTGCACCACAACTCTTGCGAGACAAACCTATATAAATACAATCACATACGCTCTTCAATGAGTGTCGCATCCAGTCAAGTCCTGGGTACAAATGTGCATTTAAGTTTTCAAATTGTAGCATATTTCGCGCCAAAACAGCTGACGGAACTGTCACGCGATGATCAGTGTAATCTCGCACAACCCTGGTGGTTTAATATGTCACTAGCATGCCGTAACCCTTCGCTATTTCAAATCAAGCAAGAAACTCTTTGAGCAAGCTAGATACTAGTTAATATATACTCTGCAAAACCAGATTGCAATTTGTTTCATTTTTTATTAACATATCTTCATGAAGCTTTCGTGAACTTGCGTTTTCATATTGGTTCATTTGTATACCACGTGTACAACGTTGCGTCGGTCATGTAATCTAGCTAGCTCGATTAGAAAATTTCGGTTACCAACATTTCAGATAACCGGAAAGTTTTTTCTTTTTTGTTTGTTGAAGTTGTACATTTAAAGTATGACGCTTCCCCAATGTTTAGGGGAGCAATTTTAAATTAGGCAATGTATTATGCATGTACGTGTTTCTGTGTGTGTTAGAAACACTGCAGAGACTATAAATGGGAAATATTTACAATTTGTTTCAAATCTTTTTCTAGACAAATCGGGCGAGCTTCGATGACCCAAATTGGAAAAATCAGCAATATCTAGATCTGGTAATATATACTTTTTCGCTCTTTCTAATCACTCTCCTCTAATATGAGTGGAGCTTTAAATTTGTCAACAATTGTACTTTGCTAGAGTATTTGGCTTCCGGTTTGGATTATGCCAGAGCCTTTGCTTTCTCGTCAGAGGAAGCGCGGGCTCGGGGAACGATATTAGCATATTTCGCGCCAAAACACGCTTGCGATGACGGAAAATAATAACAAAAAACATCAAGAATAAAACCTAGATTATTTTTTAAACTCCGTCGCTTACGCCGGAGTAATTACGTTTCATAGCTTTCTAATGCTTGCGGAACTGTATTTGTCACGCTAATTCTTTGAGGTAACTTGACCCTAGCTTATCACCCTGTAAAAACAGATTGTTAAAATAACTAATTTGGAATTAGTTGCCTTACATTCATTTTTTTATCAACATATCTTTATGACGTTTTCGTGAACTCGCGTTTCCATTGGTTCATTAGTACCACGAGTACAACGCTGCGTCTTGGTTATTTACTGAATAGATTAATCTAGAATAGAAAATTTCTGATATACCAACCTTTCAGTTACTCGTTATCATTTAGGTTGTCCATGTCAATATTATATACAAAGTATATAAATATCAATCACGTGACCATTTTTCAGGGTAGCAGCCGAATCCGTGCAGCCCACCGAATTGATGATGTTTGGAAAAAGGGATATACTGGAAAAAATATAACCGTGGCGATTGTTGACGATGGAATTAAGTACACGCACAAGGAATTCGAAGGTCGCTATGTAAGAGTTTTATATTTAAAATTAGAGTTTTATTCGTCAAAACTGCCACGATAACTCGTTATTCCGAAAATAAACATACTCTAAAAATTACTTTACTAATTTCATAATCTCAAAAGCAATTTGAGACTCTTCAGCCTACATGGCGCATTTTGAAAACTTTTCTACGCACTGCATGACGTATGTTTTATCAATTAATTACTACAGAATCCATAGCTCCATGTATAAATCATTATATTTATACGAATCACTTATTCCTGCAAAAGAAATGGGTGACTGGAAATTTAAATCTAATTTTTTGGCGATTTAAAGCTTCTTAATTACAGATTTGACTATATAATCAGTTTGAATACATTGTAAACGTAACAACGTTTGAGTTGGAATTCCTAAAAGGAAAAGGTTTTAGTCATTTAGACATTATATAGTTTGCCAAAAAAAGTTAATACATGCAGGCTCAGAATGTTGCAGGGGTGGATCCAGCACTAGTGCACTAATTTGCATTACAAAACAAAATGGCTATTTTGAGCAGTTTTCTTGTGTCATGCAAATTAGTGCACTAGTGCTGGATCCACCCCTGGAATGTTGACACCTGTCTTGCTGGTTCCGTTGGAAATAGTGTTTAGCTCTGCTTGTCGTAACAATAAAGAGAACTAATCATCAAGTAACCCAAGTTTAATGTGGAGTTAAACATATTGACAGCGCCGTAGCTAGAAGCTCAATTTTGCATATTCATATATTCGTCTTATGCCCGAATGATTTCTTTTGTTCCTACGCGGTATATAAACATTAATAAATAAATTTTCGCTTGGTTACTCGAGTTTCACGCCTTTAAAAAGCGATCATCAGACTCTATATATATATATATATATATATATATATATATATATATATATATATTATTATATATATATATATATAATATTATATATATATATATATATATATATATATATATATATATATATATATATATCAATCAGGCGGTCTATAGCTACGGCCGTGCATATTGAATTAAAACTAAATTGGTTTTTTATTAATTTTATTCCCAGCTCCCACAATTAAGCTACGATTATGTTGACCAGGATTCAGACCCTACGCCATCCGACGGGTAAGTAATTGATGACATCCAAATTATTTACAGAATATTTCTCTTGAATTTTGGACGCCTGTCAAGCAATGTCCATGTACGATGCTTATCTGTGTTCCTTTATGTGTTACATTGACACATAAATTCTGTCTGCATGTCCGTATTTATGAGACTGTTGATCTTCGTTTTCTGTGCAACTGCTCGCATTCGTCAATTTTTTAATTCTTATGCTATAAGAATGAAATATTATGCTAATTTAAAATTTACTTGCTTTTGGAAAATCAAAAACTTGAAAAATGGCGCCGCGTTGCCAAATCGCGTTAGGTCTGTGTGGGTCTTAAAGGATTACAGTGCATGCGCATTGGTTTCAGGCAAGCCAATCAGAATGTCTAAATTCTTACTTCTTCATGAAAAATGGTAAACAACGAACAACAACAGACAAAACTTTTGTATTCTGATTGGGTTACTGCATGTAAACTAACTTGCTGATTGGTCTAATTCCCCCTTTTATTGTAGTCTACTTGTTTCAAAATTGGTTAAATTTTGCATGTTTCGTATATCTCCGAACATAAACTCTCTCTCAAATTCATTTAGAAGCATAGCGCTAGCGAACTAAAAGCCGGTATCAAATGTTCTGAAAGATCTTGATATTTTTGGAAAAATACGGATCGAAAATTTAAACAAAGCGTTTGTTTACGTTTCGGACTGTACGCCACCTTTAAACGATTATAGTGGTCACCCCAGTCTATTTTGGTCTTCTTGATAAGGTTTTTTGTAATAACTTGATGGAGCAATATTAAGCGATACAAATATATTTGAGAATGTTTTGAGTCCCCAATATTGAATTGAACGCGTTTTTTTCAAAGATGTCTTGATCCTATTGATCTAAAACTAATTCTAAAGGACTCAATGACGTGAATAATAAGCAATGTCATATGCGTGGTTCGAATTTTGAACCATATATGGTTATGATATGTAATTATGTCATTAACTTTTTTGCATAAGTCATGGTACAAATTGTGCTGGTGTTATTGCTGGTGCTGCAAACAATAAACTATGCGGTGTTGGTGTGGCATACGAAGCCAATATTGCAGGTATTAATTTGTTTTTACTAATTAAACCTTTGTTATTGATCTTTTGAATTTGTTAAAAAGACCTGCAGGCTGTCCTACACTGTAAAAATAATGCCAATTTAAATTGGTTACCTCTGATTCGTTTTTTGGACCAAGTTTTTATTGGTCTGTAAATGACTAAAAACGTGGTTTAAACAAAACAACTATTTTTTTGTTCTAGAAAATAGAATTAATCAAAAAGAGATGAATCTGGGAGAACCAATTTCGAATTAGTTGTTTTAAACAATCTATAGAATAAATTTGAAAGCAGGCCCTTCTTGGTTCTAATTACCTTTGTAATTACACTATACCATATAATGCTGTGCGCTATGCAGAATTACAAGAATATAATTATAACATTTTTTTATCCGACAGCTCGTGAGATTGCCACGTAGGAACTATACATTACCAAACGTTTCACTAATCGGTGTAAATAATTGCAAAGTCAAAGAAAAATATGAATAAAACGAAAATTATCAGATAAATGACAGCCATGTTATAACTAATTTCTTGGAAGTATAATGGGAAAAAGCATATGGATCTAATCTCAATACTTCGACCTATTTCAGGTATTCGATTAATAGACAGAGGTTTGCCTAATGACACTGACGTAGCAAAGGCATTCTACCCATTTGATGGCCATAAAATTGATATATTCTCCAACAGCTGGGGTCCACCCGATAATGGTTATGTTATAGCCGGTCCTGGACCACTGTCTCTGGAGGCATTGAGAAAGGGTGCAAATGAGGTGGGTAGAAGGTTTAAAGAGGAAAAATGTAGTGCATGCATAATAATACAAATGCGAATAAGGTGCTTATATTATACTAGAAATACATGCATTCATGCAGAATACCTTCGCACATTCAATCCTGACATGGCATTATTAACATTGTTAAATGAGTCGATAGGTATAGTTTTCAATTACCATCATTCGGTAAAAAGCTTTTGTGCATGTCCATCAAAATTGGGACGAATTTAGATTCGGCATTGCTCCCCACAATTCGCGGGGGTAGTTCAAATCTCCACGTGGAAAGAACCCTATCTCGTAGAGCAGTTACACCGCGGTTTAAGGATAATTGTGTATATTATTATACATGCATACTATAAATTTTCAGGATTTGTATATTGATAGCTATATAGTATCATGATTACCTATACATCATTTGCTTATTATTGTCTATATTTCATCGCCCAAGGGACGAGGAGGTCGTGGTTCAATTTATGTTTTTTCTGCTGGTAATGGTGGATTTTTTGGAGATAGTTGCGCTTTTAATGGTTTTGTTAATAGCATATACACCATCCCTGTTGGCGCGGTGAATCAAAATGGGAGACCTTTATACAGTTCTGAGGCATGCAGTGCTGTTATGACTTCTGCTTATGCTGTTAATTTGGTAAGTTGAAATTTAAAATAATTTTAGGGCTTTTTTCATAAAATAATTATCTACTGAAAACTTTCTTCTCAAAACATGGCCCGAAATGCAGGCCAATATGGCTGCCAACCATGCGCGACTTAGTGGTAATTTAGGAATCCAATATGAATCGCCAATATTTTCTTTTAGCTGTTGCTATGACACAATGCGAAACTTAAATATTCAACGATATTTTACAAGTGTGGCGTCGCCAGCGTATATAAGCCGGGAGTCATTTTTTTATGACAAACTATTAATTTTTACAATTGTATTGCGTTCAACAACTTGCGAAATGTTCCCTAACGTACTCCAGGGGAGAGGGTGAATAATCGTCATTTATTGAATTTAGCAAACGGCTTCAAGTTACAACGATTAATCTTGTGACTCAAGATTTGGTGCAACATCAGGCGCCACTGCTTTGGTATCAGGAGTTATTGCTCTAGCATTGGAGGCAAAGTAAGATATACTGCATGTATAACAATATTGGAAATGATGGGCAGGTGGTCGTCAAACAAAGAATGAATTGGTGTGAATTATGTCTGGGGGTTGTTGTTGAGAACAATGCACACATGATATTTCCTAGTGACGCTTTCGGCGTGAAATTTCATTTTATGATTGCAATGCGAGTCGATACTAATTCTGATCTTTTTCTCATTATACGTGCTTTGTGCTTAGCTATTTAACTCTGACTGGGTAGAATTCAAGCAACTGTAGCTTGTCTAGCGTACAGGTTAAAGAAACTTGGATATTGATTTGAAACGGTCTTATTAAAAAGAGGGTTAAACCAAATGGTCTTACGGTGCCAGGTTCTTCGTATTCGATCAGTTAATATGTCCTTTCTCTACCACTTCAGGATTAAATCATTCAAATTAATATGACCCTGTATAAAAGTCTTTTAAAATTCTGTCTCGTTTTTGAAACACCCCGTATAGCTTGCTCTTAAATTATGGGTACAAATAACGGTCGCAATCTCATGCGTTGGCAAAATATGAGGTAAATGCATAAACACTTCAAGCGAAATACAGCTAATACTTCTAAGTAACAAAGTAGTCCAGAAAGGACATATAAACTGATCGAATACGAATATGATTTCCTGTAGAAAGAATGAAAATTGAGAATTTAAAATCTATGAATACAATTTCGCTCTGTACAATATGTACAATATTGATAATTGTTTATGCATGGATCAGAAAGAATTACTTCAGCTTAAAATCGCAATCGCATTGGTTGATTTTTATTAAAAATAATTGAAATCCATAACTAATTAATATAGCGTTGTTATTAAGGTGTTTTGAATTTAAAATTTATCTGTGTAGTTTATTCTCACTACCCCTATAGATCCGCTATGTTGTGAGCCCCTGATCAAGCGAGTTATTTGTATCTTTTTAGAAAAACCTTAACATGGCGTCAAGTACAGCACTTAATAGTAAGATCCAGTAGTAGTGACGTAATCGATAGAAGTGTAAAATGGACCGTAAACAAAGCAGGATTTCGAGGTACTTTTCAGGATTTTTAATGACCATTTACCTGATCAATAATAGTGCTATATACAGTGAAAATTTTCATTGCTTCAGACTTTTGGCTCCATTCTTAATTAGTGGGACACTTTTTCCCCGCATGCATGTATGTAACTTCATTCGTTAAATTTAATACTGCTTGTGCATAATACGGTACCTTCATTGCATGTGTTTATCCCCGAGCCGGTGCGGAGCACCGTGCGAGGGTACTAATTCCGCCCGGAGATTAGGAATTACACCCGGGACCCGGGAGAACATAGCGGGATCCAAAGTTGCCCAAATGTCATGGACGTTCAATGGTCATGGTAGTTGTGCGCATGCGCGAAATTTAAACGAAGAAAGAACGGTCGTCTACAACTTGCTGATTAACTAAGACAAAAAGAGAGCATGCATGAGAGCGTCAGCATTTTAACCGTCATTTTGCAAACTATTTTTTAAAAATATAAAATGAAATCATCGAGCCAAATATTAAAACAATAATAAAAGATTTAAGATCATCACAGCACAGAAACAGTTGGTGAAATAGGAATGACTCGTAGTTTATAATCTTTGAAGTGGTATGTGTCTATATTTTGCTTATTCAGTGTTTGCTGTAAGAATGCATTGTTATTTTCACAAGGACGAGCTTGGTATGTCGTTTTACAAGCAGCTAACCGACCGTTTAAGGCTTTACATCATCGCTTAAACTTTAAAAAGAGTTCTCAAAAATGTACTTCAGAGTTTTGATAAAACAAATATCACTTTGCAGCTTATATAGTCGCTAAAATCATTGAATGAAATAAATAATCGAAAAACAACATTCGACGTTTAGTGCTTGTATGGTTATTATAATTATTTGTGCTGTTTTGATGTTTTAATGTTTTGAAGATTTAACTGCAACATAATGCAGCAGGCAAACAGGTGGTTTCTGTTCACCTGTACGACTATCTTTGTTTCCGAAAAATTTGCATGAGTTATTTCATAATATTAGCGTAGAAAGTTGGGTCTGGGTAGCGCACGAAATATTTTGCTTCGTTTAAAATGGCGAGGGGTTGCTGCATGCATGTATTTCTAGTTATAATTCTGTACGCGTGTTGACTAAAATCGATCAGAAATATATTGCACCAGAAATAAAGCAGCTATTGTTAGGAAATCGCGTCTAACAAACTTGCAAATATTTTGTACGGGTTTTCGCTTTGCATCAGATAACCGCCTAAAATATAATAAGTAGTAACTTAAGCTTGATCTTTTCAGTGAGTAACAAAGTTGGATTTGGATTTCTTGATGCTTCGCGGATGGTAGAAAATGCCGAAAAACTGACTACATTACCACGACAGATTAAATGTAAAATTGAGCTCAAAATTAACCAAAAAATTGTATTGCTGAGAGGGTAAGAATATTGCGTAAAAAGGTTGGGTTTCTGTCGGTAGGGAAATGGTTCGCTTGCAAAAAATTGTATTTGGATTATTACATGTTATTACAAATTTGATTAAGAGGATTAAATCGAGTTGAACTAATTCTTTTACGTACAGAACCAATCTCGTCCCACAAGAACGCGATCCTCTAGCGAGGAAACGAAGGCTCTAGGATAATCAAAATCGCGGAATGATTCTTATTGGTCGCGGTATGGAATGCTGCAGCATAATACAGAAAATTGCGGGTGACGCTTTCCGGGGGCATTTATATTGTGATTTATAATATTTAACAAAACAAAGCCGATTGATAATCTTCAATGTTTGCAAGTTTGTTTTGAAAAGTTTCAAATGTTAAATCGGATTATCCCAGAGCTAGACTTCGTTTCCTTGCTAGAGGTTCGCGGGCTCGAGGACGAGATTGGCAGAAAACATGCATGCAATCCACTCTATGCATAATTACACGTTCTTTCTTGGCTTTTGTTAAAATAAGTTGATTATCGTTTTTAGACGCTAAGGAATGTTGTGTAAAAGTCTGAAATCGGCTAAAATTCAAGAACTATAGCTATAGTTAAATTTTCTCAATGAAAAAACTCTATGGACATATGCGTAAAAGGGGAGTAAATAATAATTTGTCTCTTATTTTTAAGGAAAAAAAATTCATTTGCTATTGAAGTTGGTAGAGATCAATGCCGCGGTGGAGTGATTAATCATTTGGAACATGTCGAGGCAAGATTTAGTTTTAGGTATTTCAGGCGTGGTGTGATTGGCGCTTACATTATTTCACCAGGGGGAACCGAGTCCCAAGTAATATTTCCTCGTTCGCTTGACGCCTACGTTGGTGAAAGGAAATACAAAAATTTAAGCACAGTTAGTGTGCACTTCTGGGGTGAATCGTCAGAAGGAACATGGACTGTAACTCTTAGGAATGATCTTCCATCCTTCCCAGAATCAAACCAATATGAAGGTATATTTCATAAACTAGAAATACTTGCATGCAGCAACCCCTCGCCATTTCAAACGATGCAAAATAATTCCGAGCTAGCCAGATCTAACCTTCAATATTATGAAATGTCCTAAATTTAGAGCCGATTGCTGATGTTTCAAATATTTCGGAAACAAACACAGTCGTAAAGGTGAAGTAAAATCACTCGTTTTCCTGCTGCTTTCCGTTGCATTAAGTTATAGACTTTCACAGTTTAAGTGAGAGTTAATACTTCATAATAGCTAAACCTTCAAAACATCAAAACAGCCCAAATAATATAAATAACCAAGCAGTGAACGTCGAATGTTGTTTTTCGATTGTTAAATTCATGCAGTGATTGCAGTCGAACCTTTAAAGTGATATTTGTTATATTAAAAATCCGAATTACACTTTTAAGGACTCTTTTGGAAGTTAAAACGATGATGTAAAGCCTTAAATAGTCGGTCACGTCTTCGCAAAACCGAGCAAAACGACATACTGTACCAAGGTCATAAAATGTATTCGTACAGCAAACACGAAATAAACCTCGAAATAAACAAAATAGACTCCTACAATTTCAAGGATTATAATCGAGTTGTTCCTTTTCACCGCTAATTCCTCCAGTTCTGATAATATTTTAAACTCTTCCCAGTGTTTTATCTGTTTTTTGATTCCACATTTCATATTTTGTTTTCGAAACATTTTTTTAAAAAATAGTTTGCAAAATGACAGTTAAATTGCTGACGTTTTTCACTGAAACACAAACGTTTAGTCTTAGCCAATCAGGAAGTTGCTGATTACCAGTCTACACTCGTTCGCATTTCGCGCATGCGCACAAGTACCATGACCATTGAACGTCCATGACATTTGGGCAACTTTGGATTCCGCTATGTTCTCCCGGGTCCCGGGTGTAATTCCTAATCTCCGGGCGGAATTAGTACCCTCGCACGGTGCTCCGCACCGGCTCGGGGATAATGCTAATTCGCATGAAAATCGAAAATAGCACTATTCCATGTATGTTTCATGAGGTTTTCGTATAGTGGACACCGCAGGTCCGCAACGCTCTGTCGACGCTTTTGCAGTAATTGATATTTACAAAACGATAGATCGTCGATCGTACATTCTTTTACTCTACTTTTTTGGTGTAATCGGCATGTCTCCTGGCAGAAACTTCATGTTATTAATAACACGAAATTCAGAAACTGGTGCGAGTAAATATACAAGAAAAAACGATACTTCGAAGAATAATAGCTTGTAAACTTAACATACGAGCTATTGGCAACAAGAGAAGAATTTTACGGTGGTGTTTTGGTCTCAGTTGTTATTCAGGTCTCGTTGTCAATAATTCATAGCTTGAATTTACAAGAAGTTATTCCTTGCAGTATGTTTTATAAATTGTCTGCTTGTAATGCTTTTTATAAAATGTGGTAAGACATTTTTATGCAAAATTTGCCAACTTCACAACTTGCTATATTTTCCACATTTTTAAAAATTTTGCGAGGAAACGTTCGAATGTACTAATCATGTTACTTGAAATAGGTTAATTTAGAGCTAAAACATAGGTCTGTTGCACAATAGTTAACTTTCCTTCATGAGACGCACATCATGAGGCGATTGGTGTTCGTTACTATAATTTTATTTTTTAGCCAGACTGTTTGGTTTTAATCTAACTCTATATGGCACTGCACAAAAGCCGCCGTTTCCTGAAATACCGAAGAAGAATTTGCAAGAGGGGGATAAACCTAGAGGTAAAGTTAGTTTCAGTTGTATATATATATATTTTTCAGTTATATATATTTTGTACAATACACAATTTTTTGAGCTGACCTGACCTAAACTTACTTATGTTATGAAATGACTCAAATCGGTCTATTTATATTTCATCGAGCTAATGTTTCCATCATTTGGTACAAATAATCCTAGAGCTAGTGTGAACATTGGCTGTTCGATTTTTGCTGCATTATGCCATGGCAGTAATTGAGTAATGGTTTAAAATGGTTTAATTGAAGCTTCAAACGATTGAAACAGTACAAAATCTTCACACAAATTAAAAACCTGAAATTTTATTTTATTATGTGATGCAGTCGACGGCAAGTTTTATAGTGTGTAGTGACATTTGTCATATCAAAATTCAAATTACACTTTCAAAAACACTTTTTGAAGATTGAAGTTAAAGCGAAGCCGCAAAAGTGTTATAGCATTTCACAGTTGGTTTATGCCATTGCAAAACGGCATACAAAGCTGAAAATTATAAAACTGTAGTTACTGCGAAGCAAATATGAAATATACAAAGTAAACACGTACACTTTTAAAACACTTATAAGCTTGCAGATTATGAATTATTTCTCTTACCATGTTCTTCCTAGTTATCTGTCATTCTTTATCTTGTTACTTCTCGTTATATTTTTCACAAATTTTATCAAACGCTTTTACAAAAGAGTTCGCGAAATTACAGTTGAATTCCTGACCTTATATCATTGAAGTACAAACTTTCACTCTCTTATGTGTGTTCGTTGCAGAGTTCCATTCATGCAAAGAAATAAAGCAGAGTCAAAGGTAAGATTTATGACGACTGGAGTTCGGAAATTTCCAAACTTCCTTTCCGGCGATACAAACTGCGGAAGTGAGGCAGGGAGGAATTCCGTTTTGAACTAAATTTTTAATACTACATGTAACAGGAGTAGTCGAAATTTAACCATTCTTATTGGGTTACTGGAAATGTTAAAGAATTCTGGTTCTTCTAAAACGAAATTCCTCCTTGTTTCTAAGTAACGGTACATTACATGACATTAAAATATATAGTGTGATATAACGAACAATTTCATTGGCTAACGAGCGTGCATTGTTTGGCCATAATGCAAGCTTGTACTTTTTGAAATTTTCCCGCCTCTTGTTAAAAAGAAATTATGGTCCAAAATTTCACAAAACAAGTTAAAATTTTGAACATAAACACCAATTAAAAATGCAATAGTCTAGTTCTTCGGGAAACCAAAGCGCTAATGGCGGCTAAGAAAGGTTTACAAAAATGTCAGGAAGAGAGCTGAACTTCTTGCTGTGAAGTCTCTTGATGAAAACGAACCGTACTGTTTCTGTCGCTAGGCAACTTCTTGAATAACATGTAGAGAGAATTCCATGATTGATATAATAGTTAAATTTTGTCGCTGCCCTGTTAAATATTTTTTATATCAGAGAGTTTGGGAAACATCACGGCAACCGCAACGGCAAAATACATTCACCTAGAGAAAATACGAGTTAGTATCGACTTAATTCCCACTTCAAGTTTCCTCTTTCTCTAAAACAGTTATTAACTATTATAAATATGGTCGATCAGCAAAAATTGCGTTAAGACTCCAAACAACATCCAACACATTAACTGTTGCCGCGTTGTCATGCACCGTGAAATTGGTCACATTGTCGTTTCAGTAACTACGGCAATTTGCAACGTTAAAAGCCACGTAATTTACATTTTCTTTTGTCTTAAAGTATCATTGTAGATGAGCACGTTGCGCGGTTGTCGTTGCCGTTGTTCTTCCCAAACTCTCTACTATAAAAGAATTAAAAAAGCTCGTCTCGTGCCTTTATGGTGTAATAATGCACGATGAGGAAATATTGGGAGAATACGAGAGAAGGTTGTAAAACACGAGTTTAAAACACGAGTTGTAAAACACGAGTGTTTTACAAGCTTCTCGAGTATTCCTTCAACATTCCCCCGAGTGAATCGTTTTTTAATTCTTAATAAAAGGCAAGAGTATAAAAAAAAAATTCTAAAAAAAAATTCTGTGTATTCATATCTTCGTCTTTTGCCCAAATGATTTCTTCTTTGCGCTATTGTTCGTATATATAACATATGTAAACAAGAATATATGAATATAAACCCCCCAAATAAGCGGTATAGCTACGGCCTGAATAATAGTTAATGTGTATTTATTTTGTAGTTCGTCTGCAAGTGGCCTTTACCAAATCAGTGTTGGGAAAAATCAAACGACAGATGTGTACTGCGAGATGTCGTCTATCCGAGGTTGTTCTGGTGGTGGGTGGACGATGGTGATGAAAATTGATGGAAGGAAGGTGATAACTCAATCATGATGTTTCATGAACTTGCGGAGCATAAACTTGTTTTCTCATTAGTTATATCCATACGTGTCGGGGTGGACGATAATTTTAGTCTTTTTTATAGGATACGTTCCGATACAACTCCAGTTATTGGACGAACAAGAGCGTTTACAATGATAATGACCGTGGAAAAAAAGGAGGTTTTGACAACATAGAATTCAAGGGACAAACATTTTGGAAAACTTCATTCAATGAAATTTGTGTTGTCATGAAATATGGTGGTCAACTAAGATACTTATCTTTCTCATATCCAGCATTGTCGCTGTATAGTCTGTTTGCAGACGGCAGGTATCAACAAACCCACATCGGCCGTTCAAATTGGAGGCAACTCATCTACCGCTCATCCTTACAGCGTCACTGCAACAGAGAGGGATTTAACGTGTACTCTACAGATATAAATGTACGAGTTCGGTTGGGCCTGATAGCAAACCAGCAAGAGCACTGTGACTCCCCTGATTCTTTTATAGGTCTGGGAGGTGGGGGTATCAAACAATATTGTAGTACCCGTATTGCTACTCTTAACACCGCCGGAAATTATGCAATTTGTCAACCAGACAAGGGAGAAAAGAACGCGAAAGCAATGGGATACCTATTGGTTCGTTAAAACACATTATTGAAAAAGACAACTGATTTATGTTTATTAACCATAATGGCAAGGAATTATCACTAAGGGCGTAATTTTCGTACACGCGAATCGGAATTTTTTTAAACATTTGCTTTATAGAAATAGACATCGCGTTTATAAAACATATATAGTCTACTGAGTCGACATCATTACATTAACATTGCATAGAATAGTATAATCGAAATGGTAGTTTTCAATCGATAATAAAGTTAATCATACATGTCCAATACTGTTATACTTCGTAAACTGCATTTTCGTTTTGTGACATTTTTCACGGATCGATACTGATGGTACGTAAGACGGGACATACAAACGGACAGGACTGACGTACGAACCGTACGAATGGAAAAAACCCAGTCACCATTTGTAAATTTATTAACGAGTGCGCTCCTTTAGAGTACGATATCCGCATACACGCACGAAACAACTGTCGATTCGTTCAATCCGTACCAACCGTACGAATGAAAAACGTTCATATACCAATCGAAAAAATTCAACACTGCACTGTTTCCGCTATACGTCTAACCCCCTGTGGAGTACGATATCCCCATACACGAAGCGACTTTCGATTCGTACCATCCGTACCAACCGTACGAATGGAAAACGTGCATTTACCAATCGTAAATAACACCGTTTCCGCTATACGCTTAGATCCCTTTTGAGGACGATACCAATACACGAGTTGTTAAAATAACTCGCTAGATATCGCTTCAATATATTTTACCCAAAATATGCCTTATCAATACAATAGACTATTTACTGATGTATAATATTCCTTGTTCTCAAGAAAAATACGAGCAATATAACATGCTGTTATTAAAAGCCGCAAGATATCACTGCAATATATTGCACATAACACTATATAGGTATACAGCTCTTTCTCAAGACAAAAACGAGCGATATACGCGCATTCTCGATAAAACCAGCAAGATGTAATATGACAACATGCATGCAATGTTCCCCTCTGCATGCAATAACTGTATATGCGTCATACAAAAAAAATATTTTACAAAGCTTTACTTTACTAAATACGTGCATGCAGCACTCAAGATAACTGCCTGTATATCAGTGTTAATTTTTATATGTAGCTAGCATTCCTCGTTCTCAAAAAAAACACCATAACCGGCGATATCAAATCGATTAAATAGTGCATGTATATTTTTAATGGAAAACTTTCATTTACCAACCGCTATACGCATAGACATAGTCATAGATTCTCTTGCAGTATGAAATCAAAACACGCGTTTTAATATAACATTCGTTGTTATTAAAATCCGCAAAATGTTAATGCATTATATATAGCACACAACTTCACAAGATATGTCTATTAATAAAATAGAGATGTCTTTAAGTTAAAGACAAAACGTTACAAATGTATTTTTTTAAACTCTGAATTGTTTTGATGGCTTTCATAAATGTTATAATTATGTTGGGCTCTCATATTTATCATAAGAAGTCGTTTTCCGCCTGGCAAATCTCTAGCTACGATATTAAAATAGACTTGTTCATGGCCAGAAATTGCGGACATGGAATATGCAGATTGCCGTAGCAAATTTGCATATCTGTTCAAATATTATTCGTTTGCAGAACTAAAAATTATATTGCGCATTCTTAAATTTCGCAAAATTAAGGAAAACCATTGCATCTTTGCAATTTGCCCTGGTTGTTTCTTGTAATTCGTGTCATATTAAAGATCCTGAGTTAATATTTTGCTGGTAAAGGTTTATGTCGGCTCTGCATTTTTATTTTATTTGTACGCTATTACGGTTTTCGTTTTATATGGTATTCAACGTGATAAATGACCAAAACTTTGTTTTGAAAATGCAGGACGAATACTGATAAAACATTTTGAAATACTGTCTCAAAATATTAAGATTAACTTTCTCTGCAACGAGCAATTAAGGCAAATTATAATCGACCACCTAAAGCTGTATTTATAGCGTTTAGTACTGTGCACATTACAGTTTACTATAAGCTCACGAAGCTTTATTTTGACACCATATGCAAATTTAGGCGGAAGTAGAATGTTAATTATGTCCGAATTTTCTGGCCATGATATGTAGCTACTATATAACGACGAAACAATCCATTCGACAATGACATAAGGAGGGCAGCCGTTATTTAAAAAATAAAGGAACAGCGTTAATTTAAACGTATCTTTATCACAAATTGTTTTCGATCGACAACCTTTTCGGGGACAAACCTTAGTCGCATCACTCGCATGGTGTTAAATTACTTTATACCAATGGACACAGCCTGTTTACGGATCGTAAACGAACAGTCCATTCGATACCAATGGTATTGATCGACAAACTTTTCAGAGACCTATCCTAGACACATCTTCCCTAGTTACGAATCGACACAGTTTGTTTACGGATCGTAAACTAACAGTCCATTCGACAAAAATGGTACGGATCGACAAGCTTTTCAGATACCTATCCTAGACACATCTGGCCCAATTTACGAATCGACACAATTCAGTTGTTTACGGATCGTAAACTAACAGTCCATTCGACACAAATGGTACGGATCGACAAACTTTTCAGAGGCCTCTCCTAGACACATATCGCCCTATTTACGAATCGACACAGTCTGTTTACGGATCGTAAACTAACAGTCCATTCGACACAAATGGTACGGAGTGACAAACTTTTCAGAGCCCTATCCTGGACACATCTAGATCTTCCCTATATTTACGAATCGACACAGTCTGTTTACGGATCGTAAACTAACAGTCCATTCGACACAAATGGTACGGATTGACAAACTTTTCAGAGCCCTATCCTAGACACATCTAGATCTTCCCTATATATATTTACGAATCGACACAGTCTGTTTACGGATCGTAAACTAACAGTCCATTCGACACAAATGGTACGGATCGACAACCTTTACAGAGGCCTATCCTAGACACATCTTCCCTATTTACGAATCGACAAAGTCTGTTTACGGATCGTAGACAAGCCGTCCATTCGATACCAATGGTACGGATCGTCGATCGACAACCTTTTCAGAGGCCTATCCCAGACACATCTGGCCCAATTTACGAATCGACACAGTCTGTTTACGGATCGTAAACGAACAGTCCATTCGACACCAATGGTACGGATCGACAATCGCTTCATCGCTTTATCCTATAGACACAACTTGCCCTATTTACAAAATTAATGGACACAGTCTGTTTGGTGATACAGCTGCTTACGCCTTAGACACATGCTAGTTTCCATGTCTCATGTTCCAGTCGACAAAATGCGTTTACGAATCGACATAGTCTATTTACGGATCACAAACTAAGAGTCTATTCGATACCAATAGTACGAATGGTTGCTTACTTCTAACGAATAGATCGAAATGAACGAACGATCGAACGACCCGTATGCTTGCAACAGTATTGGACAACCATCAAGTTAATTGGTCAAGCAAATAAAATTTTAAGTTATCATGCCACTGTCCGGAATCCTATATAATTTATTCTATGTTTGTTTTTGTTTAAGTCATAAACATATTGCGTAATAGAACATGACGTAAGTGTCATATGATCATCTCCCACTTGTTGATGTTCTTGTTTTCAACGCCACTTCTTGTAAAGGCAAAAGATGTTATAATAAATGTTTAGGATATCAATCCCATGCACTTATAGTCATGAGTTCATGACTAATATGCTAATAGTTTTTCTAAAGATTATTCGCCAACTTTCGCTATCTTTAAAATCCGGAACGGGGAACCAATAACGGGGAAACGGGAACGGGAGACTCAGGAATCTAAAAAATCCGGACTACATGCAATCTCGGGAAATTTTAAAGCCCGTAACGAAAATCTTCGGAATCTTTTATCTATAACAGAATTGTATATTGTATTTAATCAATATCATAATTGTCTATTGCATTTAAAAATTCCTTTTAATATATATTACTAATTTACTTTAAAATCTCGAATTGTAACTGAGCTTAATAACTGATGTACATGCATTGTATATTTTTTACCTAAAAAGGGTAATAAAGATTATTATTACCTAGTAACCAAGGTTATTATCGTAGGAACCGAGCGCGGACTGGGCTTAATGGCAGCGAAGGGCCTAAGAGGGGCTCATAACTCTGGATCGACTGAAGAAAAGGAGCGGATATAGCGAAGAACGCGACCACGCAAGGAACCATTAGCGTAGTTAACGCCAGCATGAAAAGCACGGTGCAGCCTTCCTCAAACGCAAAGCACGGTTAGGTTACCTCGACTGAACAGTCGGTTCTGCAGTGTGATAAAGCTAAGTGCAGACTTCGGGTGGCCAGGTCCGGACTAAGCATGCTCACGTGATGCGGACCTAAATCCAAGTAACTGATAGTGTCAGGGTCGCGGCCACGTCTGTACCTAACCATCCACACGGGTAAGTATAGTGACGTTCGAGATTAATTAAACAAGCAAGAACTAAGCAACGATAACCCTTGTGATAACCCTTCTTTATTTTATAAGAATGCTTTTGATGAGGTAAATCATAATCTCGTGGAATCCGTATTTGGCTACATCACATACCCCGCTTATTGAGTAAAAACTCAAGCAACTTTAGAATATCAATTATCGCATCCAATTTCAACGCTCCTTTAATTTATGTTGCAGGGTAGTGGTGTTTTGTCCATTATTGTTCAATCTTTGTTTCATTAGTTAAATTTCAACACTTTCGTTGAACACATAAAGTCAGACAAATATCGTCAAATCGGTTTTTCGTATAAACTTTTAAGCCCAGTTGATTGGTTCTAATTCGCAGGGGACGCCGCCGTAATTACAACTCAAGAGGCTGAAAATCAACACCTCCTAAACCGTTTCGCAAATTGGTGTCAATGGTCTGACATGATTGTCCGGCCATATTTGGCATAGAAAATCCTCACTAAATCTGTCCAATATCTACCGTTAGTTAATATCTACCTATAAGTTAATTATCAATAACAGTCTTATACCAACTATTGAACTCGTAAAATCTTTTTGCTATTTAGAGAGATACCTCGACTTCGAAATGTCTAATAGTGAACATAAATTGGAACTCATCTCTACTCTAACAAATAATTACAGAAAGTAACTATCCATGAGATTTGCAAATTGCCAGGGACAATTTGCGTTTAAGAATACTGGCTCAACTACAAAAGAAAGTGTCACATAAGGGATCAACTGGCAGCCGAAAGCTCGTCATTAATAAATATAATCGACCAGAGAACGTCTCAATTTTTATTACTTCACATATGTATTCAATTAAATATTAAAACATATATTTGATTGTTGCATGGTTACCAACCACAGTTTTAATATAAATAGTTGGTAGCAGTTTCCTGTTTATGAATATGACATGGTGTCTAATGTAATGTGCATGTGAGCATGTCCGTTTCAGAAGGGTAAGGTTGGCAGGATGAAAAATAATGTACCAGTTTATTGTATAATTGACTTTGACTCTTTAAGCTTTCAGATGTATTTGCTCCACTCTGTCGGTAAACCTGAATGAGCTATCGTTGCAATGATTGCATTGCTTGCAATTCTCCTTTGATATTACCAACATACGATTCTTTTTGGGTATCGTTTCTTAAAGTTGAGATTCGCATGCCTCCTGTCTCGTGTAATATCAAGCATAATATTAATACAGACAGGGTCAATACAAGGTCATCACTTAGGCGTCTTTATATACTCCTGTATACGCAGGAAAGTTGAAATCGTTATGAATTTTACTCAGTATATGTAATTCTCTGATGGCAAGTACAAGTTCATGCAGTTCAAGTGAGACATATTTTTAGTTAATGTTGACACTAGAGGAGCATATTTTTAGTTAATGCAGACACAATGGAAGGGAGCAACTGATCTATTATCTGGATGCAACCTTATTGTTGGATTCTGGCAGTCATTATCAATCAGCATGATCTACCGACTGATTGATTAGTCAGCTTGCTGTGTATAATCACATCCCCAACCATGCTGCAGACATCCGAACAAAAAACGTGATTTTTTTTAAGATTTTTCGTATAAGCTAGTGCGACTGCATGTCATTGACAGGTTATATAGCTAATACTTTTTAGCAAGTCATATTTGTAAGAAACTTTAAATCAGGGAGCTTGTACTGGATTATATCAGTGGAGTACATACTGGAACGCAAATGATTACGTACGCGAATGAGCTTTCTCAAATACCGCTTGAAAGATTGTTATACACATGCTAACGATAGCGTTCATTTGCACGCAGCTGTATCGAAACCGAACTTTTAACATGCAGCAATTGTGCGTTATATATATCCTGACCAGTGATTTTATTTTTATAAAGCTGGGATATTAATATTTAGCTTTCTGGCTATAAAAGTTCTTCCATGTCATATACATAATTAAAGAAATTACCCAAATATCGTGTTTCAAAAATTCTCCGTGGAAAACTACATTCTTCTACCGTTGGAAATTGAATAAATAGGTGTTGTAAGTGACCCAGACACTTTATTTTCAAAACGCGAGACCAAATATTTTCAACGTTACGGCTTTCCGCGATGCCTGTTTTTAACTTAAAAAGGAAAAACTGTTTGTATTACTATAGAAGACCTGAAGACGTAGCTGAAATAATCTTTAAATGAGCTTCGGAAATATTGAAACGATGTTGATATATTCTCTTGCATAGGATCAATTTATTTTTGGTTTATATGGAAGTTGAGCGTAGAAATGAGGGTCGAAAAACATCATGGTGCCGATCGTGGTTATTTCTGGCCATCACTAACCACAGGATCTTTATTTCCTTTGCCGGACATCTGAAACATGACGGGAAAGTTTAGAGCAATATCAGGCACACAGGAAGATGACTAACCAATTAAAGTGAGTCCATGCTGATTGTGCTGACTAGCTACTTCCGATGATGACACATGCATGCCCTTGAAATAATTCGTGTTTTCATTTGATAATGGATCATGCAGCTGTCATTCGTAGCTCCCTTAGTCGCGACAAACAAACATGGAACAAAAGCTGAAGGTCCAAAAAAGAAAGGTGAATTTGATCATTAACACACTATAATTCATGTTGAACTGCAAAATTTGTATATTCTACAGTAGTGCTTTACATCCTGCAAAAAAAGTTCTATTATAAATATGAGTTTGGCGCATGTAGCTATATATATTATACTAACAACATGGTGCCGAGGATAGTTATTTCTGGCCATCATTAACCACGGGATCTTTTTATCCATTGCCGGACGTCTGAAACATGGCGGGAAAGTTTAGAGCAATATCAGACACACAGGAAGATGACTAACCAATTAAAGTGAGTTCTTGCTAATTTTGCTGAAAATCTGGTGACAACATGCAGTACTTTATTGTAGACATCCTGTAATTACAAAACAATTGAAAACAATTGTGCAAATGTCTCGTTTAGCCTTAATCATTTGAATTCTTCCTTGGTTTTTATAGCCTTATATTCTTTCTTGTGCTTTTCCGCCCGGTTTTAATTTTAAAATGCACACAAGAAGTTATCTCCCTACCGTGCTCATTCAGACGTCCGGCCATCGATAATGAGATCTAATTACTTAGAACTTAGTACGATCCACATTCTAGTCTGCAAGTCCTCCGAATTTTGGATTGCTATAAAGTGTCTGAAAAAAGTTTTGCTACGAAAGCTGAAGAAATGGATAAGGCAGCAATTTATTTTGTTTTTACTTTGTTGGTGATCTTCGAGTTGTATTCTGTCGTTTGTTCCGAGGTTTGGATATAGTTAAATTGAGGACCGTTTATTATGTTAAATAGTATATCGAATTCTACTATTGCATGTATCATTGTGGCTAAGTGTATGAAAAAAATGTAATGTATAAATATCTTAATCTCACCATGTCCTTTTAGACGGATGACGCAAATTTTGAGATGCGTATAAATGAGAGAGGAACTCGTTTTACTGAAAAGATCCAAGTCGGTGAAAACGAGAATACTGTTTTCTTCGACGTTCCAAAGCACAACAACGTTAATCGTTCTGAAGTGTTGAACGATTTCAATCTGGTAAACAGTATAAATATGTATATTGACGTTGGATGAACTTTTCTTTGTTAGAAAAACTCCATGCCTGTAGTTATTTAGCTAATACCAACATAATAGATTTTTTTCCTATTACAGGGCTTAACAATTACCCGCGTACCAGATGTGGGCATATGTCACATTAAACCATTGGAAAAAGGTTTGTCAAATCCTGGAAAATTGAAAGATGACATGAATTATGTGAGTTTCAAAATTAATATACTTGTTTCCTAGATTTCATTGTTAATATACTCAAATTCAAAGTCAGTACTCGTGCTTTCGTTAAAAAGATTTTTATCGGGTACAACAGCGTGTAACTATAAACCATGAAATGTTCAGAATTAGCATGATTCAGAGATAATTGATCCCAAAGTGTGCGTAAAGGCGATTGCAAAGAATTTCATGTTTGGGATTGGCAATGCAATAAATTCATCGAATTCCGAATTCCCTGTGGGAAATTGACGCGGTTACGTAATTCGAAGTGGCAGATCGAGTTTCCTCTGGAAAACACGTGTAATTAAATGTGAACACGTAAACGTTTCCCGTTCACTTTGTTTTATATGTATTTGTATGAATTATCGGGTAAAAATTTACAGTACATATACTTCTACGAATTATCCTCCTCTTAATTTGCAAGCAACTTCTCAGTTTTTATACAAGCATTTTTTCAATAAGATCTTTTTTCCTGGTTATAGATAAAGAAAATGAATGGTTGGGGGGAAAGAAACTCAAGTGTTTTAGTGAGTTCCACTGAATGGACTATTGATAAACAACTGGTGAAGAAATACTTAAATCCTACGGTGGCTACGTTTTGCGGTGATTTGCCAGTTTACAGTTTGAAAGAAATCACCAAAGATGGAAATGGTATGGAATAACTATCATCACCTACATACGGAAATGACATTCCGAGATTTAATAACACATCCTCGCATAAAAATGAATTATAATGTGCTTTACAAATATTAAAAGTTAAAATATATATATTTGAATATCTAACTATTTTACAAGATGGCTCAAAATTTATATTACAATAAAAAAATTACGTGTTTAATTAATGTGCTAATCATGCTAGGAAACAATCAGTTTTTATACCTATCCATTCTACATTAAAGGAAGAAAATTGTTCAATGTTCCTCAGTAATAAGTTATATCGATGTTCGTTTAATATCGTCGCGATAAGCGGCCGCCTGACGCTGATGAATAATATTAATCATGAAAAAATAATAATAAATTATGCGCATGCGCAAAACAGCTATAAACGTCCAACGAACTTGATACAATTTGATCTAAATTTGATGTCCATGATAGAACATGCAAGACTTTGTGAAAATGAACACCCAGCGGAATTAGTGCCCTCTACTAATAGCGTTTCGCGATGACGGGAAAATCTTTCTACCAAAATAAAATAGCCTACTGTTCCCTACTCTTTTTCAGCAAGAGCTAATAGTTGGCTACATCGAACACCGCGGAAAAATGTCTGATAAAATATAAGTTAAGAAAAGGCAAAAATATACAAGACGGCCAGACAGAACATAAATTAAAAGCCTTCTAGCATTTAGAGTATCGAATGAACAGGAATTCACGGTAAATTTTCCTTTTTTTACGGGATGGCTTAATTAGAGTATTTTTCGAAAACAAAAGTTTAAACCTAAAAGTTAAGAAAACCCGCAAAAAGTTAAGCTTTCTAATCTATTTAAATTGTAAAATACATCTTAATTTTCAATCATTGAGAACACGCAAACGTCTCGTATCTGGCGACATATTTTTTTTTAATAAAACGTGTCTCAATTAAAAGTTCGGAAACTGTCATTGCTTATTTGATAAACAAAATGTTTGAGACGAAAAATTTGTTAACAGTCACCTTTTACAGGTGTTTTTCTAGGATGCCACTTCTAGGACTCTCTGGACGTTTTTTTCTCTTAGTTTCTGTAATGCAGTGTTTATTTATGTCCTCGAAATATGGATTTGAAGACAGGAGTGAAATCACTCCATTTTACCGCTATTTTTGGCCTTCGGAAACGCTCGGAACCGCTTTTTAATTCTTTACAGGTAGAGTTGTCGCGTGCGCAGACGTTTTTCCGCGGTGTTGCTACATCTAGATGGACGACGCAAAGTGTGATGCATTCTCATTTTAACGTTTTAGATCAAAGTCAAAGAAAGCGTACAGCATCCGAATTTCAGTTTTGCCCGGAGGTAATGAAGCAAAAGAACAAACCACGGCCATGTAATCCTGACAAATGGATACTGAATTGCAAGTTCGTAATATCAGGAACATGCGTCTGGTGGGCAAAATGTGCTTTCCCAATCGTAAATGTCAACTTCAACTTGAAAAATTGCAACTTTAATCACAACTGGAGTTCCGTTATGTGTTGTGTTCCTCTCTGTCCACCAACCAAGTGATGCTACATGCAAGGACTGATGAACGATGACGAGTATTAACTAAGTGCATATTTAGCGATATATATCTACACAATGAATAGACATTACATGTAAGGGATTGACTACTAATCATAGCCATAGTTATTTCATGGCTTAGATTTACGCAAAACGGGGAATAAAAATTTAAATAAAAGCATTATTAATTATAATAACTTGTAGGTACACCACGTAAGTATTAAATACTGCAAAGCTTTCGGTCCGTTAACCCGGACCTTCATCAGTGCAATTGTATTTTATTTTGTTTTTTATTGTATTGCACTGATGAAGGTCCGGGTTAACGGACCGAAAGCTTTGCAGTATTTAATACTTACGTGGTGTACCTACAAGTTATTATAATTACTAAAGTCGCCATGCAATCATACAAGAAAATTAAAAGCATTATTGTTTTCTTTAAGAATAAGACTAACAGTGAACAGACACCGGCATGCGTAATATCTGGGATAATCCTGGAAACAGCTAACAACACTGTGAAAGGCATGCACCGGGCTGCAAGACTGGTCTGCATTTCGGCTGAACGGATGTTCTCCATTGTCCGGTTTATTTCTAGCGTAGGGCCTCCTTTAAAATTCCTGCTTTGCTCACTACGCTCGACTTCAGAATTTGTAGCGATTTAGTATTTAGTATCGAAAAACGATTTAGTATTCTTATTCGTACCTGCCCTATAGGCCTTGATAGATTGTGGTCGGCAACTATTGCAATGTACAATTTTTTGTAGAATGTTGAGCAACTTTTTGCATTTTGATGAACCTTTAGCCTTTAACGCTTAAATAAAGCATCTCTTTAAATTTACTATAACAATCTTACTATCAAGGACTACTGGCAGTATAGCTACATGATCAACTGGCTGGACAGACTTGCAGGGATGCAACACATAACTGATCACCATTTCTGAGATATTTGACTTGCAAAGCACAATTTTCATAACAAACGGCTCTGTCGGATGAGAAAATCTTGCAATCTAATATCAAATCATTGGGATTACATCTTGCGGTTAAAGCTTTCATTGGCAACGCCTCTGGACAAAAATGATACGAGCGGTCTGTGTAACGTTTTGTTCTACTGCCAGTTCTACCTACAATGTCAAAAAGGAAACGTAATGAGAAAGTGTATAGTATGCAGGTAAATGTGCACAGTAGTGAACAACAAGCGATTTCATAAACAATGCTTGCGCGTACCTCTGGAAGCTATCTACAATATGTAAACAATATTTTCACCACTCCGTCCTCTAACCCGATATAAATTTCTTCAAATATCCACTGTATTTTTTGATCGAATGGTTTAAACAATTATGAAGATCTTTACAGCAAAAAGTCTTAATACAGTGAACGTAGATGAAGGGCAAAATCTTCCTCGATCATTTACACAATCAATTTTGTTCTGTCTACGTGAGAGATACAGATTTCAGTAAGATTTCATATAAGTATTTCCTAGTTCTTTTCATACCATTTTCATCTTTTGTAATTTCTTGCATGCTGTAAACAGGCAGTCTTCCGCAAAATTTAACCACTTGTGACTTGTGGTTTCAAATCCTTCGTCTAGCTCCAATCGTTCATCAATGGTCCATTCAGATGAACTCATGCCAAACAAACCAGATTTTTCATCCGTCGAGTCACTGAATATTTTTAATGCAGCTATTAATAGTACAAGTGATGTTTAAACATTTTGCCAAATTTTGGATGAACTACCTGGCGAGTATGTACTGGCGAGTATGTACTATTGTACCTTATGAATTCTTCAAATTGAAAACAATTGTAATGAGCCGAGTTTACTTCACACACAACGTGGTTTAGATCCAACTCTCTCATTAAATATTTTACTTTTGTTGATATACTCTCGTTCTATATAGGGCCTGTACGCTTCCTTTAATTATCCAGAGTACTATATTATTATTATCAACTGCTGATCAATGGTCCGCTCAGTGGTGCATCCGCAGCAACTTACTTCTCCTTTTTCCATTAGTGTTAGCCTACACCCACAGTTAACTCATTATCTGATATCCGACCGTTACACACGTTTAGTTAAAAGCCCCGCTATATATATGCGGTCGGTTGATTTTGTAAACCTTCGTAGGCTACGATTTTGGCATTAATTGCGCTCCTATTTGTTCTATTATTACCTCTTTTTTAGTCACAATTATATTAGGTGTGGGTCTTTTTAAAAAACGACAGTTTTGACTTCGGAAACCGATCTTACGGTTGCGAGTAGATTTGTGTGGATTTTCGTTGTGGGGTTGGGTTACGTTCGAGGTTGGGGTTAGGGCTCTCCTTATACGGTCCGGGTTAGGGTTTCGTTTGAAAAGTGGGTTATGTTGTTTGTTTCCACGTTGTGGGAGGCGCGAGACGGCGGAGGCGGGAGTATTGGTAAGGATAGGGGGAGAGTAGGATGATTCTGGGGAATAATGAGTGGTAATGGTAGATTGTTTGAATTGTGGCAAATTGCTGCCGGTTTAATGACATAGCTTAGACAGAGAGTAAACAATAGATACAGAGCTGGAACTAGGTGGCGAATAGCATTAAATATGTTGATATTCAGTAGGGTGTAAAGTAGGGAAGAAGGCTAATATTCATAATACATTAATGTTAGCAGACCACTAAAAATAGGTCTCAAACGGAATAAAGCTTTAACGGAAACATACAAGTATTTTAATTTCTCAATTTTTGTTATACAAAGTGTAAAATTAAGGTGGTGGTAAAAACTGAGGGACATGTCGCAGCTCTCGGAAGCTTTCGTCCAATTGGATAATGTTTTTCTATGCTTTCTAAAGAACGAAGCTTTGCTATTGGTTGAAACAGAAATGTATTATAAAGTTCAGCCAATGAAAATCATGCTTGCGAGGAGCTGCGACTCCAAAAAACTGAATCGTTATTGTCATTTATTCTTTCACCCGCCAGCATTCAGTGGCGGATTCAGGGTTAGGAAGAATAAATTACTATAGCTAAAAATCGTAATCGCATTGGTAGATTTTTATTTAAAAATATTCTTTAGAAATTCATGACCAATGGCGTTCTAATGAAAGTATTTTGAATTTAAAATTATAAGTAATTTGCTCTGCCTAACCTACGAGCCGCTACTGCCCGGCAGCTATATAGGCTTTGACGGGTTTTGCTCGACAACTTTTGAGTAAATTTTGTAGTTTTGAGCAACTTTTTTTTACTTTGACGAACTTGAAGCTTTTAAAGATTGAAGCCACTTTCAACGTTTATAAATTTTTAAACACAACTGATCTATATATCAAAGCCTACGGGCAGTATACACGATCAACTGGTTGGACAGGAAGGACTGCAACACACAAGTGATGAAAATCTGCTAGAAAAACGGCAGTTTCTAATATTTCTGTTGAGACGTTTGACTGGCAAAGCACAATTTTCATAACAGTCGGCTCTTGTGGATGGTTTAAATTTGCAATTGAGTATCCAGTTGTCGGGGTTACATTTGGAAGACATCTTCGCCCCTGGACAAAGTTTAAACTGGGGTGAGCGTTTTCTTCTACTGCCAGTTCTATCTACAATGTCAAAAAACGGAGACGTGATCTGATTAGAAAGCCTGTAGTATGGAGGTGAATGTGCGAAGTATTAAATGAATGTAAAAGTTGCCATTTTTGAGTGGTTGTGTGCAGTATTGTATGTTAATGTCTGCAGTTATGAATTTGAATATGTGCAGTACATACCACTTAATAACCAAATTTGAGGTCATAATTAATGAATGTTAACGGTGTGTAGTATATATAATGTGATTTTGCAGTATTGAATGTGAATGTAAAGTGCAGTGTGTGCAGTATTGAATGCGAGTGTTGCAGTAATGAACATGTGAGTATTGAATGTGAATGTGTACATTTTGGGTCCAAAATACTCAAAGCTACTTACACATACCAAACGATTTCATAAATAATGCTTCCGCGTCACCTATAATAAAGTGTAAACAATACATTTTCACCACTCTTTCCTCTAACCGGACGGATAAGTTTCATCAAATATCCACTGTGTTTATGAGACTCATTAAAGCAAAGATGAAAAGTCTTAAGTATTTTCTAGTTATCTCCGTACCATTTTCATCTTTGGTAATTTCTTTCATACTGTAAACAGGCATTGTGCCGCAAAATTTAACCACTTGTGGTTTCAAATATTTTGTCTCCAATCGTTTATCAATGGTCCATTCAGATGCACTAGGACCCAACAAACCAGATTTTCCATCCAACGAGGCATTCAATTTTTTTAACTATATGAAGAAAAAATCGAATCCAGATTCGACTAACAGGTGTATGCGATAATTGAGGGAAGAGGTGCGTACTCGTGTAATCGTTGCACACGATTAATGTATTTTTTTGCTTGCGATAGCATTTTCAAAAAAAACTTGTAAAAAATCATAGAACTAACTATATGAATTGCGTAAAGGATTATATCCTATTACTACGTTAATCGCTGATTTACGCAACCGTCCGGAAGTGAACACCGCACTCGAAAACATAATACAGCGTCTTTTAAAATTCCTTATGTCCCGGCATTCTGGAGAGACGGACAGACGAATGTTTCATCCAAATCGAAATTTTGTTTCAATCGTACCAATACAAAAAATAATAATATTTAGAAAAGCAGAGGAATTTATACTTTGAATTTAAATCTTGGATTGGACGGACTGCAAACTAGAGTCGATAAAATAAATATTATTATTACTTGTTTAAAAGAATTCAGAGCCTCTGATTGGCTAATACCCATGTGTGAAATCGTCATGTCAAACGTGTGACGTCATAACATATAATACGACTTTTTGACGTGTAATAAATAGCCTTGGCTGAGGTTGATAATGACAAACTAGGGCTTGACAATTCTTCATATCATGTGAAAACCGAATTCAATAATTGTGAAATATTCTTGTAATTTTGTATGGTGATATCACAATATAGGTAAATTAGCTGGTAATCTACACCACGTAAGTATTTAATACTGCAAAGCTTTCGGTTTGTTAACCCGGGCCTTCATCAGTGAAATTGATTGCATTTGATTGAATCACATTGAGTCATTGATTACAGCAATACTAATATTTAGGGAAAAAACTTTGACATAGGCATCCATGTTGAATTTAAGTGTTGGTTTGAGTCGGAATTGAGTAAATTTTAGAGTGGATTGAATAAATATTTTATTTGAGTTTGATCTAATCGGATTACTTTGATTCGCATTGTAACTGGATTCCAATTGCAAATATAATCAAACGGTCGATATAATTAAAGAGCTCAATCTGAATTCACCACCTTTGTGAAATATTACATGCATGTAAAATTTAGTTAACTCACAAAATCCATATAAGCTTTCAATTTTTCAGGATTTGGCAAGCTTTTCTCCAATGGTTTGACGTGGCATATACCCAAGTCAAGTACACGGGTAATTGTTAAGCCCTGTAATGCAGATAATATACATTGAAGATGTAAGATCGTAAAAAATGCTAACGCTCTTTTCAATTCAGTCGTTCAAAAAAAGTTTATTTCCACAAAATTAATTACCAGATTGAAGTCGTTCAGAACTTCATTGTACTTTGGGACCATAAATGAAGCAGTATTCGTTTCTACTCTGATCTTTTCATTAAAATAATGACTTCCTCCTTCATCAGTCTAGAAATACAAGATTGGCGATTAAATTAAATTTTCATTTTCAATAATGCGATAGTAAAAATATAAAATATTTCACATCTGGAATAGTACACAATATAAGTATTCTCAAACCTTAACTTAAGAATTGCCATCAGACAAAAAACAAAGATTATTGTTGGTTTATTCATTGTTGCTTTTCCAACAAAACCTTTTTATGACACTTTATGGGTATTCAAATACTCTGAAGACATGTACAGCTAGTGGCAAGAATATGAAGACTAAAACTCGTCTCAACCTGTATTTATAGCAGCGCTTTTTCAGCATGTCCTCTTTGTTTAGTGCCGGACGTCTGCGAGAATCCCCCATGCTTCAGACGACCGGAAGATGAAGTTTGATATCGCACGCACCAAGCTGACTATGTAATCGAATTAGGTTGGACAACGCTGATCGTGCTGACCCGCAACTACTTCAGAAGAGATCACATGATTCACCGAACTGTCGATGTTAACATGGATGTCTAATGTAATGTGCCTGTGAGCATGTCCGTTTCAGAAGGGTAATGTTGGCAGGATGAAGAATAATACGCCAGTTTATTCATGGTTGATCTTTGACTCTTTATGCTTCCAGATGTATTTGCTCAAGTCTGTCGTTTAACCTGAATGAGCTATCGTTGCAATGATTATATCTTGTTTGGAATTGTATCTCGGTATAATCCAATATAGAATTCTTTTTGGGTATCCTTTCTAATGCTGAAATCCTCATGTCTCATGCCTCGCGTAATATCCAGTAAATACAAGGTCTTCATTGCAATTTATCCACTTATTGTCGGACGATGCTGGCAGTCATTATCAATCACCATGATCTACCGACTGATTAATTGATTTGTCAGCTTGCAGTGTATGATTACATTCGGTCATTTCCAACCATGATTCAGACATCCAAACAAAAAAACGGTATTTTTTTAAAGATTTTTCGTATAAGCTATAGTGCGACTGCATGTCATTGGCAGGTTATATACTTTTCTAACAAGTCATCTTTGAAAGAAACTTTAAATCAGGGAACTTAATTCAGTTAATTGTACAGGATTATATCAGTGGGGACCTGTGGGCTGCATACTGAAACGCAAATAATTACGCGAATGAGCTTTCTTAAATACCGCTTGAAAGATTGTTATACACATGCTAACAATAGGCAATAGCGTTCATTTGCATGCAGGATGTATGGAAACCGAACTTTTAGCATGCAGCAATTGTGCGTTGTACATCCTGACTAGTGATTATATTTTTATACAGCCGGAAAAATTAATATTTAGCTTTCTGCCTATAATAGTTCTTCCATGTCATATATAATTGAATAAATTTCCCAAATATCGTGTTTCAAAAATTCTCTCTGGAGATTAACCACATTCTTCCAGCGTTGGAAATTCTAAAGTTCAGTTCAGGTAAGAAATACTTCTTAGTTAATGCTGACACTAGGGGAGCTATGGAAGGGAGCGACTGTTCAGTCTGTTCTATTATCTGGATGCAACGTTATTGTCGGATGCTGGCAGTCGTCATCAAACAGCATAATCTAACTGATTGATTTGTCAGCTTGTTGTTGTGTATAATCACATTCCCAGCCATGCCTCAGACATCCGAACAAAAAGCGTGATTTTTTTAAGGATTTTCGTGTAAGCTAGTGCTATTGTATGTTATTGACAGGTTGCATTACTTGTATATGCTTTTCTAGCAAGCCATCTTTGTGAGAAACTTTAAATCAGGAACTTGTACTGGATTATATCAGTGGAGTACATACTGAAACGTATGCGAATGAGCTTTCTCAAATACCGCTTGAAAGATTGTTATACACATGCTAACAATAGGCAATAGCGTTCTTTTGCATGTAGGATGTATCGAAACCGAACTTTTAACATGCAGCAATTGTGCGTTATATAAGTAAAGTAAAAAGCAAATTCCGAACAAACAAGACATCTTGAGAATCAAAATATAATTCAAACAAGACACAGATTGAAACTGCAAATTTTCGACTTTAATACAAAGTCATCTTCAGACAGAATGAAATACAATACTTTACAACGCATATATATACAACACAGAGAGAGAGAGAGAGCGCACGTATACGTGTCAATCCAGCATGTGGGCGGAAGGCTGGTAAACCAAGCAGAGCGAAACATGATAAGGTTGTGAATAAAACTAAACATGTATGCTATATATTTACAACAATATGTTAGATAGATTAATTTAAGGAAAGAATATCCTGCATGACTAGTGGTTGTATTTTTATATAGCTGGAAAATTAATATTTAGTTTCCTGGCTATAAAAGTTCTTCCATGTCATATATATAATTAAACAAATGACCCAAATATCGTGTTTCAAAAATTCTCTGTGGAAAACCTAATTCTTCCAGCGTTGGAAATTGAATGAATAGTATTGTAAATGACAAAGACACGTTTTCAAAACGCGAGATCGAATATTTTCAAAGTTAAGGCACTCCGACGCCTGTTTTTAACTTAAGAAAAGAAAAACTGTTTTTATTACTATAAAAGACGTAATAGCTTCCGAAATATTGAAAGTTGATACATTCTCTTGCATAAGATCAATTTATTTTTGGTTTATATAGAAGTTGAGCGTAGAAATGAGGGTCGAAAAAACAACATGATGCCGATGGTGGTTATTTCTGGCCATCACTAACCACGGGATCTTTTTATCCTTCGCCGGACGTCTGAAACATGGAGGGAAAGTTTAGAGCAATATCAGGCACACAGGATGATGACTAACCAATTAAAGTGAGTCCATGCTGATTTTGCTGACATGCAGCTACTTCCGATAATAACACATGCACTTGAGATAATTCGTGTTTTATTTCAAAATGGATCATGCAGCTGTTATTCGTAGCTCTCCTAGTTGCGACAAGCAAACATCGAACAAAAGCTGCAGGTTTGTGCTATTTACTGCCTTTACTGCTGTAAAACTCCCTTCGCTGCTTCAACTTGTGTAAATGTAAAGAAACTCGTGTTAAAATTGTAAAAATAAGTTAACATAATATCAGTATCTAAACATGATTTTTCAATAATTATGTTATCGGTGTTGCCCGATCGGATGGTTAAATTTTTAATCGCGTACAACAGCGGGTAACTATAAACCATGTAATATTCAGAATTAGCATGAATCAGTGATAATTGATCCCCAGGGGTGCGTAAGACGATTGGAAAGAATTTCATGTTTGGGATTGGCAATGCAATAAATTCAGTGAATTCAATTCCCTGTGGGTGAAGTAATTCGAAGTCGCAGAGTTTCATTTGGAAAATATGTGCATGCAAATATGAACACGTAAACGTCCACCGTTCATTTTGTCAGTTGGAAATATCGGGTAAAAATGTTAGCACATGCATACTCCTGCGAAATAGCCTCCCCTTAATTTTTAGGTAACCTCTCAATTTTTATACAACCATTTATTCAATAGGATCCTTTTTTCTCGTTATAAGTAAAGAATATGAATGGTTGGGAGGAAAAAAACTCAAGCATTTTAGTGAGTTCCACTGAATGGACTATTGATAAACAACATAGGCCTGATAGCAAACTAGCAAAGGCACTTTGGCACCCCTGACTATTTTATAGGTCTGGGAGGGGAGGGGAGGAGGGTATCACACCATATTGTAGTACCCATATATTGCTACTCTTAACACCGCCGGAAATTATGGAATTTGTTCACCAGACAACGGAGAAAAGAACGCTAAATCAATGGGATACCTATTGGTCCGTTAAAACACATTGAAAAAGACAACTGATTTATGCTTATTAACCATAATGGCAAGGAATTATGTCAAGGGCGTAATTTTCGTACCCGCGAATTGGGATTTTTTTGAACATTTTTTTTTAAACGGAATCTTTTATCTATATCACAATTGAATATTGTCTTTAATCAATATCATAATTGTCTATTTTATTCAAAAATTCCTCTTAATATAGTTTACTTTAAAATCTCGAATTGTAACTAACTTATGTAAACCCATTGTATATTTTTAACCTAAAATTGGTGATAAAGATTACTGTTCAAATGGCGGATATAGCGAGGAATGAGCACGTAAGGAAGCCATTATCGTAGTTAACGCCAGCAAGAGAAGTAGTCTGCGAGTTGGAAAAAAATTTCGGATCACGGTTCACCCCCCTTTAAACGCAAAGCACGGTTAGGTTACCTCCATTTGTTCAGTGTGATAAAGTGCAGATTTCGGGTGGCCTGGTTGTGATAACCTTAATTCTTGACCATATAAGAATGCATGCTTTTGCTGAAGTTGATCATAATCTCGTTGAATCCGTACTTGGCAATTATCACATACCCCGCTCATTTCAAAACACTGAGTAAAAGCTAAAACAACTTTAGAATATCAATTATCGCATCAAATTTCAACACCCCTTTAATTTTTGTTGGTGGTGGTGTTTTGCAAAGAGATTTCTTTTGTTCTTTATTATTCAACCTTTGTTTCATTAGTTTCAATACCTTCGTTCAACACATAAAGTCAGACAAATATCGTCAATTCGGTTTTTCGTATAAACTTTTAAGTCCAGTTCATTGGTTCCAATTCGCAGACGACGCCGCCGTAAATACAACTCAAGAGGCTGAAAATCAACACCTCCTAAACCGTTTCGCAATTTGTTGTCAATGGTCTGACATGATTGTCCGGCCAAATTTGGCATAGAAAGACCTCACTAAATCTGTCCGATATGGCGATATCTACCAAAGTTAATTATCAATAACAGTCTTACACCAACTATATTGAACTCGGAAAATCTTTTTGCTATTTAGAGAGATATACTTCAACTTCAAAATGTCTAATAGTGAACATAAATTGGAACTCATCTCTATTCTAACAAATCTAATGTAGGATATTGAGTCGACAGTGGAAACTTAACGGCTGCACTTTCAGAAAAGACCCAAATTATTACAGAAAAGTAAATATCCATGAGTTATGCAAATTGGCCAGGGACAAATTGCGTTTAAGAATACTGGCTCAACTAGGAAAGATAGTGTCGCATAAGGGATCAACTGGCAGCCGAAAGCTCGTCATTAATAAATATAATCGACCAGAGAACGTCTCAATTTTTATTATTATTCACATATGTATTCAATTAATTATTAAAACATATATTTAACTATATGGAATGGTGACCAACCACAGTTTGAATAGATATAGTTGGTAGCAGTTTCCTGTTTATGAACTGTCGATGTTAACATGGTTGTCTAATGTAATGTGCCTGTGAACATGTCCGCTTCAGAAGGGTAATGTTGGCAGGATGAAGAATAATACGCCAGTTTATTGTATAATTGACCTTTGACTCTTTAAGCTTTCAGATGTAATTGCTCAACTCTGTCGCTTAACATGAATGAGCTATCGTTGCAATGCATACATGATTATATCTTGTTTGTGATTCTCCTTTGGTATGACCAACATACTATTCTTTTTGGGTGTCGTTTCTAACGTTGAGATCCGCATGCCTCGTGTCTCGTGTAATATCCAGCATTATACGGGGTGATCACTTAAGCGTCTTTTATATACGTACTTCTGTATACGCAGGAAACGTTGAAATGAATGAAATCGTTATGAATTTTACTCAGTATAATAATATGTAATCCTCTGATGGCGAGTACAAGTTCAGTTCAGGTAAGACATACTTCTTAGTTAATGCTGACACTAGGGGAGCTATGGAAGGGAGCAACTGTTCAGTCTGTTCTATTATCTGGATGCAACGTTATTGTCGGCCGGATGCTGGCAGTCGTCATCAAACAGCAAGATCTAACTGATTGATTTGTCAGCTTGTTGTGTATAATAACATTCCCAGCCATGCTTCAGACATCCGAACAAAAAGCGTGATTTTTTTAAGGATTTTCGTATAAGCTCGTGCTATTGTATGTTATTGACAGGTTATATATACTTTTCTAGCAATTAAGTCATCTTTGTGAGGAACTTTAAATCAGGGAACTTGTACTGGATTATATCAGTGGGGTGCATACGGAAACGTAAATGATTACCACGCGAATGAGCTTTCTTAAATACCGCTTGAAAGATTGCTTGATACATGCATGCTAACGATATATAGTGTTCATTTGCATGCAGGATGTATCGAAACCGAACTTTTAACATGCAGCAATTGTGCGTTATACATCCTGACTAGTGACTATATTTTTATATAGCCGGAAAAATTAATATTTAGCTTTCTGGCTATAATAGTTCTTCCATGTCATATATAATTAAATAAATTTCCCAAATCTCGTGTTTCAAAAATTCTCTCTGGAGATTAACCACATTCTTCCAGCGTTGGAAATTGAATGAAAATTGTAAATGGCCCAGACACGTATGTTTTCAAAACGCGATTACAGTTTTTGTTTTTTATATTCAAACTTTTTGCGTTGCTTCGTGTTCTGCGGAATAAAATGCAGCATCGAGTTTTTGTTAGGTTTTGCAAAAAATTTGTTTACTCTACAGTAGTATATTAATTTCTAAGTCAGTGGCGCATGTAGCTATATATACTAAAAAAAATGGTTGTTTTTTTTGGCCATCATTAACCACAGGATTTTTTTATCCATTGCCGGACATCTGAAACATGGCGGGAAAGTCCCCCCACACAGAGACCCAATATCAGGCACACGGGAAGATGACTATAACCAATTAAAGTAAGTCCATGCTGATTGTGCTGACTTGAAGCTATTTCCGATGATAACACATGCATTTGAGAAAATAAATCTTGTTTTTATTTGATAGTACGGAGATTCTAAACATCCATACTATTTATAACTAGCATTCACACCGTATATATGACCATAACAAAGTGATGGATTTTGAAAAAAATTTCCAGTGATAATTCATCCTGCATATAAAGTTACTAATTATTACTTATTACTTATTATAGATACAGCTAGATACAAATGTTATCATCGGAAATACCTGCATGTCAGCACAATCATGATGGTCTAGCTTTGATTCTTTAGTGAATTTATTGTGTCCACAGACACCTTACAGCTCCCTACCGTGCTTCAGATGTCCGGCAATGAATAATGAGATCCTGCTGCGAAGGAATGGGTATTTATACAGGTCAGGCTTGGACCGCGAGGTATAGTCTTCACGTTCTAGTCTGCACGTCCTCCGAATTTTGGATTCCTATAAAGTGTCTGAAAACAGTTTTGTTACAAAAGCGGAAAGAATGAATAAGGCAGCAATTTTTCTGGCTTTCAATTCTCTTTTTGTAATCCTTGAATTGTATTCTGTCGTTTGTTCCGAGGTCTGGGAATACTTAAATTTTGTACTTGATTATTATGTCAAATATAGCATCGAATTCTGCTATTATATCACTGTGGCTAAGTGTATGAAAAAATTATTAAATCTGTTATTTGTTAATCTCACAATGTATTTTTAGACGAATGACGCAAAGTTTGAGATGCCTATAAATGAGAGAGGAACGCGTTTTACTGAGAAGATCAGCGTCAGTGAAAACGAGAATACTGTCTCCTTCGAGGTTCCAAAGCACAACAATGTTAATCGTTCTGAAGTGCTGAACGATTTCAATCTGGTGAACATGCAGTATATATATATAATATATATTATATATATATATATATATATATATATATATATATATATATATAATATATATTTTAAATAAAACTTTTTTTGAATTAACTTTTCTTTGTTAGACAAACTACCTATAATTATTTATCTAATACCAGCGAAATACGTATTTTTCCTGTTACAGGGCTTAACAATTACTCGCGTACCTGATGTGGGGATGTGTCACATTAAACCATTAGAGAAAAGTTTGTCAAACCCTGGAAAAATGAAAGCTGACATGAATTACGTGAGTTTTAATTATACTTGATTCTTAAATTTCATTGTTAATACTTAAATTCAGCGTTACTCGTGCTTTTATTAAAAAAGCTTTTTATCACGTATAACAGGGTCACTCAGGGTGTAACTGTAACCTTTTGAAATAACTCGATGTTCATGATAGCATGAGGCAATGATAATTGACCCAGGAGCCGGGTGCGTAAAAGCGATTGCAAAGAATTTCACGTTTGCATGGGATTGGCTATGCATAAATTCATTGAATTCAATTTCCTGTGGGACTAATCGCGATTACGTAAATGGAATGTCAGGTCTGGACAACATTTGTAAATGGGAATACGTCAACAGTTCCCGTTCATTTAGTTTTACATATTTGCTGAATTTATCGGATAAAAATGTTTAGAACTGTACATACTTCTACCAATGATCCTTCCCTGAATTTTTTAAGCAATCTCAATTTAATCAATACGATCGTTTTTCCTCGTTGTAGGTAAAGAAAGTGAAAGGTTTCGGGGAAAGAAGCTCAAGTGTTTTAGTGAGTTCCACTGAATGGACCATTGATAAACAACTGGTGAAAAAATACCTAAATCCTACGGTGGCTAAATTTTGCGGTGATTTGCCAGTTTACAGTCTGAAAGAAATCACCAAAGATGGGAACGGTATGGAATACTAGAAAACACTTACATACGGAAGTGTACCCCACGCCTTAACAGAATAAATTAAGATGTCGAAACGGGTGTCTTGGTTGTAGACAAAATTTTTGTTTTATTCGGGAACGATAAAACGGTCAACGACCCTCCATTTTAATTTCAAACTTGCGATAAAGATTTTGATAATTTCCTTAAATACATTGCCAGAAATTTGGGACAAGTTGAAATTAATACAGAGACTTTTGAATTTCATCTTTATAATATACAGACAGCAGCATAAATGCTGGGCAACAGTTATACCTAAACTAGAATATTGATAATCATGACAAAATAATAATGAATTGTGCGCGCATGAGCAAAACAACAATAACCATTGAACGTCGAAAGAACAATATACAATTTGACTTCAATTATTTACGTCCATGATATAGGACATGCATGAATTTGTATCGATAAATCTCCCAGCGGAATTAGTAGCTCCCATGGCGCTTTGCGTTAACAGGAAAATCTTCCTACGAAGATAAAATACTTCCCCGCTCCTTTCCAGCATCAGCTAATAATGTGGCTAATCAACGCCACATCTTTATGGCATTTAGATACCGACAGTAAAGAAAAGCGTAAAACAAATTTTCAGCTTTGCCCTGGATCGGTCAACAATCCAAGCCCATGTGATCCCAACTTATGGAAATTGAATTGCAAGTTTGTAATATCAGGAACATGCGTCTGGTGGGTAAAATGTTTCCTGCCAGTCAAAGACCTCGAAAATGACTTGAGAAATTGCAAATTTAATCACCACTGGAATTCAGTTATGTGTTGTGATACTATCTGTCCAACTCCAGCCCCAACCAAGTAATGATAAAAGAATTGATGAACGATGACGACTTAGTATCAACTAAGTACATATTTAGCGATATATACACAATGAATAAACATTACATATAGGAGATAGATTGAAAATCATAGCCATAGTTATTTCATAGCTTAAATTTATGCAAAACGGGGAATAAATCTTTAAGATATAAAACTAATAAAAGCATCATTGTTTTCTTTAAGAGTAAGGCTAACGGAGAATAGACACAGACATGCTGAATATCTATAGGACAAACGGAGAACAATATTGTACAAGGCATGCACCGGGTGGCAACGTAAAAAAAATTCGTAAATATTGTATTATAGTTTGGGTCTTGGGACCAGGGGAGCTTGCTTTACAAATGCTTCAGTGACCAAAGCCAACTATTTCGGTTGTATTAAGGACAGATTACTGGGAGATATTTCTTGTACATTCCAGCTATGAATTTTCATAGTACAGTATATAGGGACGCATTTTGCTGATCATAAGTCACCTGAATGTATCAGTTCGCTGGCTGACAGTCCTCTTCGACCCTATTGAAATCAACAGTGTTGGCTCTTGTCATCAAATATCAAGTCTCATAGTTACGGTCGTGGTAATTCCTACCGACACCGCAGAAATTGGTGTTGGAAGTCAAATATCTCATCAGTTGCTCACATTTGAATCCTAGTATTCAGAAACTGCTGTCAAAGAAAATACTATCAAATAAGTTGAAAACAAGTTCAATTTTTCTTCCAATATCGGTTTTGGAAACTTTTGAAGGCTCTTCGTATGCATCTGCCACGGTAAAATGGCCATTTTGAGACATTTTCAGACATTTTCAGATGATTTGTTTTTGCCGTGTGCAAGCTTCAAATCTTTTGTGCAAGAGATATTTTGTTGAGTATTTATAAATCTTTTAGCTTGCCGAATTTAAAGTCTAAGTATTGAGAATTACGGCTAAGTCTACCAATTTCCGCGGTGTCATTCCTACCTATACGAGAGTTCACTGGTGTTCTCTCAGACTAAAACTCGTCTCAACCTGTAGCAATATATAGCAGAGCTTTTCCAGCACGATCTCTTAGTTTATTGCCGGACGTCTGAAGCGTGGTGTGGACGGAATCCGTCATCCTTCAATGAGACGTCCGAGAGATAACGTTTAATTTCGCACCTAGCAAGCTGGTTGGTCTATTTAAGTTGGACCATGGTGTTCGTGCTGAAACGGAACTACTTTCGCAAGCAACATAATTATTTCACTGGACAACGTTTTTTTCGTACAACCACCTCATATCTCAGATGCTTGTGTTTCTTGGGGTCCAATAAATGTAATGCATCCGTTTCAAATTAAAAATGGTGAATTATATGGTGGATAACAAGAAAATATTCGTGTGTTCAAAGATAGCAGTGTTTTGTTGTCTTATTATAGCTCTTGTGCTGTTTAATAATACGCCAGTTGATATGAACACATTCCGGTATGACAAACATAAGATTTTTTTAATTTTTAGGTAACCTCTCAATTTTTATACAAGCATTTATTCAATAGGATCGTTTTTTCTCGTTATAGATAAAGAAAATGAAAGGTGGGAGGAAAGAAACTCGAGTGTTTTATTTAGTTCCACTGAATGGACCATTGATAAACAACAGGTGAAGAAATGCTTAAATCCTACGGTGGCTAAATTTTGCGGTGATTTGCCAGTTTACAGTTTGAAAGAAATCACCAAAGATCGTAATGGTATGGAAGACTATCATCATGCACTTACATACGGAAATGTACCTCACGCCTTAACAGAATACATTGAGATAAATTAAATTGCAATGCTAAAGGACTACAGACAGCAACATGATGATAGAGACTGAACTTTATTAAATTAAGCATGACTATTATAAGGATAATTATCACACAAGTGAATTCTAGGGGTTCAAAGGGTCTAAATTTCGAGTGGAATTTCGAGTGGCAACAGCATTGCACCGGCATCGCAAAAGCGTACGCTCGATTCCCGCCGGAGGACCCTATAGTTGGCTCATTTTCGATCAAGTGTTCCTGACTTGAATTTGAAGTGTTTATAACTACGAAATATGACCCTTTGAACCTCTACGACCAACGACTCTGCATAATCCCGCCTTAATTTCAAACTTGCTACATAGATTTTGAAACTTCATTATAAATACATTGCCAGAAATGTCTCAATCTGATTTCAACATTTAGACTGGGCAAAAGTTACACCTAAACTAGAATAATGATAATCATGATAAGAGAATAATAAATGATGCACATGCGCAAAACAACTTTCACCATTGAAAGTCCAGCATGATAGAATTTGACGTTCATGATAGAACATGCTTGCCTTTGCCGAACTCATCTAACTCCCCTTTAATTTGACAGTGTTTTTTATAGTAATTTACTCCGCTTAACTCGAACTCTTCGCTAATTCGAACAAATTTTGTTTTCCCTTGGTTAAATATACCTGGTTAACTCGAACTTTGGTTTCGAATCATAGATCAGCAAACTTTAAAATGTGAGAAGATAGCATTTTGACAACTGGAAACTATCGAAATAACAACAAGTTAATGAAAATGTATAATTGATTTTAAAATTTCAAACGATTTTCTGTAGTGCCACGGTCGTTATTGATCTAGCTTTTTTAGTTCCTTTTGTATCCTTTCGATCTTTTTAATTTTAAAACGTCGTCCACTCTCGATTACCATTCATAATGGTGGGTATGATATCTCTTGAAGCATAGTAGGGCAGAGGGCTCAGTAGCATATACCAGCTTTGTGAACAGTATTTACATACAAATAAGACAACCCTGGATCAACTTAAAACCGGAACTCAGGTCGAAATTGCTGGTAAAGGTACAAAAACATTGAACCAAAGAAGGACAAGAAACTCGTCTTGAAAATTCTGCCTCGATAGGGGGCATCAGAAACTTTGATTTAATGCCAATAAATCCAATATCTAAGTGAAATAATTATGCAATGATCACATAATTACCCATTCAAGAACTTGTACCTGAACATTTTGACAGCACCGAGTGCTTTTTGTGGGTAGCCGCTGCGCATGCGCGGCTAACCACTATGTCAGAGTCGAAAGTGTCCGCGTAGCATGGAGGGGTGGATCTTCGGCACTCGTCGGTAATCACTCGGACAGATTGGCGCTGAAGGAAACACTCGAAACATTTCCGACGTTTAGTCAGATTTTATTCAAAGGGCTGCTTTGAGTTTTGGCAAATTTCTGTATAAAAGTCAAGGTAAAATCAACGTTGCATTATTTGTGTCAATATTTGTCATTTCAATCGCTCATTTGTCCACTGCCGAGCAATTTTGATCACAACCGGATTATACGAGCGTACAAATCTTTAATACTGCGTGGCTTGTTTGCAAGTTTCATTGATAATATCTTATCACTGTAGTAATCAGTCCTACAATCAGTCAACATTGAATGCCATCATTCATCATTGATATGAACGTGTATTGCTTCAGTAGTAGTTACCAGGAAGGTATGTCCTAGGACCTAGATTTTCCTCCACATTTGAAAGCAATGAATTTGAATGGCACATTATTTGAATGGCACATAAACATTGTGATAGTATATAATTTGAAGATACCATATGCACAATTCACTGTTCTTTTGACTCTTAATCAATTGCTTCTTGAGATATGGCAAGCAAAAACCTTGCCATTGTGCAGGTATTAAAGTTAGACCTTGCCATTGTGCAGGTAATGAAATTAGACCTTGCCATTGTGCAGATATTGAAATTGAAACCAGCCATTGTGAAGGTATTGAAATTGAAACCAGCCATTGTGAAGGTATTGAATTGTAATGTTTAATGTTTTATATTAATCTATTTTGCTTGTCATATCTTAAGAACCAATTGATTAAGAGTTGAAAGAACAGTGGTGATGGTGTATTCAAATTATATACTATCACAATGTTTATGTGCCATTATTACTGAGACTTTCAAATGATGTATCGGTAGAGGAAAATCCAGGTCTTAGGACATACCTTCCTGGTAACTACTACTCAGCAATACACATTTATATCAATGATGAATGATGGTGTTCAATGTTGACTGATTGTTGTACTGATTAACACAGTGATAAGATATTGTCAACGAAACTTGCAAACATGCAAACCTCGCAGTCTTATTGGACCTAGGAACTATATCTCCATGCTGATAAGTTTTCTGTAATCAACATTGCGAACCACCTGTACCTTCCTTCTGGATCTATGAAATCACACTATCATCTTAGTTATAATGGTGATAACAGATTGTTATTGTTAATAAACTTTGGGCAAACAAGCCTTATAATCTTACTGGAGCAATAACAATTATAACATTTATTAACTTATATACCATTCATTGATCAACAAAATAACCAATGTTGTATGTAACAAAGACATGCTGATAATCAAGGGACATCAAAACAAAATAATTTGAAAACATCTGAAATCTTCTTTCTCTACTTTTAAACTAAGCTTTATGTTATCAGAGGATTCGTGCCACTATTCTGGAACCTTACTCTCTTTTTTGTTCTCTCCAACTATTCTGCTTAAAAATATATATTTCCTATCTCTTGTAAATCTGCTTTTATATATGTTTTAATCTGTAGTAAAATGTATTTAATACAATAAAATATTAGATTGTGTAATAAAATCGACTTCGTTATAACTGTATTCAACTAGCTAACTATAGGGCATTTTTGCCGTTTTGTTTGGCATTAGAATGTAAGAGTAAAGGGCATGTTACACGGTGCAATTTTTCTTCCAACTTGCAATGCAATTCTTCTTTTAAAGAGACGTAAATTAGTGAAGAGGCTTCAAAGTGTAAGTGTAAGAAACGCCATGGAGTGTAATAAAAACAAAAGTTCGGTAGTTGCCAAATTTACATCTCTCAAAAGAAGAATTGTATTGCACGTTGCAAGAAAAATTGCACCGTGTAACAGGGCCTTAAGCATCAGTTGATATTTACTCGCTATTTACTCGTTGATATTTACTATAGCAGCCTGTCGTTTGACATTGAATACAAAATAGGTTTATCGCAGTTAATGTTTATGGCTACCCACATGTACGCATTGCGTACCTATTTTTTATTTATGCCATCAAAATTCATTAAAAATTTTAATTTTACCCTATGAGGTCTTCGATAGCTATTATATAACCAAGATAATCGTATTTCATTAAGACTAAAAAGAGTTCTCAATACTAAATTAAAAATCAGAGCTATATTATTATTTAAAATCTTAATATCTTAAAAAAAAAGAAGAGCAATCTTCTAGGGCTTTATTTTATTCGAGCGAAAATAAGTCGCAAACAGCGCGTTTGTACGGGATACTGTTAAAATTATTCGAAATTAGTCGCAAACACGACTCAAATTCTCTGCCGCAAATCCCTGCTGCCGAGACAGTTTTTGCATTGTGACTGGAAGGAATGCCTGGAAGGTTGATGCTCAGATATGCACCAACGTTTAATGTCAGATTTGGTCGCGAAGCCGTTTATTTTCGTGAACTTCGCTACTTAAATTAGCCGCGGCCTATTTTGGACGAGCTCTAAAGTCTGGGCTAATAATTTAGGCCGCGGCTTGTTTTATCCGCGAAGAAATGGAGCGTTTATACGACTGTTCGCGACTTATTTTCGCTCGTATAATTGGCCCTATGGTTATTCATTTTTTTCCCTGCCAGTTGAACCTGGATAGGTTGTGCTTGGAAACTTTTTAAAACATTTAACATTTTAAAAACCTCAAGCAACTTTTATTGTTTGAGGACACGTTTAGCGATCAACTTAAACCTTTTGTACCACAGATTTTTCTCTTACAAAATTTACCAGCACAATCTATCAAGTTCTGATGAGCTTCTAGTACACATGATCATCTGGTTAGGCAGACAGGAGTGCAACACACAACTGATGACCATCTGAGAGAAAAATTGCAATTTCTTAAATCCCTGTTGAGATCTTTGATTTGCAAAGCACAATGTTCATAACACACGGCTCTTCCGGATGATCTAAACTTGCAATCTAATATCCAATCGTTTGGATTACATGAAGTTTTTGGCCCATTTGGACATAATGGAAAGTTCATTGAACGTTTTCCCCTCCTGCCAGTTCTATCTACAATGTCAAAAAAGGAAAGGCGATGAGAAAGTGTATAGTGTGCACATGATTGTGCAAAGTATTTAATGTGAATTGTACCTACAGTATTAAAATGTGAATGCGCATGTGTAGTATTGAATGTGAATGTGTGCAGTATTGAATGAGAGTTTGTGCAGTATTGAATGTAAATTGTACAGTATTGAATGTGAATGTGTGCAGTATTGAATGAGAGTGTGTGCAGTATTGAATGTAAATTGTACAGTATTGAATGTGAGTGTGTGCAGTATTGAATGAGATGTGTGCAGTATTGAATGTAAATTGTACAGTATTGAATGAGAGTGTGTGCAGTATTGAATGAGAGTGTGTGCAGTATTGAATGTAAATTGTACAGTATTGAATGAGAGTGTGTGCAGTATTGAATGTAAATTGTACAGTATTGAATGTGAATGTGTGCAGTATTGAATGAGAGTGTGTGCAGTATTGAATGTAAATTGTACAGTATTGAATGTGAGTGTGTGCAGTATTGAATGAGAGTGTGTGCAGTATTGAATGTAAATTGTACAGTATTGAATGAGAGTGTGTGCAGTATTGAATGAGAGTGTGTGCAGTATTGAATGTAAATTGTACAGTATTGAATGACAGTGTGTGCAGTATTGAATGTACAATTGTGTGCAGTATTGAAGTGAGTGTGTGCAGTATTGAATGAGAGTGTGTGCAGTATTGAATGTAAATTGTACAGTATTGAATGAGAGTGTGTGCAGTATTGAATGAGAGTGTGTGCAGTATTGAATGTAAATTGTACAGTATTGAATGACAGTGTGTGCAGTATTGAATGTAAATTGTACAGTATTGAATGTGAATGTGTGCAGTATTGAATGAGAGTGTGTGCAGTATTGAATGTAAATTGTACAGTATTGAATGTGAGTGTGTGCAGTATTGAATGTAAATGTGTGTAGTATTGCTAGACGTTACACATACCAAACGATTTCATAAACAATGCTTGCGCGAACGTCTGGAAGTCATCTACAAGTGTAAACAATATTTTCACCACTACTTTCTCTGCCTGGAAAAGTTTCTTAAAATATCTCATGTGTTTTAAATTGAATTGTGAAAAGTCTTAATAGGAACAAAGGCAGACGAAGTGCCCAATCTCCCTCGATCATTTTGCACAGTAATTTTGTTATATTTAGGTCTAAGTATATTTTCTAGTTATCTTCCTACCATTTATATTTTTGCTAATTTCTTTCATACTGTAAACAGGAAGTCTGCCGCAAAATTTAAGCACTTGTGGTTTTAAATCCTTTGTCTCCAATCGTTTATCAATGATCCATTCCGATGAACTTGCACCCAACAAACTAGATCTTCCCTCACTCGAGCCATTCAATTTTTTTAACTATAAGGAGAAAAAATCGATCGTATTTATAACAGGTTGTATGACACAGCTGCATGTATATGTGATAAATTGGAGCAGGGGTGCATATTCAGTAGTGGTTCTGTGACGCAGGTTCTGAATATTGTTTGCTGTAGGACATCACTATACGTTAATCGCTTGTTTACTATACGTATTAAGTGTCCGTATAAGTGTGATATAAGCAACAGATATCTCAAGTTTGATCTGATCGGATTAACTAGGATTCAAACAGCTTAATCCTATCCGACGCACACCATCAATAATTCGCGTTTCTATGTGAAATAAAACATACATGAAGCTTATTTAACTCACAAAATCTATGTAAACTTTCAATTTTCCAGGATTTGGCAAGTTTTTCTCCAGTGGTTTGATGTGACATATGCCCACATCAGGTACGCGGGTGATTGTCAAGCCCTGTATAAGAACAAAAATTTATCACAAAGATATAAGATGGTAAAAATTGTAGACACTCCTTTCTACAATCGAAGAACCAATTAGAGAATCGAAAAAAGTATATTCAGACTAAATCAATTACCAGGTTGAAGTCGTTCAGAACTTCGTTGTACTTTTGCACTATAAACGAGGTAGTATTATCTTTCACACTGATCTTCTTATTAAAATAACGAGTTCCTTCCTCATCCATCTAGAAATACAAAATATAAAATAAAACTAAATTTTCATGTACAATTACAGTAATGAAATTATAGTATAGAAATAGAATATTTCACGTCATAAAACGTAAACAATATAAGTATTCTCGAACCTTGCAATTAACGACGGAAAATAATTTAAGAATTGCCATCAGACAAAAAACAAAGAATATTGTTGGTTTATTCATTGATGCTTTTCCAAGAAAACGTTTTATGACACTTATTGTTCAAATACTCTGCAGACATATACAGCAGCAGGAATATGAGGACTGAAACTCGCCTCAAACTGTATTTATAGCAGCGCTTTACCAGCATGACCTCTTAGTTTATTGCCGGACGTCTGAAGTGTGGTGGGAAGAATCTGCACGCACCAAGTGATTAATCTATTCAAGTTGGACCGCCACAATGATTGTGCTGAAACGGAACTACTTGAGAAAGCAACATACGGAGATTAGATTATAATGAAATTTTCGTGTTTACAAAGACGGCGGCGTTTTGTTTGTTGTAGTATTATTGCTCTTGTACTGGGTAATAATGCACCAATTTTTTTATTCTTTTCGTAAAATCGTACGAAAAAAATCATATGCTTGTCATAAACATACGATTCCTTTTGATTTGTATCATTTCTAACAACCGTTGTTTGGTATATACTACGTTGAAACCTCTTGCCTCTTGTCTAATATCCAACGTAATACAAGGTTTTAAATGTATCGTATCCATTTCAGTCTTCCAGCAGTGTACCGGATACTTTCAACGAGGCGTCTTTAATACTTCTGTGTACGCAGGAAACGCTGAAATCGTCAATAAATTTTACTGATTAGTTTATTATGTAGGTATTCCCATGATGGTGAGTGCAATTCGGGATTAATAGTACGAGCGATGTTAACATTTTTTGCCAAAATTGGTCAAACAGCAAGCTGGCGAACATGAACTATTGCACCTTATGAGTTATTCGAATTGAAATTTAAAAACATTTGTTTAAAAGCCCCGCTACGCGATCGATTGATTTTGTAAACACTGGTATTCGTTCTAATACATTAAGTATTAATTACACTCCTATTCGTTGTTATTATTATTAAATTATACTGTTGTACAATGAATCGTGTCACAAAATAAACAAAATTGCGAGACGGTATTTACATAAAAACAAGACAACCTTGGACAACCTTAACTTAAAACCGGAACTTTAATCGAAAATACTAGCGAAGGCACAAAAGCATTGAATCAGAGCAGGACAAGAAAAAATCTGTTGCTTGCGTTTATTATGCCATAAATTATATTAATAAGTGGCATCAAATTTTTATTTTACTCCGCCAATAATAAGCAAAATAATAATGCAGTGATAACATAATTACATATACAAGACCTTGTCTCAGTAAACATTTTAACAGCATCGACTGCTTTTCCAATCAAGCGATTGAAAAAGATTTTGACACGTGTGGGAAACAGAATTTCCATGAGCAATCTTACTCCTGTGGAGATTCTAAGTGCTGCATGACTTATACCCATGCAAACACATTGAATGGGAGATCTAAATCACGTCGTAACGATTCCATGACGTTATTATTCTTCCAGTGGCCGCGGAAGATCGTTAAGGCTGGCTAATATTCATAATATATTCATGCATACAAGTACGAATGTGCTGCATAGAAATGCGACTGTACTGCATACAAGTACGATTGTGCTGCAAAGAAAACGACTGTACTGCATACAAGTGCGGCTGTACTGCATAGAAATTCAGCTGTACTGCATACAAGTACGATTGTGCTGCGTAGAAATGCTTTGTCATGCTGCATAGAAAGTGTCGCGAAAGCAGGAACATAGGAATAAACGTCTATACTTCCGAACGTTTTACAAACGTTTGGATTTACAAGTAATAATAACTTTTCATTACGCGGGGAAAACGTGGAGAAAAGGATTGGGAATGGGGGAAATGCATGGGTGAAGTTGTTTTGACATGAATGTGTGGAGAGCAATGACGGATCTAGGCCCTGGGAATGAGGATGGAATTTGACATGAATTAAAAATTGCCACCACGAGGACCACTATAAAGCTCTTATTAGAAGATTGAAAGAAAGAAAAATGTTTTAAAACAATGAAATATTACATTAATTGAGCAACATAATACGAACGGTAAATAGGGGTATATAGCTATAACCATGCGTATACACTATCATGGTAGCTAGTTGAATATGTTTAATTTAAACTATTGGATAATACGTAATTTCAATTTAAAGCTGACCAGCCCCATTTATGAACATTTTTATTTAGTAAGCTCAGGTAAAGAAAGTAATATATTTTGTAGTCAATAAGATGGGCCGAACCTCATTTAGTACATTTTTAAAATTTAGTATTTTATGCTTTTAATGTTAACTAAACGCCTATAATGTATATAAATATCAATACTGTGCAACATACTATGCCCCTAATAAATGAGGAAACGTAGGGAGTGTGACTATATTCTCTTTGAAGTATTTATTCAAAGTTGAATTTTGGAAAATTCCTTGCAAACATGTTATAAATGCAAGGTGAAGGAAGGACTATGGAACTATTAGAACTCGATTTTTGCCAAGACCTCACTATTGCCTTGGGTGCTTTAGGGTTGTGATAAGCAAAGCTTAGGTTTAATTGTAAAAATATATACATAATACAAAATGGTATAACATGCACCATTGTCAACAACTCTTTATGCCAAATACACGGACTTTCAATCACAATATATTTCAAGTACATACTAGTATAAATACTACAATTTGATCGATTTTAGTGTGTTTTATATTATGGTATATTATATAATAATACTTACTCATAGTGTTAGTCCTCACTTTGAATAAATGTTTTCTGTTAAAATGCCCTACAACAATTACAGCATTTTTCGCATTGACTAGTGAAACCTTTTTTTTCTTTCAATCGAGAATATTCAACAATGGACCTAGCTCGTGGCAAGATTTAATCATCAAGTAACAGCTACACCCTCGTGTGCTAATTTACAAATTCTAAGCGGGGGAAGATGATGTTCTTTTTACTCTTATTCTTATATTACTTGAAAAACTTTAGGAAATAAAGACGATTATTCCTATTTTCGTGCTTTCGCGACACTTTCTATGCAGCACAGTCACATTTCTATATGCAGCACAACCGCATTTCTATTCAGCACATAAGATAAGTTTAACTGGGATCCATTTCAGTTTTTTAATTCTCGTTTTTGACCTCATTTCATAGTTTGAGTTAGTGATAACACGAGCAGCCCTTTTTTGCATTTTATAGACTAGAATTTTTCAAGATTGTTACAATTACCATCATTCCAAACTGTTGAGCAATATGTATGTGTTTATTCCAATTTAGTTTATCGTCAATTATAATCCCCAAGACCTCCTTTTCTTTGACCTGTTGTATCTGAAAGTTACCTGTATGCATTCGAGGGTTACTTGAGATTTTAGTAAGTTTTTTCTTTTAGACGCAATGAGCATGTATTTTGTTTTTTTTTATATTTAAATTTAGTTAATTTGTTAGCTTTAAGCCATTTGTTTACATTATCCAAATCTGAACTTAGTTTATATTCTATCGAAGGCTTTTTTGAAGACTAGAAAAAGGACCCCGTTAATTAGTCCCTTATCCATATTTAATAACCACTGATTCGTAGAGTAGTATAACAAAGCTGTTTCTGTGAGTCGTCTCAGTTATTCTAGTTGGTTTATTGATTAACTGCTCCAGTTGATAAGTACTTAATAATTCTTTAAATCGTTTTGGCTTTGCTATACTTGATTTGTTTTCTTCAGGGAGTAGATTTATATTGAAGTCTCCTGTTATGATAATTTCTTTATTCTCGTTATCAACATTTTGAAGGAAAAATTCAAATCGGTCAAGCAATGCTATATTTGATCCCGAGGGTATATACCAATGATAAAATTAAAATTGGCTTTGTGTTTGGTTTTTCAAGACAAATTGCCTCAACATCATCTGGTATTAAACACTTCCTTTCAAAATACGGTATAACCTTGCGTACGTAAATAGCTACTCCTCCACCGTGTCTATTCCTATCATGTCTTATTAAATTATAACCTTGTAATTCAATTTCCAAATTTTTAGTCGATAGGTCAAGCCTTGTTTCATTAATGCATAATAGATCAAAAGATATTTGTTTTGCAAATATTCGAAGTTTCTCAATATATTTAATTAAGCTTGTAATATTTAGCTGTCCTACAGTAAATTCTTTAAGAGTGGCATAAGTTTTAGTTCGGCCAGTCATCTGTGTTGCGTCAGATTTACTGATCTATTTCAATTGAGTCTGGAGCTATTTCAATTGAGTTTAGAATTAAATGTGACTTTATATTTCTAGCTAGAATAGCTGTATCCTGTTTATTAAGATGCATCCCAGATCTGTTTAAGTGAATAGTTTTGATATTCGTACGGCTTATGAGACCCCAATTTCTTTGCGTGCACAACTTATCTAAGCGTTCATTAACTAATTTTACCATATATCCGCAAGTCCTTTATTATCATTTCTTGTTATACCACTTCAGAGAATGTTAAATCAATTCTTGGATCTTCCGTCCTAATCGATTCTCCTAGTGCAGCAATAGATTGTATAATTTGTTTTGGTGATTAACAGGTAAGTCATTAGTTCCAATATGAATAATCAATTCCTGAGGTTTATTGTTAATTGTAGGCTTAATGTAGTGTGTCATGTCGTCGATTTTCGCTCCGGGAAATGTTTTTGCAGTAACGTTTTTATTTGTTCCGTTTCTTTAACCTTCGGGTGTCGACAAATTTTAGCATTGAGTCACCCACAATTGCTATATCTTCACGCCGGTATTACTTGTTTTGTCTTTCTTGTTCATTGAGAGGTTGACGATATGAAGCGCTCGGAGTTTGTGTATTGGCTTCAGATGCGGGAATATTGCGTTGTTTATGTCCAGTTTGGTTATAACCAGGTGGTGTAGCAGGCTTTTCCGCCTAACTTGCTTCCGCCGTATGGTTTTTCAAATGCAAT